CTCTTCTTCGTCGTCCTCCTCTCTCTCTTCTCCTCTCTCTCTCTCTCTCTCTCTCTCTCTCTCTCTCTCTCTCTCTACCTCCGCGCTTGAGGTTGGCGTCGGAGATTACCAAGATCTCTCTCTCTCTCTAATCGTCCCCTGGATATGGCGTCTCAGCCAGCAGGTTAGTTCAATTGAGATTTTTTTTTTTTGTTTTGTTGAGATTTTAGGCTCTCGATTTATTGAATTATCCTTGTGCAATTATGGTCGGTTCGTGAGACCCGTTGGGATGTTTGCTTGAAATTGATGAACTTCGACCTAGATTTGGATCGATTAGGCCTGTATTCAGTCCGTGAGATCAGTTTTGGATTCGTCTATCTAAACCTTTCAGGATTTCCCTGTAACCTGTTTCGCTAACTTTTCAGCTGAGCAACTTCAGTTTCGATGTCGTAATTTATACCTTCAATCATTGTTTCGTGGCAAACGCTGTGGATTTTTGTAGCTTTAAAGTGTAGCTTTCAAATTGTGAAAAGCTCTTTGAATTCTGATATTGTTACCTTGGGTAGTCTGATTGATGATGGATGATAAGTTCTAACTCTTTCGATTGCTCTTAGCTTTGGCTGGCCTTAGCTTTTCTTGATTAGATTAGATGTTTTCATTTTTATTGCAATTTGATGTCTTTTCTTATTCAGCACCCTAGTAGATCTACTCGATGTTTCATCAAGTCTCTTTAGTGTTTTTGCCTGTGCTTATTATTGCAGTTCAGTCTTTTCAGAATATTACCTATCATTATTACTCAACATGTAATAACTTCAATATTTTTGCTGCAGGTGGCAGTCCTCCTAAACCTTGGGAACAAGAAGGAAATACATCTGGTCCTAATCCTTTCAGGCCTCCTTCGAATACTAGCACGGCTGGTTCAGTTGAGGCTTCTGGCACAGCCAATCCCGGTGAAGTAGTTTCATCCGTGAACAGAACTAATACAGCTGCTAATATGAATGCACTGAGTAGGCCTGTACCGACTAGACCTTGGGAGCAGCAGAGTTATGGGACCACAATGGGAGGTATGTTTAGAAGTTATCTTAGATCTTTTTTGGTTTTGAGATTACATTAAGCTTAGTTCTTTTATTGTATGAAATGCAGGTTATGGTTCCAATCTAGGTGTGAACTCTGGGTATGGGTCAGGTACATATGGTTCAGCATTAGGTGGGTATGGTGGTGGAATGTATGGTGGTAGTAGTATGTATAGAGGAGGTTACGGTGGTGCTGGTGGTCTATATGGAAGCTCAGGCATGTATGGTGGTGGTGGGATGTACAACAGCAGTTATGGTGGCACGATGGGTGGTTATGGTATGGGTATGGGATCAGGAATGGGAATGGGAATGGGAATGGGGATGGGAATGGGTCCCTATGGTGGTCAAGATCCGAATGACCCTTTTAATCAACCTCCATCTCCACCAGGCTTTTGGATATCATTTCTCCGTGTGGTATTTCATTCATACTTATTTCGTATAAGAAATCAAAGTAGTTGATAAGTTAGTTATGTTCTGTAGAACATAAATTTTTCATGTTTTGATGTATGACAGATGCAAGGTGCTGTGAATTTCTTTGGCCGTGTAGCAATGCTTATAGATCAAAACACTCAGGCCTTTCACATGTTCATGTCTGCGCTTCTTCAGGTTCCTTCCTTTTTTCTTCTACCAAGTTGTCTTTTACTAGATCCTTGAATGATTTGATTATTATTCTCATGTTAACCATTCAAATATTTTTCCACAGCTATTTGATCGTGGTGGTATGTTATATGGAGAATTAGCAAGATTTGTATTGCGTATGCTTGGGGTGAGAACAAAGCCTAGAAAGATGCAGCAGCCACCACAGGGGCCTAACGGACTCCCTTTACCCCACCAGCCACATGGAAACCAGAACTACATCGAGGGGCCTAAAACTGCTGTACCAGGTGGTGGTGGTGGTTGGGACAATGTATGGGGCAACTAAATTACGTGTTTCATCACCCAAGTCCTTCATCATTGCTTTAAATACACCATGGACACCAGTTGGTTACTGATAGAAGACAAGTCATGCAGCAACCTGCAACACAGATTGGGATGTACCAAAGCCAAATGTTTGTTTACAAATCGAGTCTCTTCTTCTCCTCTCTCTATCTCTCTACTCAGTTTTCTGATCGTGTGATAAACAAACCGCAGATAGATGTCAAATTCAATAAAATGGAATGTGAATTTTAAGTGTTTAAAGACTAGTAACTACAGTACATTAGTTGGTTACTACTTACTACTGCTTGATTAGTTACCACCATTATATGAAAATGTTAAAAGATTTGAATCCTTGCTTTATTAAGAAAAATGATGTGAAAGAACATTGGACTAAAATAACTTGTTTGTGATTCATGTCCATTCTTGCGGATATGTTCTCCAGTATGGTCCTATGGCCATCATATCTTCTGTCCTTAGTGTTATATCGGCTCTATGTAACCTGAACATCTCAACAGCTGTCGGGGTCAGCCTCGCATTCCCGCTCATGTAGAGAATCCGAAGGTTCGTGCAACCACCTCGTAGAGCAAGCAACCCTTGGTCACATAAGTTCCTACAATAGTTCACATGGAGTTTCTTCAAGTTACGGCACCACTTTCCTACAGCTTCCCATCCCAAAACCTTAATTTCATGACACAGAGCCAAGTTCCACTCTTGGAGCACTGGACATCCTTTTGCTATAGCTTCGATGGATTCATCACCAACCGTTCTGCACATTCTTAGGTTCAAGATTCTAAGTTTTGATGCAATCCCAGATCCAATAGGTACCAAACCCTCTTTGATGTAGCAACTTACACCTGAAAGGTTTAAAAACTCAATCCCACCTCCGCTAATGATCCCCGTTATACCCTTAGGCTCAAGCTGACAAGACTCAGCATCCACATAGATTAGAGTTGGAGAACAGTTGTTGAAGCCAACACCGGTTATGCTCTTGCAGCTTGAGATCTTCACTGACTCAAGCTGCAAGCATGCTTGTGACAATGCTTTTATGCCAAAATCAGACACCAGAGGGCAATACGAGAGATTCACGCACAAAAGAGGCAAGGAAGCCCTGGCTAAAGTTTCTAACCCAATGTCACTGATATTGCAGCGGTGCAGACTAAGCACTCTTAGATTGGGACAGAAGCTAGCAATAGTAAAGATCCCATCATCAGAAATCCCAAAGCAACAATCTAAGTAAAGACCACGCAGTCTTGCACCGGGAATCCTGAGAGAGGTGAGGCTTGAATCATTCAGTACCATGCATCCAGCGAGCGAAAGATGCTCCAACCACTGAAACCGAGTGAGGAGCCTATGGAGATGATAGGAATTTACATCAGGATTTGGCTGAGACAGACTTGCGGGGTTCAGGATAGTGAAAGAACACTCGAATTGTACACATCGACGGTTTATGTTTTGGATGTTGAGCCATCGACGACAAGTCAAACCGAATGAATCATGGTCAGCAACATTATCAAGTCGTTGGAAGATAAAGGAAAGACAATCATCCGGAAGGTGGATAATGGAGGTCTCAGCATCATCAGACTCGGACACAACCTCCATCTATCAGTTCAACTCCTGTAAAAACAAACAACAAAATCTTTATCTTTAAAACTAAAATCTCCACCAAGTCTTTAAGTAAATCTCCTCCACATATCTACTTTGATACAGAACCCTAAACGAAGGTTGCCTAACTCAAACGATGATCTAAGTGAAGCAATCCAGAGAACCTTAACCTTAATTCAAACCAGATGGTAGCTCTATCCGAAACAAAGTTCCAAAATGGCGCCTACTCGATAATAAGAAATCAAGAATTCCGCATCACCAGACAAGATCAACCAAAAACGAATACATAACAAGCTTAGATTCCAACCAAACCAATCTCCATCTAGAATCCCAACATGCCGACTAAAAAAAAGCGAAACTTTGAGACTCAAAATTTCAGGAACGGATTATGGAAATGAAAACCAAGGAGAAACACCAACATATTAACTCCACAGTTTACAGACGAAAATCCAATAATCGATCAATCCATAATTGAAATGCAAAACAGAGAGAGCTGCAGCCTAAAAAAAAAAAGAAAAAAGAGAAAAACAAATGTCTTCTTCTTTATTTAGTCCGTATATTATGCTCGTGTTGTGTCACCGAACCGTGACTTTAGAACTTCTGCTGCGTATTAATTACCCTAAAACGTATCGTGGCCGTTGATTTACATCACAAGTGACAGGAGTAAGGCACTGACACAAAGATTTTGTAGCCATAGTGACGATTCATCCCCTTTCTCAGGCAGCCTTGAGTTGAATCAGCTGGTACTTTAAAGGAGTTTTCCATCCTTGTTTAAAAAAAAAAAAAAAAACCATTATTTTAATCAGAATCCTTTACTCATTACTACTAATTAGCAGTTAAGCACCACTACAGTCCTCAATCCAACTTGGGTTAGACCCATTACATATTGTTGACATGTCAGCCTTTGCCTGTAATACAGCACCAACCAAATCATATTTGATTAGTCAATTTTTGAATCCAAACAATATTATGTTTTGTGATGTTGGTGAACTCTGGCAGATGATTGATGATGATTTTGATGGTAGTTTCAGTATTATATATACAACGGTAGAACTATTTTGAACCTTGAAAAAATATCCATGGATTAGATAGATATACTCGGCTGTGAATTGCCAGCTAAAATTACTATTAGGATCATATTTGTTCCCGTTGATTTGATTTGACATATGCTATATGAAATGAGTGAGATGAGTTGCTTTTGTCTCGATTCAAACATCTGCGTCATAATTTTCACTGCACTTTGAGACAACGTCAGATTATTTGGATTCACTATGTACTTTTATTAAAACAACAAAAAAAAACAATCAGGCTATATATATATATGTATTTGTAGTTCTGCTGGAGATCTTATTGTTTCTAGTGTTCATGTTGACATATATGTTTCATTTCAAAAGTGATGTGCTTCATCCAATATATTAACACTCAGTTAGAACTTTTTACTTGCATCATCACCAAAACACATCTAAAGGACACTACACTACTGCCGTTCGAAGGGGGGTGGTGTGGAGTTGGAGAGAGTGAATTTTGCCTCAAAGCCAAGGGTCACCTTTGTTTCCCCCCACTCACGAGAAAAAAGAAGAAGCATATATTTTTGTATATCTAATTAGTGTCCCCCTTGGATGTTGTGAACAAGTTGGACTTTTGCATATAAATTCTCCCGCCAGTGTAGCAACAAGTCTTCAGCTCGGAGTATGAGTTCACATTTGAAACCTGATCCTCGTACACTTTTACTATTGTTATGAGATTCTTTTGTTGCAGTGATAATATATGACTTCGTGAAAACACAACTTCCTGATTGTGTACTCTGACAAGAAAAGTACAGCTAGCTAGTTTTGCAAGATTTGGGGTTGGCCAATTAAATCAAATTTTATAACTTGTAATATTTAGTTGCTAGGTAATTTTTAAACATTTTACTAATCTAAAACTTCCAAATATTATCGAGGTACGTAAACAAATGACCACATGGTGTGTGTGTTGTAACAATCTCAATATGGCCAACCAAGTCCGCTGTATTTCTAGTCCTTGTCTCGGCAACGAAGCCTGTTGTGACATTTTTTTTTTCTTTCTTTTTGGTGCGAGCTTCCTTCTTCTCATTGCCTTTCGTCTTAGCCTTCTTTTGACTCTCTCGCATCACCACCGATAACTTTGCTGTTTATTGAAAGCTAGATCATAGTTCAAATAAAGCCCTAAAGAAAAGAAAATAACATATACAAATCTTAGTGACGAAAAGCTAGAGGGCGTTTCAAATCAGTGAACTATTAATTTCAAGATTCTTTTTTTTGAAAAAATATGTTTTCGTAATATAAAACTTACGAAAAATATGAATAAGACAAAGCACTCTGCATTTCTTGTTCTAACTTTTTCTTTTCTTCTTTTCCCGACATTTTAGCCCAGCTAAATATATATATATATATTACTCTTAGTTAATTTGAATTCGATTACATACATAGTAGTATTTCATAACACGAGTAAATAAACAGCCATTATTTTTAGAGATGTTGTCTTAGTTGTTTTCCTCGTAGATAAAGATGGTATCTAGCTATATCGCCTTTAATAATTGGGGTTGCACAAAAAAGAGAAGATAGTGTTTTGTAATTTGTATAGTACTCCCCTAGTTGTAGTAAAAAGTGAGAAGATGGTATTAAAAGTCAAAAAGATTCTTTTTGAAAGAGAAGACGAGACCCAGACCAGAATTAGTGAATTACTACTACACGTAATTATTGCATATTTCATATACATGTAATTATATAGTATATTTTTAATTCAATTAATAAACTAAACTACACTTGTGTAGAAGAACTGAAGAAGAGCTCAGCTCATCACTACACTTTAACACTAGCATAGTAGTAGTACCATTTCCATTAAGGCTCTTTCATCCTGAGATAGTGCGCAATTGCAGAACACACAAACTCTCCAACAAGACCCCAAAAATGGACATCTTCTCCTACGTCATCCTCCTATCATGCGCGTCCTCCCCCTTATCTTACGCCTCTCCGGCCAGTTTCAGTCGCCGTCACCTTCTTCAAACTCCTCCAACTGATCCTTCCACATTTTCCCCGCCCTTCTTCCCACTTTACAGCTCCTCCTCCCCTCCTCCTCCGCCACCGCAGCCTCTTCCGCCTCCCGCCCCCACTTTCGCCACATTTCCGGCGAACATCTCCGCCCTCGTCCTCCCTCGCTCTCCTCAATCTCACACTCCTTCCCGTACACTCCTTATCCCAGTTATCTCCGCCGTGCTCGCCGTCGCAGCATTACTCGGCCTGTCTTTGTTTCTCTACGGACGCTGGCGAGGGCAAACCCGTCATTTTAAAGAAGACTCCAAGACCTTAGCTCCTTCTTCAGACATTAGCCCATCCGGACAGCAAACTCCTCAATGTCCCCCTCCAAGAAACAACACCACTGAAAACAAACTCTCAGTGGCTCCTTCCACCTCCGATGTTCTCTACCTCGGCAACGTCGCCGCTTCCTCCGGTTCTGTTTTCGTTAAACCGGCGTCACCGGAGATCTCTCCTCTCCCGCCATTACCTGCTCGTAGCTTCCTCCTACAACACAACTCTGAAGCTAATCTTGATGGAGAAGAAGAAGACGACGACTTTTACTCGCCTCTCGCGTCCATAGCTGGTCAAGAACCACGAGACCGGAGAATCAATCCGTACAGCAACTGCTCTTGCTCTATCTCTTCACACTCGGATTCTCCGGCAATGTCGCCGTCCGCTACGATTTCTCCGCCGATGAACTCTACAGCTCCACATTGGTCAACTAACCAAAACCCTCAGTCTCTGTCGTCACCGGAGAGAACAACAAGGAACAATAAGAGATATGGTGGTTCGTCTCTGAGAATGTTTAGCCTCTGGAATCAAAGTCTAGGGTTTCCAAGAATTTCTTCTGCTTCTACTTCACCAGAGAGAGGTATGACTAGAACTCCTGACGCATATGCTCGTTCTTCTATGTACTCTTCAGTGGCCACCACGCCGGATCGATTTTTCCGGAAGGTTCTTGATAGTTCGCCGCCGAGATGGAACGATTTCAGTCGAAATGTTAAGTCTTTGTTCCTTTCTTCAACTTCTGCTTCACCAGCTAGAGATTTCTGTATCAACATCTCTGAATCTTCAAGAAGTTTGAAATCTTCTTGGGAAAATCCAGAGCTTGCTACAACTGAACAGAGCGAATCTGCCGCTGCTGCTACTCTTCCGCCTCCACAACGGCCACCGCCCGCAATGCCGGAGCCTCCTCCTCTTGTGCCGCCGTCACAGTCTTTCATGGTTCAGAAATCTGGGAAAAAGCTATCTTTCTCCGAGATACCACAGAGTTGCTGGGAAGGAACGACAGAGCGGCCAAAGCCAAAGCTGAAACCTCTGCCTTGGGACAAAGTCCGACCAAGTTCTCGCCGGACAACTACATGGGATCGTCTTCCCTACAACCCTTCAAATGCTAACTCAAAGCAGAGAAGTCTTAGCTGTGATCTTCCGATGCTAAATCAAGAGAGCAAAGTTTTAGATCCAAGAAAGAGTCAAAATGTTGCTATTCTTCTTACAACACTTAAGCTCACCACAAATGATGTTTGTCAGGCCCTTCGAGATGGTAAAATTATCAGTTACAAAACTAATTTCTTTTAATTTTCGATTGTATGGAGCTGAATCTGACTTGTATATTCTATCAGGTCACTATGATGCACTTGGAGTTGAGCTTCTTGATAGTTTAGCAAGAGTGGTACCGAGCCAAGAAGAAGAGAAGAAGTTGATTAGCTATAGTAATGATTCAGTGATCAAGCTTGCCCCATCAGAGAGGTTCCTCAAGGAATTGTTAAATGTGCCTTTCGTGTTCAAACGAGTTGATGCATTGCTCTCTGTTGCTAGTTTTGACTCTAAAGTCAAACACTTGAAAAGATCACTACGAGTTATACAGGTATAAAACAACGTTGAAGATAACGAATGACGTTTATGAATATGAATGTTGTCGTAAACGTACGTCTCATGAAGCTATATGATTCTTTTGCAGGCTGCTTGTGAGGCACTTCGAAATAGCAGAATGTTAGTGAGACTTGTTGGAGCTGTCTTAGAGACAGGAATGAAGAGCGGGAATGCTCACGCCTTCAAACTTGAGGAGCTGCTCAAGCTTGTCGATATCAAATCGTTAGATGGAAGAACCAGTATCTTGCATTCTGTTGTACAGAACATCTTAGAATCAGAAGGTATCAAAGGGCTACAAGTTGTGAGAAATCTGAGTTCAGTACTTGACGATGTCAAGAAATCTGCAGAGTGGGACTATGGCGTTCTAAGAAGTGATGTGGCGACGCTTTACCAAGGAGTTCAGAAAATTGGTGAGGTTTTGCTATTGTGTGAGGAGACAGGACACAGTGAGGAACACCATTGGTGGAAATTCAGGGAGTCGATGACCCAATTCTTGGAGACCGTTGCTGAGGAAATTAAAAAGATAGAAAGAGAAGAAGCTTCCACGCTCATTGCAGTGAAAAAGATCACAGAGTATTTTCATGTAGATTCAGCAAAGGAAGAAGCTCAGCTATTGAAAGTATTTGTAATCGTGAGAGACTTTCTGAACGTTCTAGATGGAGTCTGCAAGAAAATGGAGGAGACTAGAGAAGAGGCTACTCTGGCTTAGATTAATTGTGTAATAAAGATACTAGAATCTGTCCAAGACTTATGCATGTGATACCTCTAAGTTATGTAATTATGTTTGTATGAATTGTTGGAAGCTACGTTGTATGTAGATGAAGACTACTTTCACAAACATATAAGTGGCTTGGAGACCATTTGATATCCCGAACTTAGATATCCAAGTGTTTATTTAGTGATGAAATATGATTAGAAGATACTATCTGTATTCCGTAACATACATAGAGTATTTTGGGTAAACTAACCAATCATAATTACACGGTTTATCAAAACTAGTCACTCTATTACACTAATAGCTCTGGTGAATCAAAAGTTGATACTAGCTCTCTAAATTCCGTCAAGAATTCCATCAATCGCCTGGAAGATCTGAGAGGCTACATTCTCATCTTCTGCTATAATAGCAGTACCAATCTCTGAGGTCTCTACAAGTCCCCTGTTAGGATTTGCGATATGGATTACGCTGTTGTCTTTTGTATCATTATCACGAGTGCTATGTTCTATTGATCCCTTTATACCCATTTTCAGTAATGCGTCCAGAAGTGATTCTGGAGCCACTGAGCCCCAATGCCTTAACGGCCGAGCCTTCCCTGAACTTTCTTCTTGCTCCAACCCAGTAACTAATCTGTGTTTCCCATCTTCCATCAGAAGCTCACCTTTCAATCTTGCAATACCAAAGTTTTCACGATGCCTTAGTTTTTTCCAGCTAAATTTGGAGGCCAAGTCTGTTGTAATCTCTACACTAGGGTTGTCAGCAATTCTTGGCACGCGTAGCGTCTTGTTCTCAGAGTAATTCAGGATTGAGCTTGTCTTCATCTCAGCCAGATTGATCCTCTGATTGACAGCATCAGGGATCTATTCATAAAATGGTATCAGATAGATGAATATAGACAGATGCAAGATGGAAAAATTTCTTCAACAAAGTGGAAATCGTTACCAAAACAATCTTTTGCTGCAACACGGAAAAAAGTGTTGGAAGCTTCTGCAACCTGCAAAAGAAACTACAGCACTGAGATTTGAGCACTAGTTGACAAGCAAATTTCAGAACATTTGACATGTGGACTACATGATTACAAGCTAAACGTGTGAGCTGCCATAGTTGGGAGATTTTTTTAGGCATATACTCGTCACCAAATAGCAATAAGGCATATGTGGAATTTAGTGGGTCAAAACTATCATATCGGTCAAGGTATTCCCTAGCACAAGAACCATGCTAACTCCTGTTTTGTGCAGACACAACTCAGATTCCTTGAAATGTAGATTTAATCATGCCCCAGGCAAACCTTACCTTATTCCAGAAAGAAATGAACATTGGAGAATTTTCATTGCTATCGGTCTAAAAGGGAGAAGTCCTAAACCTGAACTAAGCCCACCCTGCAAGACATATTTCTCATCAGATATATTGACTAGAGATTCACACTGAATTATCTGATGGGGAGAGAGAGAGAGAGAGAGAGAGAGAGAGAGAGAGAGAGAGAGAGAGAGAGAGAGAGAGAGAGAGAGATTAAAACCTCGAGAACAAGTAATGATTTTGGATCTCCACGCCAACGCTGAAGAAGTTGGACAGAAGGGCCGAGTCGCAAACTCCAGTGAGGAGCAAATACAATGCATGGCTCCTGCCAACTCGTTCTGTTCACATAATTAAAAAAGATCAGCGAATGTTGTAACATACTTCTTGAAACAGAATCACCCCATCACCAAAATTTAGGTTGCAGATTCCACGTGAGGTATTTGACTGATGTATCTGAACTAAGCAATGATATAAGGTGAACTGTAATGATAATTTCAATTATAGATTAGCATGACATGTGTTGGCAGACTATGCATTTACGCAAATTAACCCATCAAATAGTGATCGCAGAAATGAAACTATGGACCCCAATAGAAGGGAACTCAATGGAATACTTACATTAAGTTGGGTGAGTGAATGGCAGGAAACAAATGGATCTTCTTGTCTTTAATGAATTTAAGATGGCCAAAAGATGGTTCTCCTGAAATTAACTGTGACAACGTAATTGAATTTAATATATTTTTCACAGTAATTAACCAAGCACTTGGCAGAAGCATACCTTCTCCTGTCGTTGCTCACACAACCACTCCGGTATGGTGTTTGTGTATGCCAATAGCTCTTCTGCGACAGAAGATATTACAAAGACTGGAACCTAAGCAAAGCCATGGTAGAGTGATTTAGTCTTCAGAGCTAAGAATAATTTCAACTAAGAATCACCCATTTTTTATGCTTCATATCATCAAAAAAGTTAAACTACCAAATTAAAAGAAAGTGAAATTCAACCTTTAGAGACAAGGATTCAAGAGAGTTTGACATTAGCTCCAGGAGCTGCAGAACTATCCCAATTCGAGTAATCGTTATCAAGGTTGAGCCACCAGCATCAGCAGATTCTGCAGCACAAGAACAAACAAATGCTAGTTTCTCCATCTCTTCTAAGCTGTCTTCTGTGTTTAATAATGAAGCAGCCAAGTCATCATCCTTCTTGTCACTTCTAAAAAAGTTTAGCAGTATATAAAGATCCTCGACTTTAAGTCACAAACAAAACTCATCTAATAAATGTAAGAAAAAAATCTTATGTGAGAGTACCTGATTGTTGATAAATAATTATTATCCAGGTCAGGAGAAACACAACCATTCTCAGTCACTTCTGCAGATTGGAGGCATGAGAGATCTGAGTATATTAACACATCGGTTCCTTTGAGACCATGGAAATCAAAACTTTTTGCATGATGTGAAACACAGATGGAGCTTGACATATAACTTAGACTTCCATTAGGTCCGTTGATCAACCAATTGCAAGCCCCAATATCTAGACCTGAACTTAAAGCCTTGATGATCAAGGTCCCATTATAGCAAACTTCTTCTGCAAACTTTACAGCTTGAACCTTCTTCATGCAACTCTCTATATCATCTAAACTGTGGAAAAGGTTAGACAAAGATTAAAGAAGAAATCGATACTATGAAAACCTGAAGAGCTGGTAACTAAATAATGGGGCAACATATTCTTTAACAAGCCAAAAATAGTTACCTGTACAGACGCATCCAACTGCCCAGATCATCACCACTCTCACCGAAGACAACTTTTTTAAGCGAGGCTGGTACCTCTTCACTATCTAAATCCTTAATCCACCCAGGAAAACAGGAGTACCCGGGTCCATGAAAACATCGGAATTCATTATGCATCGATACAAGATCTTGCATCATGAGCTGTCCAATCTTTGCTGTTGCTTCAGTCATATATATCTACATCTTAGCAGTAACAATTCAGCACAATGCACACCCCAATCAAACAAACTCATTCAGAAAACTCAAAACTTTAGGACCTGAAAAACATTTACCTTGGCACAAAATCCAGGGTTTTGGGTAAGGAAAGGCAATCCGAGCAATCCCATAGGGTTGGAGATCAGAACTATGTCAATCAAAGAAGCCTCCCACAAATGCAAGGCTTTCACAGTTTTGTACCACGGTTCTGCGCAGACCAAATCAGCAGGAGTTAGCTGTCTCTCCAGTTTTTGCTTCTTCTGAATTGGATTATGAGCATCCAGAGGCACATCAGATAGGTATTCAGAAGCTTCAAAACCCACATCATATGGAACAGGAGAGAAGATTGTGATTGCCGAAAGGTCCAAAGGGCAGTCAATCAAGATTCTGAAACCACATAGATTCAGCATATGACAAGGAGGATAGTAAAAGCCATCTCCTTTGCTCAGACACGTCTGCAAAAAAGCACAAAGCTGTCATATTTACCCAACCCGAGGTTTTCCACACCTCACACGAAATATATAAACTTACATGAACTTATACGTACGAGCAAGAGAGACTCACCAATTTCATGGCGGTAAACGATAGTGGAATCTGTAAATAAATGAGGTTCAAATTCAGAACTTTTATATACAACGCAGCCTAAAAACAGCCCGAAAGATGCTTATCATAGGAGATTATTAGTATAATCCCAGAAAATTTTCTACTTGTTTAGAGAGAGAGAGACTAGCAGATGCGGCAAAGAGAGATTGAAATTTGAAAGTACGGAGGTTTATGCAAGGCGGCCATGGAGGTTTTTTGAGGACGAAACGCCGGTTTTAATTCGAAACTGGTTTAGATTCGATTTGGTTCGGTTTGATTAGTTCATCTTACATATTTTCGGTTTGGGTTATCAGGTTCGGTTCAATTCGGTTTGGTTGTTCTGATACGTTTGATGCTGCTGAAATAGAACCAGAGAGAACAGATTTGGTCCTCCGATGAATTCAGCTGGTGCGGTCAGCGACGGTAGGCTCACCGCGGAAGATTTCTCTGTAGCCGCTCGAGCTTTTGCCGATAAATGGAAAACTCATAACCAATCATTCCCTCCATGGTCATGGGTTCCTCTGATCAATCGAACTCTACTTCTTTCAAATCAGGTTAACAACGATCAACACTAATCTCCATAATTCAACCTTGTTTGATATACTCCTTATTTTTCTTATCTAAGATGCCTTCGTCTTTGTTGTGTTATTAGCAGGCGGAAGGTTACTTGTCGCTCGAGAAGAGCATCATTCTCAGTTCACTTGAGGTAATAAAATTTACAGCTCCTAACAGTGCTGCTGTGACCCTCTTCATTTCTTGTTTCTCACCATTTAGTATGTGAATAGGAAAGTCCAGAGGATGAATCTCTGCATTTAGCTACTGAGTGCTCGGAAAAAGAAGAATCAGTTGATCACGCAATCTTGGTACATTAACCTTTTAAGCAATTTTTCATTGCCAACATATCTGAAGCACAACTCTGGAATCACTAAGATTGGTATTTGCTTGTTTCCGCTAGGTCCAGAACCAAGAAAATGAAGCACATTACTATGATTTTCATTTAGTTTACAGTGCATCATACAAGGTTCCTGTGTTATATTTTCGCGGATATTGCAGCGGTATGTCAAAAATTTAACCTGCTTGGACCTTTTGTGGTTTGTTATTTTGCTTAGTTTTAAAATCATCTTTGTTGTCACTTAGATGGACAACCTCTATCTTTGGACGTCATAAAAAAGGATCTGCCCTCATGCTCTGTTAGTCTTTTGGCTGAATCTAAGTGGACGTTTATAACACAGGAGGTATCTAATCTCTCTAAATCAATACTACAATGTCCGTTTAAAGTGTATCATTTGGTTATTTGGTATTGAATGTCTATGTAACAATCAACCGCAGGAGCATCCATATTTGAACAGGCCATGGTTCAAGCTACATCCCTGTGGGACTGAGGATTGGATCAAGCTGCTTTCCCAAAGTAGCATCTCTGCTGGATGCCAGATGCCAGTTGAGTTGTATTTGGTTTCATGGTTCTCTGTTGTCGGGCAGGTTGTTGGTCTTAGGATCCCTCTTGAGATGCTGAATTAGTAGCCATCTTCTCTTACAAACTATAGGATGTAATCAGTGGCTCCAAACCCTCGGCAACAAATTTTTAAGGTACACAATCCTGAATATGACCTCTCTCCAAGTAGCGTGAAATTCTCACCAAGGAAAAAAAAACATAAAGCATTTTGGATGAGTCTGTAAAGAGGCTGATGGAAGGGTAATTTGTATCAGGTCCTATATACTTTCATGGTGGCAAAAATGGGAGTGTTGATGGGGTCAAAGAAGTTCTCGTATGTATCAAGCAAACCAATTAAATAGTTGGTAGACTGAGTAATGAAGACTTGGTCCAGGGAGGTTGTTAATTTCTGTTTCGTTAGTGTGTAGAAGACTTTGAAAAGGGAAACTAGTCTTTACGTAATTGACTTTTCCAGACGGATTAAGTAATCTGTGAAAACAAATGACTATTGTATTCTTTTTCATGCTTTGAATGGGACGAGGATGCGCATCTCAATTCAGACAGCAGCATTTTAGTGAAAGCTAAAGATGAGAGAATTTTGCAGCTGAAATATTCAACACAGCTGTTATATCATTTGTATGCCGTATTATATGAAATATAAGGACTCCATAAAAGTCAACCTTAGACCAATCATTTCCCTTTGAATTTCAATTAGTACCTGAAGAGTAAATTAGTTTAGAAATCTTTGGAATCTTGAACTGATTTAGATGTCGGATATATATACATGCTTTTAATACTAATTGTGTCCAAAAAATAGAAAGCTTCACCAAGATGGATAATAGTATGATTCGTAATTCTGGTTATTTTCTAATTACTTTCTTCCTCATCTCCATTTCGTTTGCAGTAAGATGCGGCGGAACTCAACAAAAAGATGACAGACATTCATCAGTGTACGAAGATGTTCGGATTGGTTTGGTGGTGGACATGGCTTCCATGGAAGGAAGGTTTGTTACAAGTTCACTTTCCATGGCGCTTTCTGATTTCTATGATGCCAACAATGGCTATAGAACAAGAGTCTCTGTCTTATCTAGAGACTCTCATGGTGACCCTCTCCAAGCTCTAGCTGCAGGTACGTGACGTACGTCAACAGACCTTTGTGTTCTTTTCCGTTTTTTCTTTTGCTACTACGTCGTAGATTATTTTTCTTCAGTACAATAAGCTCACAGTAGCCAGTGAATTATTGGAGATAGATTACTCACAGCAATAGTTATTTAGATTTGCATGAAAATGATTCGAATCTTGCCACTAAAACTTCAATCAAATTTGCATGACATGGTTAATGTTCACTTTTCATTTTGCCTGATTGTTTGAGATGTAATTGTTACAACAGCCATGGATCTCCTGCAAATTGAACAAGTGGAAGCACTTGTTGGTGGACAGTCGTTGCTTGAAGCAAAAATTTTGGCAGAGCTTGGGGAGAAAACTAAAGTTCCAGTAATTTCTTCTTTCCAAGTTCCTAGCATGTTGAGCTTGACCAAATATAATTACTTTATTCAAGCTACGCATGATACATCTTCTGAGGCAAAGGGAATTACAGCTTTATTCAGCAAATTTGATTGGAGAAACGTTGTTCTTATCTATGAGGATGATGATGATTGGAGAGAGAGTATACAACCTTTGGTTGGACATTTTCAACAGAACGCCATTCACATTGAGTATAAGGCGGAATTTTTGGTCTCATCTAATGAGGAATGTATCATGAGGCAGCTAAGAAAGTTTAAGGCCTCGGGGATAAGGATTTTTGTTGCGCACATTTCTGAACGTATCGCAAATCGTCTCTTTCCATGTGCTCAGAGGTTGGGAATGATGGAGGAAGGGCATGCTTGGATCCTCACAGCGAGAAGCATGAACAGTTTTCAAGACACAAACTATTTAGCAAAGGAAGCAATGGAAGGTGTGATTGGTTTCAAGTCTTATATTCCAGTGACTGAGGAGCTTCAAAACTTTACTTTGAGATGGAAGAGATCTTTGCAACTCGAAGAAGAAGTTACAAGGATGAGCATTTGTGGCATATGGGCTCACGACATAGCTCATAGTCTAGCAAGAGCAGCAGAAGTTGCAAAGATACCAGGTTTGCCTGTCAATGATCTGCTTGAGGCAATAGAGAGTACTATGTATAAAGGTTTGAGTGGTGACCTCAAATTCATTGATAAAAAGTTTGTCTCAGACAAGTTTGAGATTGTGAATATGATAGGGAGAGGTGAGAGAAGTGTTGCACTTTGGAATTCTGGTAGTTTCATTAGTAACAGAAGAAGAAGTTTGTCTTCTATCAATGCACTTGAGACAATCATCTGGCCTGGAGGGTCTACTAGAATTCCGAAAATCCTTTCGTTGAAAGAGAAGAGACATGGTAAAAAGAAGAAGCTGAGAGTTTTGGTACCAGCAGGAAACATACATCCGCAAATACTGGAAGTGAAAACAGATTTTAAAACTGGAGTTACAGCTGCTACAGGATACTGTATTGAAGTTTTTGAGACATCAATACTACCTTTCAATTATGAAGTAGAGTACATACCTTGGCCTCGTGCAATTAACTACAAGAACTACAATGATCTTCTGTACACGCTGTATAACCAGGTAAAATATATATATACACTCTGTTGTGACTTATCAGTAGTTATATCACTCTTTGGTTTTAGGAATTTTGAGCCTTCAACTCTAACCCAATTAGTAGTTATTGAGAGGTCAATGTCCAGTATATAGAATACTTTCATCTGAAACATTTAAACATTAAACATTTGTTTGGTTTGTTGCTTCTTTCCTCAGAAAGACAAGTACGATGCAGCTGTTGGGGATATCACGATTACTGATAACAGATCTTCATATGTAGATTTTACATTACCCTTTACTGACATGGGTCTCGCAGTTGTTACTGCCAAAGACAAAAGCATGTGGATTATCTTTAAGCCTTTGACACTTAGTCTTTGGCTAACAATAGTAACATTCTTTCTCTTGACGGGGACTATAGTTTGGTTGATAGAGCGGCATGATAATGCTGACTTCCAAGGCTCTTGTTTCCAACAGATTGGAACATTGTTATGTTTTGGGTTCTCGACCCTTGTCTTTGCCCATCGTAAGTATGAGAAAATCAAACTAGCCTTCTCGGTTTTCGTATTACAAAACCTCTCTGACTTTTTTTCGCTTTGACATTGTTGATGTATAGGGGAGAGGCTGCAGCATAATATGTCAAGATTTGTAGTTATTGTTTGGATATTTGCAGTGCTTATATTGACTTCAAATTACACTGCAACGTTGACATCAGTGATGACGGTTCAACAGATACGGGGGTTGAAATCAAACGAAAACATTGGCTTCTTTTCTGCCTCTATCGCAGCAGATGTGGTGAGAGATAATCCTGCGTTCCATGGACCGAGATACAAGGGATTAAAGTCAGCTGACGATTATATAAATGCTTTAAAGAATGGAACTATCTCGTTTATCGTCGATGAAGTTCCATATGTAAAGCTCTTTGTTGCAAAATACCCTGCAGAATTCGACATTGTCAAAACCGAAAGCATCACCAACGGCTTTGGATTTGTAAAATCTACATTCTCCCCCTCAAAAACTTTCCTCTTTTGTTACATTATTATGTATGCACTCTTATATTTTACTTGATCATCATTCTCTCAGGCATTCCAGAAAGGTTCTCCTTTGGTTCAAAAGGTGTCAAGAGAAATCGCAAAGCTAAGGAGAACAGAGAAGCTAAAAGCCATGGAGAATTGGTGGTTCCATAGACAAACGACATCAGCCACAAACGAGGATACGTTTGATCCTCTCACCGTTTACACGTTTCGCGGTTTGTTTATGATCACAGGGGTTTCTTTCGCGTTTGCTCTCGCCGTCTATCTAATCCCCTGGAACCGAGACCAGAGGCAAGTCGTGCTTAAACATCTTCACCGTTATGTTAGTCGTCGATTTGCAAGAGCAATTCGTCCTTCAGACACCGCACCAAACAGGCAAAATGAGCATGCACAGTCATCTGAAGCTTGACATCTTCGTATAAATGCAATTATTATGTTCGAATTTCTTTGGCATTTTCAAGCTTCCACCAACATACTAGACGTAATTGCTTAAGATTGTATATATCAAAACTATCTGTAGCTTGTTGAGTTGAGACGCTTTTTGACCTATAACCTTCGATTGAGTAGTCAAAGGGAATATACAGTATTTAGTGAATGATTTGTCTTAAAATGACCAATAAATTCAGGTATAATTTATCATTTTTCAAAAAATCTTGAAAATTTAGTGTTTGATGCCTTAATGGTTATATTTTCCTCTTAAAGTACTGTACATTTAAATGTGGTGTTATTCAATTGTTTAAAACATTACTATTATTCCCAAAAATAGTGTCAACCTTATAAATTTTTTAAAATGGATGACTTTTCAAAATGATATTTATAGTAAGCATGATATTTTTGAATTAAATCTAATCAAATTTTCAGAGCACACAAATAACAATAAGGTTTTTGAAGAAAATCTTGTTTTTTTGTCAATCTTTAATTTTTTTAATGTATAGCTTTAAATGATATTTATAATGACCGAAAGTTTATATTTTTCTTAAAATACTTACTATAAATCTAGTGTTATTTTAATTATTTGCATTACATTACTATTATTAATAATGTTGTCAACCTTTACTTTTTTTAAAAATGGTTTTAAATGATATTTATAATAACCATATGTTTTAAAATAAAATCTAATCAAATTACCAAAATCATTGAAAGATCTATCAAAAACAAACTATTTTAGAATACAACCAAATAAACAAAAAAAAAAATCTTTAAAAAAGAGAAGAAAACTCAAAACTTAATTTCAGTTGACTCCGACGTGGAAATTGGAAAAGGAGCATAACGGGGGAGCTGGTTCGTACAAAAATAGGGAGAGAGAGAGTTCCGACAAGCTCTCTTTTTAGGACAATACATCTCTTTCTTCAAACTAAAGCCCCGAGCAAAAGCAAACTCATCGCCTAATTCAGATTCCCTCATGGAAGAGTAAGCTTAACCCTTTCTCTCTCTCTCTCTCTTCTCTCGCCCTAAACTCAATCTGTCTCTTTTTTTGAGTAAAATTCGTTTTCCGACCAGATCTGAGCCGAAAGATAACTACATGACCGGCGTTGAGAACGGCGTGAGAATGACGTCGCCGTCTTCAACATCCTCAATCGCCACCACAAGTGTCCACGTAAGCGCTCTCGATGGACTCGTGAACGTTAACTCTCTATTCACCATCGCCGTCTTCGTAGGCCTTTCCTTAGCGACTCCAGGACAACACAGCCTCGAACAACGATCCAGCTGCGATGCAAGTGCTGATGTGGCCAAGAAGCTGCTTGTCTTCGAAGTCGTCTCCTTCAGCTTCTTCCTCTTCTCCTCTTTGGTAGCTCAGGGTCTCAAGCTTGCCCTAAACCTTCTCAACAGCAAAGACGTCGATGAGATTTTCAGAGCTCACATCAACATTAAGGTTTTGAGATGGGGAATGATGGCTTCTGCTGTCGGATCTGTCATGGGCTGTCTGTTCTTGATGCTCTCTATGGTTGATGTGATTCAGATCCGTCTTGGGTTGCTCTCTTGCGGCAGTCAACCGGCGGCCCAAGCGGTAGCAACGCTCGTGACTCTGGTTTCCTCTGCTCTGTTGGTTTACATCTCTACTGCCATTTACGCTTTCTGGCATTGATACTGATGAATCAATTCCTGTCAAAATTGGGTTTTATAATGATTGGGAATGATGAGTGTCTCAGCTTCCAAGTCCATGGCTCTACTTTGATTGGCCAATGTAATTTTATCAATGCCTTTCAATCTTTTCTTTTCTTTGTTTGTTTCCGAGAATGGAGAATATAACACTACAAAGGAGAATTTGGTGATGAGCTCTTATGAACAGAAGTGAAGCTGTGTTGTTTATCGTTTAGTCAACTAAAGGGGTTTGGTGAAAGTAGTGGACTCAATTTCTCTTACACTTTGGATAACATTATTGATGTTGGTGGAGAGATGGTTGGAATGTTCTTCCATCTCCTCTAAGACCATATCAAGCTGCTGTTGCAACGCAGCACAACGCTTTCTCTCTCGGCTCAGCTCTGCACTCAGCTCACGAATCTTTGCGTCTTTCTCGTCCCGAAAAATCCATTAGTACAAGATTTCAAGATCAATACATTTAGTTCAGAGGAAAACGGACAGAGCTTTATGCTCTTGGTATGTCAGAGATCAATGTCAACGTTGCTCAAACGCACTCTAAAAGGCAATAGCATCAGTTAACAAGATTCTGCAATATATCTGATATAATTTTGTTTAGGTAATCAAATGATCCAGATCACCTGGAAAAAGAAAAAAACTCCTCTACAATACTAAAGTCTTTCCTCTTCTTTAGTTTGGTTATCACTGTTTTCCCCAAAGGATAAGTGCATAAACGTACCGGTGTTTGAGAGAGCTGAGAACTCCGGCCAACATTAGGTGAGAGAGGATGATTATGCTCTTTCACAAATTTAGTGACAACCCATTTTCCAGATTTCTCTCTTTTCACCACGATCAAAGCCTTACACCCTTCTCTTGTTATAGCTCGAGGTTTCCTGCTCTCGCTTCTACGAGGTCTCAATCTACGGAAGCCTTCTTTATTACACACGAGTCTGCGCCACACCACGGTCCCATCTCGCATTGACCGCCTGAAAGCATCCACTCGCATAACGAAACCCATGACTGTGGCATAACTGTCATAGAATGACTTTGCAGATGCTTCTGATTCAAACTCCATTCCAATGAACGGCTCCACCAATGGAGAGGTTTCATTAGTGACTATATATTTTCCATCTGAACTCTCCATCATCTCTTCCTCTTCTTCGGGTTGAGAGTGCTCTTCCACTGCCAAACAACACACAGACATTTCAATACATGACAAAGAGATGCAAAGCTATGAAACAGATACCATACCAGAAACTCCCAACTCCAAACCAAATGCCCAACTAAACGCAAGAAAATACTTATAAACCCACCCTACTCTCTCTAACCAAGTCACAACAGCTCTGATCTGCTACATTTCAGCCCTACGATAGATGTAGTGGACCTAAGAATTGAGTAGGTGAACTTCTTCTCTTCAAAGCTTATCAAAACAAACCATGGCTTGAAGATAAACAGGTAGTGAAAAGAGAAAACCTGAAATATGCATTTCTAAACCCTAATGAACAAGGCAGAGAGTAGCAATTTCATCGATCTTACTCAAATTCTGAACTTGGCCAAAGTGGGTTTCATCCATAACAGAAAGAAAAAGCAAACTTGATCCATACAGACGGCGAAACTGGGAATTTAGATTACGTAATTTGACGCACAGACAGAAGCAAAATAGACAAAAGGGAGCAAATAAAAAAATCCCACAAAATCATCGAAACAGAGAGTTACATTAATTAAAAAAAAAAAATTTGATTTTGAGTTATAGAACAATAGAGAGAGTGGGGATTAAATTGAAGCACTCACTTGGATGGAAGATTAGAAAACTCCAAATCTGTGAGAGAAGAAAGTGAAGTGACGATTTTTGAAACTGAAGTTAAGTGACTGGGGGAATCGAAGAGGAGGAAGACGACAAGACAAAAGGAAGATCGTGTCTTTAATTTTGTTCGGTGACGATGACTAAGTACCGCACGTGAACGTACTTCCACATTCCGGTCTCACCCGTTGGATTACGGACTAAATGATAAAACGGCACGTAGTTTATAAGCTGACCTCTGTGGAAGAGTCTTTTCTTTTTTTCATCAACCAAAAACATTATGTAGTTTAATCAACAACGCTTTTTTTTTATATATATGAGCAATTCAAAACAAAGCTCACAAAGTTTGTTGAGCTTTTTGCTTTTGCAAATCCATTATAATCGATTTCGTGGCTTTGCCCTAATAATCATTCCGAAGAAAAAAAAAACCAATGATTTTTGGTCTCAAACCCGAACCCGAAAAAATGGTTTTTTTGTTTGTTTGTTTGTTATTACAAGTTTGATCCTAAGGCGGCGAATCCACCACCTTTCATCATCTGTTTGAACTCTTTGAAGTTCACCATCCCATCTCCATCAACGTCCACTTTGCTTATCATCCTCTTGCAATCCTCTAGGGTTCTTCCTTGCTTGAGCCCCAAGGAAGCCAACACAGACTTTAGCTCCTCCACCGTGATGAACCCGTCCCTGTTCTGATCGAACACATTGAAAGCTTCTATCATGTCTTCCTCCTCGTCTCTCTCCTCCATTATCGTCTGGTACAACCCTCCAAACTCTTCGATGTCCACGTACCCATCACCGTTGAGATCAATCTTCTCGATCATCTGCACCAGGTCTTTGTCAGGAATGTAGATTCCTAGATTCTCCAATGAATCATTCAGCTCTTGCTTTGTGATTTTTCCGTCACCGTTCCTGTCGAACATTTGGAATATCCTGCAAAGCTCTGCTTGATCCATTTCTCTTGATTGGATTATATATGATATATGAGGTTTGAAACAGAGAATGAATGGAGATCAGAACTAGAAAATGGGTTTATAGAGAAGAAGAAATTTAGGGCAGGAGAAGAGAAGAAGGACTGGTTCTTAAAGAAAAGGAGTGGTTGCCATTTTAGAAAACTAATTACAACTGTGATCGTGTTCTGCACCAGTTTTCTGTTGAACTGGTCTTAAAATAGATTCATGTCCTCTCAAGAATACACAAAAACAACGTTAGTCTCTATCTATAGAGACACACACGGAATGTACACTTTTATCTCATAACTCATATATCATCATCATCTTCATCAAATAGTTGTTTTCCGTTAGGATATAGTTATTTCAGGTTTTATGTTTTAAGACTCGCAATTTGTTGTTTGGATAGTTATACATTATTTTGTTCCAATTCTTATCATTTTGTATATGTTTGTTTTATCTATTTTTTTCTTTTCCAAATTTTATATTATCATACCTAAGATGCCATTTATTCGATGTGAGAATTTTATATTTCGTCTCAATTTGAACATCGCGATGTTTCGAAAATAGAAGAGACAACTTGAACAATATTACGACTTAAAAAAAGAAAGAGATGGCGTTTAAAATAGTTAAGGTCTTAATCACTTCTTTACAGATTGATAGTAACACTTTTTAACTACACAAGACCGTGGTTCACAAAACAAAGATTTTTAATTATGTTGTATTGTATCAACCTTATGAACCTGAAAGTAATACTTATTGAGTTAGGTTCACCACACGCAGATGTAAAAATTTATGTAAACGTTTTGAAGTAGATCATCTGAGCATTCAATTTTCAGTGTGCTTTGGTTTCAGATTTTGGGGGAATTAGTACAAATTATGTTTAAAGGACCTCTAAGCTGCATTTTAGAACACCAGTAGGAGCATAACATTATTAACATCTAACCAGTATATCCTCGATGGTACTATTGATTAACTCTTCCACACTAAACCCGAACAAAAATAGATCCGACATACAGAGTGTGCAAGGCTCGAATCAAATCTACCAAACCAAAGGTATGAAGATGCCATATTCATTCTACCTTTTTCCTTTCGCTAGAAGCAGAATCAGTGATTACAAAGCTAAGAGCCATATAATGATCTCAACCTCACCAAATATGCACAAGTAGCTAAGAGAATGATAGATGAAAACTCCATCAATGCTTCAATCTAAAGCCACCACCTTCGACAACTAAACACTAATAGAAAAGATTGCCTTTTTTCCTTAAGCTTACTTGTATACTTACTTATATGGTCCATAATGAGAACTTCATTCCTTCCTGTTGTCCTACAAAAGCACATCATTGTATATGCTCTCTTTCTCTAAGCCTAAAGTTCCTTGAGCTCGAGAGACCAACAGAAATCAACACCATGTAATCACACTTCGACATAATGTGCTCATTAACCTTTCCTTCAGATATAACACCATAGGCTCTAATCTCTCCTATGTTTTTGCTATACTTTTAAAACAGTGAAGGAACAATAAAGCAAGATCACCTTAGAGAGCAATCATCTAATCAAACGAGAAATGGAATCAAGAAAGCAACATTCAATTTGCAAATCAACCCGTACTTGAAAGCAGGGATCGTTTACCACATAACAAAATTTAAAGTAAGGAAAGGAAGTTTACAGATTCAAATGGAGTTATCTGCAGAGTAGCGAAATTTCCAACGCGATTTTATTAGCCAATTTGAGAACGAACACCCAACATCATTTATGAGAGAGACTTCAGAGTAAAACTTACGGAATGTCCCAAGGCTTAGCTTCAGGGACGGCGACGACCATACCTTGAAGCTCCTGCGTTAACACAACTTGGCAACCAAGACGAGAATGCTTGTTCAAAACACGGGATCTTGAGCTACGCTTGAGCACATACTCCTCGTCGTAGGAACGCGGCGGGAGCTTCTCGAGCCATTCCTCAGCGATCTGAACCTCGCACTCAGCAGAGCAAGCCTCGATATCGTCTAACCGATGCGACGCCGGATCGATCAGACCAGTGTGAGTGAGCGCACGAAGGAGAGTCTGGCCAGAGAGCCCAATGATATCTTGCTTGTATCCATCTGGATCGATCGCAGAAAGCTTGACGATTCGGTCGGAGACTTTCTTAGATCCCAGAGAAGGAGACGGAGCAGATGTGGCGGAGGTGCGGACGGTTAGGGATCTGACGAATGGAGAGAGGCGGTGGATTTGAGAGGAGAGTTTCTGGAGTGTCGTCGCCATCGTCGTTCCCCAATTTTGGTCGGAGATTTTGGTGTTATGGTGGTAGCTTTCGATTACGATACGGGAAACCGGAAAAGCAAAGTGAGGCTGAAACGCAAACTTGAAGTGGGCTTCTTTACTATAAGCCTAAAATACTTATAGGCCCAATAAGTCGAGGAAAATAAAATACTCCCACCCGGTTCAATGGGTCTGGTTATTGTTTTCTTTCTTAAGTTATGTCAACTATTTGACTATGCCACGTGAAAGATAAGCTTTGCATTTATCGAAACAATGCTATCTCCATCCTTTCATTAAAAATATAACAAATCATCTAATATACAAGAAGGCTCGAACACCAAATTGGTTTTCTAGTGTAGCGTGCAACCAATTCAATTCGAATGATCTCTACTCCTTATTCAACACAAAAGAAACGTGAATTTGCAATACGGTTAGTCAGATCCTAAAAAATCAACTAAAAAATGAAATAGAAACGGGCATTAAGGCCAATAAAGAATATACAGTCATTCAGTGAGCCTAGTACCTACCTATTATGTCCACGAGTAGAAAGAAACCACCGTTTAGGATGATTGAAATAAAACATTGCTTCAATGTGTTGTTAATACGAGGCATTCAAGACATTTTGAAGACCTATATACTATTACACTTGTATTTAACATTCGGATTGCCGCAGATCCACTCTGTTCCCATGTGATACGGTCCACCTACTTTTCCCAATGAAACAACGCGTTTAGAAATATAGGTATTTTTACAAGTTATATAGCAAACCCCAAGGCGTAACGAAAACTACCCACATGTTATAACTAAAATACGCATATTTTTGCATTTGGGTGGTTACAGTGCACGTGGCTTTCATTCATTGGTTGGTTCCATACATGGAATGAGAAGCACGGGATTACTGCTCCATTCCAAATTCCGCCTTCAATAATTTTGATAAATTTTTTGATCCACTCTGTTTCAAGCTGTCACCAGAATGTCGTCTTCTTCTTCTTCTTCCTCTTCCTCTACGCTTAAACCCATTAATTCAATTTCCTATTAACGAGCCCTGAGGAGAGGAGAGGAGAGATCTGAATTCGGGGGAGACTAAGCGATGATGATTTCTATTAATCACATCGCGCTTCTTTGTCTCGTTCTCGCCGCCGCCGCCGGGATCTCGATCTCTACGGCGATCTCAGAGAACGAGTCTATATACGAGATCCTCCTGGCGAATGGTTTGCCTTCCGGGATATTCCCTAAAGGCGTTAAGGAATTCAACTTCGACGCCGAGACGGGACGCTTCTCCGTTTATTTGAATCATTCATGCGAGGCTAAATACGAGACTGAGCTGCATTACGACGCCAATATCACCGGGACCATAGGGTCCGCTCAAATCTCGGATTTATCGGGAATCTCGGCGCAGGAGCTCTTCTTGTGGTTCCAGGTTAAAGGAATCCGGGTCGACGTCCCGAGCTCTGGTCTTATATACTTTGACGTTGGTGTTGTTCGCAAGCAATACTCTTTGTCTTTGTTTGAGACGCCTAGAGATTGTGTTGCGGTTTCTGGTGTTGACAAGGTATGGAACAATGATGATTTTGTGTTTGCTTTTTGAGTTTTTTTTTTTTTTTAAATTGAATCATATGGATTTTGTAGAACTTTGTGAGTATTATTGCTTGACAGGAGAAAACACTAAATAATCTAGAAACGTGTTTATACATAGAGATAATTCGTATTTGCTCCTGTGTGTAGAGTCCCTTGATTTTGTAATTTTCAATGATTAGCTCTTGTTGTATTCAGAAGCTGCAGGCTTTGCCACTAGGAATTTTACGTGTTATGGTGAATAAGACAATGATATCGTCTTCAAAGGAGAATCCTTTTTAAAAGTTTGCTAGCTTATCTCATTCGTCATAATCTGCAACTTTTGAGATTCCTTTCCAGAGTCCTTTTCTCCATTCTTGACTTGGTTGCGAGTTTTGATTGGTCAGGGACTGTTGGACATGTGAAATTAAGATTACTTTTTTGAACTAGGAAAGATTGTTCCTTTTTAAGTGGCACTTTTCTCCAATCTTGTAATTGGTTGAGATCTTTGATCGGTGAGGGGAACTGTTATATCTTTAGAGCTAGGAAAGATGGTTTTGAGAGTGTTGCATTGATCAGACTCACTCGTATAATGGATAATGAGCTAATATGTTGTCCTTAATGGCGTTTGCAGGTTCAGCCTCTTATGTTGCCATTGTATCATGTAGATCAGAATCTTGGGAGAAACGTTATTTAGCACAAATATGAGGAATGTTGTTATGCCATACCAGAGAGAAAGGAAGATAGATGCTTTCATCAATTCTTGAAGATACTTCAACTGTTTTGGTCTCAAATCTTAGGCGTGATTCAAAATCCAAAAATTGCTTCATTCTTTCCCTCCCCCATTCTCCAGTTTTGTTTCTGTGTTTCATTCTTAGTTTGCGCCGGGGACAGAACGGAGGAGAGAAATCCGTGGTTTTGAAAAGATGCTAAAGGGATGGCCCAGATCTGGTTCAAGTGATGAAAACTGTGAGGTGGTGAATGTTTTGTGTTGTATTTTTGTGTCATGTCTAAACAGATATAATAAAAATCATATATACTATATTTTAGCCAAATACAGTACAGTGTTATAGACAAAAAAAAAAAAAAATTGGCAATTTGCAATCATTTCCCTTTCAGCGAGAATATCTGGCTGCTTTATTTTTGGTAAATGGATCTAAGTTTTACAGTCAAATCAACTGTGACAATTATAGGATTTCGTCGTCATTCTAAAGACCTGCACTGATCTGGCCTGAAGTGGAAGTCTGTCTCCAGTTGGCTTTGGAAGTCACTGTCCTAAGATCCAGTAGATCAATGTAAATAGTAATGCCAAAATATGCCCACTCAGGAGAGATTTTGAAACTTATCAAGTGCAACAAGCCTACGACATTAGAAGAGGGGTTCTTGGTTTAAAGATTGTGAGATATACTTTAGTTTTTCTTTTCGTCTTCTAGCGTTGGTGTAACTAAACACACCGCATTGCATGGTCTGTGAACCTAGTCACAGATAAGAATAATAACATGGAGGAAACTAAAGCCGCCAGACCATAACTCCTGTCTCGATGAGACATTTAGTTTAAGATGGTGACTAAGACCCATGACTTGATGGGCATGTGTTATAAGATAAACGAGACTACTACAGTGGTCTATTTTATTAAAAATTTTGATGATATACCATTGAAAAATATATGTATATAGTAGTTCCGGATCCAGATATTTCTAGTAATTGCATAGAAAATGTGACCCTACAAACAATATGCCCAAGTTCCACGATCCATCTTATCAAACTCATTCAATCAATCATTCTCGTTATTCGCCTACTAATGTAAATTATTAACAAAGATTTTCAAAACTAGAGAAAAAAGAAAGATACATTGTAGTGAAAAGAATCTCAGGTTCTTCTTACAGTGGCTTTGGTCCGAGTCAGATGGGACAGCCATGTGGTCGTACAAATTTGTCGGCTTTGGTTCAACTTGTGCGCCGTGTAGGCTCGCTCATCTTTTATATACTTGCGCATCTCTCGATCCAACCTCTAAAACCCATACCTCTCTTTGATCCCATGTGGTCCGGTTCACCTACTTTGACAATAATAACTCAGTTAAATGTTAGAACATGGCTTAACCAAACCACCCACACATTAAACTAAAAATATATAAAGCTACGTGGCACTTATTCATTGGTTTGTCTTTCCATGGCCTGAGAAACAGAAGATCAGTACTCCCCCATTTCCAAATTCCGCCTTCAATAATTTTGATCCACTCTGTTTCAAGCTGTCATAAAAATGTCGTCTTCTTCTTCTTCCTCCTCGCTTAAACCCATTAATTCAACTTCTCCATAGCCAGCAACGAGATCTGGCGAAACGAAACCATCCCACTATGCTTCGTATCATCCAAATCGCGCTTCTTTGCCTCGTTCTCGCCGCCGGGATCTCGATCTCCGCCGTGATCGCGGAGAACGAATCTATAGACGAGATCCTTCAGGCGAACGGATTGCCTTTGGGGATATTCCCGAAAGGGGTGAAAGGGTTCAGCGTTAATGGCGAAACGGGACGCTTCTCGGTTTATCTGAATCAGTCGTGTCAGGCTAAGTACGAGACCGAGCTGCATTACGACGCGAATATTTCGGGGACGATAGGTTACGCACAAATCGGGGATTTATCGGGAATCTCGGCGCAAGAGCTGTTCTTGTGGTTTCCGGTTAAAGGAATCCGTGTTGACGTGCCGAGCTCTGGTCTCATATTCTTTGATGTTGGTGTTGTTCACAAGCAATATTCTTTGGCTCTGTTCGAGACACCCAGAGATTGTGTTGCCGTTCGTGGTGAAAACAAGGTATATGCAATTTCGAGAATTTTGTTTTCTGTTTGTGTTCCGATTGAAATTTTATATTACCACCTTTGTCTCTTGTATGATGGATTTGTAGATATGAGTTTATGGCATTTAGCTCTAGTAATAAGTACTGCAATTGCTTGAATTGAGAAAGGTTAATTTTTCTAAATAGCCTTGCAAAAAGTGGTTATGCATGAGAAGATTCTGAAGATGGATTTTGAGATGTGTGCGTGTTGCTGTTTATTCATAAGTTTCACGCTTGCCACGAATAAATTGGTGCTGAGATTGGTTCAATAATTTGTACCTACATCTCTAATTCCTCAGGACTAGTAAAGATGGTTTTTGATTGATCAGATTCATTGATATTTGATGGAAAAAAGTGAACTGATTGTGTGTTCCAATGGTTCTTGCAGGTTCAGTCATCTATGTTGCCATTGTATCATATAGATCAAACTCTTGGGAGAGACATTGTTTAGCCGGAGTTTATGAAATGTTGTTATACTATACCAGAGAAAGATAGATGATCTCATCAAAATTCTTGAAGATACTTGTACCGTTTTGATCTCAAAATCTTTGGCATGATTCAAAGTCTCAGATGCTTCATTCTTTTCCTCCCACCATTCCAGTATTGTTTCTGCATTGCTTTCTCGGATTGAGCGAGAGGACAAGAACCGAGAGAGTTTGTGACCGGGAAGTCAGAAGGAAAGAACAAATGTCTGGTTGGTTTGGAAAAGATGTTGATTGAATGGCTCAGATTTGGTTGAAGTGATGATAATATTGAGGTGATGAATGTTTATTATTGTATTTTTATTTTATTTTATTGAGTTTTGTCATTTGTTCTGTTTTGTACTTTGTCATGTAAGCACAGATATAAATAAAACATAATCCTGTATTTAGCCGAATAACTCTCATATAAAATAGCTGTGATCAGGACTCGTAATAATTTGGAAGTGCATATGCTATAATAATATAAACGAGACTAGTTTGAGACAAGGGTGTATAATTTATTTCATACAATTTTGACAATTCTTCAAGCATAAATATAATTAGGTTGTACGTTACACAACTAATGCCGTATATTTCCCCCAAATCATCATATGTTTTTTTTTTTTTTTTTAATGTATTACTTAGTTTCCATCGAAATTGGATGTAAAAATAAAGATGTATACTAAACTCTAATACGTATGAGATAAGTGAAAAGTGAGACTAGTTGCATATGATATACGTATATCAAACTCTAGTTACAATATTCTAATCAGAATTTGTCCTCTTCTATTATAAAGCTAGACAAGCGCAGTTCACACTTTTATATGATCCTTTGTGGCTTTTCTTTTTTTAATTCGTGTATTAATAAAAAAAAAGTTTTAGATTTGGACGTTTTGTCTTTCTTGTGAAGAAAAGGTGAAAAGTGAGACAAAGACGTTAATAACTTGTTATAAATATGAAAGTAAAAAATTTAACTAATCGCATAGAAAATGTGAGTTTACAAACAAACAAACCCAAAAATATCATGATCCATCTAATCCAACTCCATTAGGTTACGCATGCGATCATTCATTCTCATTTGCGCGTCTCCTAGCTATTTATTATATATGTAAAATTAAGTTTGTATATTATGAGCATCGCCTGTTTTAAGACATACTGTCAAAACTTTAAAAAAAAAAAAAAAAGAGAAGAAGAGATGATTGTAATGAAAAGGTATCAGGTATTTACAGTGATGCTACTTATAGTTATGGTCCAGTCAGGTCTGGTGAGAGAGACTCTGGGACACCCATGTGGTCGAACATTTTTGTCGGCTTTGATCCAGTTAGTGCCGTGTAGACCATCAGTGGCTCCGTTTAGCACACTGCGTCCGAACGAGCTATGTTGCGCTGCCATCAAGGCACTTGGTCAACCTTGTCTATGTGTTCTTGCCAAGGGACCACCCATCGTTGGCGTTGACCGGACCCTCGCTCTCCATTTACCTGGAAAGTGTTCTGCCAATTTCCCTCCATGTAATTTAATTTTTCTATCTGCCCTTGTCATTCTTTTTTTTTTTAAACTAATTTTACTAGAGAATCACATCTTTTAATAAGGTTTTAGTCAGACGGACTCAGACCTATAATTAGAGACTTTAGACTTGTATTAATTATATGATATATCATGCAACACTGTATATATATCAGCAAAGCGCTGAAGTAGCATATTAGTTTCATGAAACGTTTTGTAGCGAGTGTGTCGAGTGATGTCTGATTAACAGAGATATCAAATGCAGGTGAGGTGTTAAAATAGAAGCATTGTTTGACAAAGGAAACAGCTTCATGGAGATACGTTTCTTCTCCTTTTGCTTGCTTACGTGGGTGTATTTTTCATATTAGTTGCTCCTTTTGTACTTAAAAATAAAAGTCTGCATTTATATTATGTTGGTGATTACTTACATGACACTACATTTATTTTATCTTGTTTCCCTTTTCTTTTTTACATTGGAAAAGAATTGGAAATTGATCACAATGGTAAGAAAAAAGGTTACCCTTTTCCGTTTTTACTTGCTGCGTAACAAATTCATTTACCGTTTAAAGCCCAGAATCAAGCTGCACTCAAACATAAGACGATCAGCGCTACATCATCTAGTAACTGAATGCATACTTTTGCAAAGTAATAATAATTGATGTTCACATGGATATAAAATAGAGTAGAAAGCTACGCCAAAGCTCCATTCAATCTACTTGCTCTCATGTGATGTTAACGTATTCAATCTCTAGTGTATCTCTCAGCATCAAAGGGTCGTCTTTGTGCATTCCAATTCAAGTCCCTAGAGTCTTCAGAGGCCGGTGCTGCATTCATTGGTGCAAAGGCTGCGACAAGAAAGATTGTTCAAGATAGCTGAAATGCTTATAGTAGAATGCTGCAGATATATCACCCAAATGGGATTTAGCTAGACTCATGCAAGATACTCGGCTCAAATTAGCATGTCAACTATACAAATACAAGAGCCAAATGGTAGACAATAAGCCACATTCGTCTAATTTCATCTCTTGTGCTCTATTATATATATTTCCTCTCTTCAATTTGCAAATGATATGTTTTAAGCATTCCAATTTTCTGACATATTCCAGGAAATACATCAGACTTCCTATTCAACAACAAAACAGTGATGCCTCAACTATAGCTTTCCAATACTCACAAGGAAATTTATCAGATCACATCAGCAAGTCAATTTCTGTTCATGCAGTATAATGATGAAACAGTATGAACAATGTACCACTATGCTTAATCCATTATATATTTTGGCCATGAACACTCACCTTTATCTCTCATCCTCCTTTCTCTATCATACTCAAATTTGTCTCTGACTTGATTGACTTTCTCCCAGCTATCACCTTGCATAGGTCTATTAAACCCTTGCTCCTGCTTTCATTTTCGATCCTCACAAAACTCAGACCCAGATTTTAAAGAAAACAAGAAACAGGAAGCACGCAGCAAAATCTCAAATCTCAAAAGCTCGTATAGCCTATATCCACAAAATAACATGATAAAGTTGTTACCTTGGCTTGATCGCTGTAAGACCGCCTGTTCCTGCAATGAACAAGGAGACAAACCAATCACAAAACCATCCATACACACCTAAATACCATTATAAGAATATGGTCAAGGATTAACAGATATACCTGTATGGATTAAAATCTTCATCGTCTTCTTCAGCGGACTCATAATTAGCATGGTCACTCGCAATTTTCTTTGAATATCCTTCATCCCAATAAAGCCTCTCCCAGTTCTCTCTAAGCTCATTATATAGTTCCATATACTTTTTGCACCATGGCTCATGTTCCTATCATTTGAAATGGCAGCACAATTAGGTTAAAGACAGGATTTTTCCAATTGAACCACAACACAGAACAATCAATTCTTGTTTTTTATCTCCAAAAGGAAGTAATAGAAACGAAAGAGCTGCTCTGTTTCTATTTACTCTGTAAACAAGCAGTGACGATTGGAAAAAAACTAAACTTTATTAATGGAACTCACCGATTCTTTAAGGACAAGGCGAGTGCGGCGCATGAATTGCTCACGGAGCTGCTTACGGCGTTTATTCGGGATGTTATCTCTAGGGATTGTGAATCGCTCACGGGGAGGGATGTGATCACCTATCTCGTGCATCTCTCCGTCCACGATCCACCATTCGGATTTCTCTTCCTTCTTCTTGAACGGAAGAGAAGGCAACTTGTTTCGCCGTCTCGGCTGACCTGCCTCTGTTCTGGCGAGTCGGCTCTGTGAACCGCTGCTGTGACGTAGCGACGGCAAAACCGAGCCCAGTCGTCTGACGACAAAGTTCATGACTGTTTTCCGGCGGCTAGTCTGAGACTCGAAGTAAAGTCTCATGAGGTCTAACACGACCTATACCAGAGCTGGCTCCTAAACCGGTGGGTTATGAACCGGTAATTTCACAAAACCGAAACTAAATTTCTCGTATGATTCATGAATTCCTGATTACGGATTTGAAAATAAAGTTTGGTCATGTTATAGTTTAACGAGTTTGATTTTGTAAGATTATAAGATAACTATAGCATTGAACTGGCAAATGGTGCGGTCCAATTTGAGAGATGCTTCTTACTTTCTTTCCTTTAAACCTTTAATTATAGAACTGACAATATTTTTTCGATCATAGTTCAGCTTTCAGGTGTGATGTGATACCGTTACACATTTGATTGTTGTCTTCTTTACCTTTTCAGCCAAATCCAGCAAATGCCACTCTAATAATTGTAAATTCAGATGGAACTTGCTTTTGCCTAAACTACAAAACTCTATACTCTATACAGTTCTATCCACTCTTGAAACAAGAACATCATGTTCTCCGCCTATGTATGTTCGAGGTATCCAATAACCTACTATCCCAAAAGCCATGAGTTGCCAAGGCTAGGTCAAGAAGCTACAAGCAGAAATACTGGAGTTATCTCCAAATACCTGAAATCTCATGCGCCTACCAGTTTTCCAGAGACATGAACTTCACATACCTATCATCATCTGGATCAGATACAGATGATGAATTCTACTACATATCAAACTAGAAATTCAGACACCAAACCTAACATGTGTATTCTTCCAGCGTCCTAAACTAATCCTTAACTTTGAGGTTCTTAGACAATATTGACAATTGAGCAGAGCTGCAAGAGAATCCATCAACAATTTAACTCTAGTATGTAAAAACCAAAATCTCATTATTCAGAATCAAATTCGAAAAAAAAAACGACAAAGCTCATAACTCTCATTGTGCGCATCCTACATGGAGAAGCAAACATGAAATTCTGACTTCTCCTAATCTTTTGGGAGAAAAGATGCAAACTTCTCCAATATAATGTCTCAAACAAGAACAAAAAGCCTCAAATTTCTATCCAGTGCTGCCATGAACAATCGATCCGAGAGTGCCCAGAACAGCGAAAGCAAGCAACGGACTAACATCAAGCGTATCGAAGATAGGAGGAATGACATTTCTGAAGAGATTCAAGTAAGGATCACAGAGATCTCTAATGGCAGACAAAGGCTGTCTCTCCCAAGGGATGTTAGGGAACCAACTGAGCAAAACCCTAACCATCAAAACCCCACTGTAAATGTCTAACCACTTCTTTATCCCCACCGCAACCACAGTAAGCGGCGTGTTCAAGTATCCCGGAGGACGATCTCTGAGCGACGCGAAGAAGACGGGTCCGGCTGTACTGAGGGACAATCGTAACCCTTCCGCGATTACAGGACTTGAGGTCTGGATTGCGAGCGACAGTTTCTGAGCTAAGACTCTGGTTACAGCGATTGTCAAAGCCGCGAGAGTAGCGAGGGACCGAGTCGAACCGGTGAGTGTGGATGAGCGATTCGTTGAATTCGCCGCCGGGAGGATCGGCGTCATCGGCGAAGCGGACGCAGCGATTCGGATGGATTTAGGGTTTTGGATGGATAGAGAAGGGAAGGGTTTAAGGGGAAAGAAGAGACGCGATGGTGGTGGTAGGTTGTTGAAGCCATGGAATCTGGTAGGGTTCGAAGCAGATGAAGGACGGAGAAGAACCGGAGAGCGAAGAGCGAGAGGTGTGATGGTGGCCATCTCCGTTCTTCCGCCTCTTGAACTGAAAGAGATATAGCTTTTTTTATGAGTCTCTTTTTTCAGGATAATAAAACCCAAAATCTGTCCAATGTTATTTATTTATTTCCTCTTTTTAAATATTTTTTATTTATTGTTTTCATACAAAATTCTTAATAAAAATTTCTGTATATTACACAAACACTGAAATTCTTACTTTACACAGCTTGTGTACGAAATACGATCATTTTTATCAAATTTTAAAAACATCTTTTTTGATAATGTTAATTCAATAATCCAAGCATAATACATTAGTTTGCAATTAGTAACTTTGTACTTAGTAGTAATCAATGACAGAGACAAAATAATTCAAAAACTAGTTGTGTTCATAATCCTGAATCCTTTTAAAGAATAAGCTTAAGCTATATATAGGCAAGAATTAAGAAGACTTGTATTATAAAAGCCGATTATTTAAGATTCACACAACAAAAGAACAAGACAAATATTACATCTTCACAAGTTACAAAATCAGCATAGTGGAAACAATTGAGGACGTAAAATTGGTAAAGACCAGAGATAAGCATTTAAGATCTTAGCATTTCCACCATTTGAGATTATCCCCAAAATGATATTTCTCATCATCTTCATCGGCTTTCCGACGTTCATCCTCCATCTCTGAACCACCATCCGCGGTGGCCCGACCAAGAACCCTCTTCGTCGGTTTCCCAACCGCACCACGGCTCGTTTTCCTTTCCTCCGTTGCTGCGGCCACCACACCCTCGACGGATGACTTGAAATGGCATGGACTGCGCTTCTTCTTACCATGTTTTTTTTATTTTACCTTCTTCTTCTTTTCTTTTTTTTTGTCTCGGATTTGATTTAGTCTTGAAATTTAAGTTTCTGATGATGTTTGCAAGTTCTTGAAGGTGGATTTATAAGTAGGAGAAGCGAGTGACTTGATGATCGATGATGTGTAAAGCTCGGAATCAAAAGAGCTTTTAATCATTGAAGAGGCAATGATTATGAGCATCATGAAAGCCTATGGTGAGTAGGATAGGAGGAGGTTAACCTTTTCGAACAATATTCCATTTCGATCTCTCAAATAGTATTATAACTCCTAATCAAAGTTAAAGATAGATCATAGATCTAACTCAAAACTGATCAAGAATATCATTTGAGCCTTAAACTACATTTGAGTTTTGGGGTTCATAAACTAACTTTTGTTACTACTATATTGATCAGCCGGTTTTGGTGACAGTACTCTCTATTTAATCAATTAGAGTTTTGTAACCTTTAATTTTCATAGTTAGTAGATGTTCCTTGGAAGTTTATATGACGAAGTAATAAATCCACCTGATCTTATTCAAATGTTGTTATAGCCGAAAGTTTTGATGGCTTCTATACAAAGTAGTTTCCCTTAGTTTTGTAAAAGAACTTGGAAGGTAATATTGGCATTTTGTTCGGTCATTGGCCACTCTACGATTACTCTATAAAGGTTAGTTAATAGGTGCATCATAATTCAATATTATTATTTTATAACAACATGGGGATTATTTAAAACATGTTGCTTTCGTCTCCGAATTCTTATTGAAAAAGGGTTGATTATGTAATGGTGCCTCGTGCTAACCATCATTACAATTTACATGTGACCCCCAATTCAACTGCTTAATGACAAGATCGTACCCTAGCTTAATTACAATCTATACAACTGGCCGTTTAAAAATCAATCGGTTTACGAAATAAATCGGTTTATAATTGGGAGATTGATTCTGATTGTTTCTTTCATACTTGTTAGTATTCAACAATGATATAAGGATCATTTATATTGGACATTGAGTTACAAAAAAAAGAAGAAGCATAATCTCTTAGAGCATCATCAATGCAAGACTATTAAAATTGATATTATGATTTGTTTAATAATTTAATTGAAAACTGAGCCTCTTCTACCCATATTTTGTTCTTATATAACATACCATAACTTAGGTTTTAAGTGTATTTTGATTTTTATTTAATGCTAAATTAACATAAAAATGTTCTAAGAGCTGTGCATTGAGGGTGGTCTTAGACTTTTGTGTTTGCAAGTAGCTTAGCTTAGAGCTGAATTGGGATTGAGAATTACAGACCCATATTTTTTTATATTATTATTTAAATATTCAGGTTATATAATATATATATACACAACAGTTTGGGTTCCCGCGAATATCCAAACCTTGAAGAATACCAAACTTTGCCTCTTCTCTCTCCTTTTGTCTCTTCTCTCGGCAACACTGAAACAATCCTTTTCCTTGTTCCAACAATCTAAACTTCCTCTAAATCTCTCTTTCTCTCAAAACCAGTATTATATCCAAAGTAATCATGTTTATATATAATCTCTTCTTCTCTTTCGATTTCTCCAATTCAACTATACCCAATCCTTCCTCTCGATTTCTCCCATTCTTCTTCTTAATTCTTCCGACCCAGAATGGAATCTCACGGAAAAAACCATCAGAAAGATCTGGACGATGACCTCTCTCTCAAACCCATTACGTTGTCTAAGTATTCGAACCGGGTTGAGTTAAAGACTCTGCTCGAACGGAGCGACCGCGGAGCAGGCTTGGTCGGGAAAAAAGTTGTGATTGGCGGTTGGGTTAAGTCTTCTAGAGCGGTTAAGAAAGATTCTCCTCCTCCTCCGCCTGTAGTTGTTGTCCCTTCGCCGTCGAGTGGTGGTGATCAATCTCATACGACGGCCAACATTAGGTGCACCGAGATTATTCAATCCAAAATGAGTATTTTCAGGAGATTTTTCGATGTACTGAGCGGCGGTGGCAAGACTTATCCAATCTTCGATAAGACGGAACTCTCCGGTCAGAAGGCCGCGCCACCTCCCGAGTATGTTTTTTACTTCTTGATCAGTGACGGCTCCTCTGTCTCCAGTCTACAGGTAGCTTCTATACATCAGATTCACTTAAAGTTTACTACTTTTGAAGGGAAAACGATAGCTCTGGCGCACAACATGTTTGATGAAATGCCAATGAGACCTTCTTTTTTTATAGAGATAATCTAAAAGAGAGCTAAAATTCCAAATTTTTGTCCCTCTCAGGTTGTTGTTGATTCTGCATTGTCGACTGTTCCAGCAACTCAGCTTATGGCCCTAGGGACCTGCATTGTAGCTGAAGGTGTCTTAAGACTACCATTGGCTGCTTCTGCAAAACATGTCATTGAGCTTGAGGCAGAGAAGCTTCTTCATGTTGGAACAGTGGATCCAGAAAAGTATCCACTCTCAAAGAAACAGCTTCCTCTGCATATGCTTAGAGACTACTCTCATTTCAGGCCCCGCACAACTACGGTATTACTATATTTGCAACATTTTTCTCAAATGATTTTAGGTTATAGTGAATCTTTCACAATGCTGATTTATTGTTTGTCTTTGCCTCTTCCTTATATAATGTCATGGAAGAGCAATTTGTTAATATAGATTTCTCTAATATTGTTGGTGAAAGGTTGGGTCGGTAACTCGAGTACACAGTGCGCTAACCTTAGCGAGCCACACATTCCTTCAATACCATGGGTTTCAGTATGTTCAAGTACCAGTCATCACAACCACTGGATTTGGCGAAATGTTTAGGGTCACTACTCTTTTAGGTAAAACTGATAATAAAGAGGAGAAGAAGCCTGCCAAAGAAAAAGATGGATTTAGCATTGACACTGTAAAGGCTGCTATAAAGGAAAAGACTAGGCTGATTGATCACCTCAAGAGATCTGACAGCAACCGTGAAGCTGTGGTTGCTGCTGTATACGACCTCAAGAAAACCAACGATCTTGCATCTCAGCTTGAGATGAAACAAAAATCCAAACCAGGAACTTTGGTCAAATCTGAGAAGCTTGATTTCTCGAAAGATTTTTTTGGCCGCGACACTTATCTGACTTCTTCTGGGAGGTTTCATCTTGAGAGCTATGCCTCTGCACTTGGAAAAGTTTATACCTTTGGACCGCGATTTGTAGCTGATAAAATTGACAATGCAAGGCATTTGGCAGAGATGTGGAATGTGGAAACCGAGATGGCTTTCACTGAATTGGATGTAAGATTGTTATAACTAGAACACTGATTTTGACCAATGAAATTCAACGAATGGTAACTTGTTTCTTTTGATGTTACAGGATGCTATGGATTGTGCTGATGAATACTTCAAGTTCCTTTGCAAATATATTCTGGAAAATCGTCATGAAGACATGAAATTCATATCGAAACGAGTTGACAAGACCATCACCACACGTCTCGAAGCAACAGCGTCCAGCTCTCTTTTGAGATTCTCCTATACTGAAGCGATTAGTCTTCTGCAAAAGGTATAACACTCTCACTTCCCATATAGTTCCTACTTACTGAATATTTTTGCGACATCATAATGATCTGATAATCTAAAGCAGGCAACCACTAGAAAATTTGAAACCAAGCCTGAGTGGGGCGTTGCTTTAACAACAGAGCATCTAAGGTATTGTTTTTGCTTATGGAAAATGCAACTGAGTCTGTGTTTCAAAATCCAATCTTAAATTCTCTTTTCACCGTTTAATGTTGCAGTTATCTTACTGATGAGATTTACAAAGGTCCTGTAATTATACATAGCTATCCGAGATTAGCTAAACCTTTTTACGTGAGGTTGAATGATGATAAGAAGACTGTAGCAGCATTTGATCTGGTCGTACCAAAGGTAAGAAGAGAATCAAACATTGATCTAAAATTAGGAATTCATAGTTGTAGAATTTTACAAAAGTCTTCAAATTTCTCTATAGGTTGGTGTTGTGATCACTGGGAGCCAAAACGAAGAACGTTTTGAGCTTTTGGATGCGAGGATTGGGGAATTCGGAATCGCGAGGGAGAAGTTCGAGTGGTACTTAGATTTAAGGAGGCATGGGACAGTGAAGCAGTCAGGAATAAGCCTAAGCATGGAACATATGCTTCTGTTTGCGACCGGACTTCCTGATATCAAAGACGCCATTCCTTTCCCTAGAAGTTGGGGCAATGCAAACAACTAAATCAGCGTCATGTACAAACTCAGTTACACTGTTATGTAATCTATGTAACCAAACTTGGTGAAATAAGAAAAGAATTGTACATACCAAAGTGTTCATAAATGATCTGTGGATTGTATAGTTTGGATGAAAATGGTAAGTAAAGCTTGAAGGTATCAAAACCTATAAGAAACTTGCAATCATACAATAATTATCGAACCACACAACTCCTGTGTAATTGACAATTTTAATCAATTTTGGGTTGTCAATGTATAAAATTGGCTGGTAGCAGAATTTTTTGATGACAATTCTTGTAAGCTTTTGAAATATAGTTTGAATTTCAAATATGTTGGTTGTGACATAAATAAGAGCCAACTCTATAACAACAAAAAATATTGTTGAGAAACGTACCAGTTTTTACTTTAATTAGTTTAAACAAATTTAGAAAATTAAATTTAATTCGCAAATTCTAAAGTCTTTTTAAAGGCTTTCTTTTTCCAATTAAGCAAATTTATAAATGTTTAAGGAATATATACGTAGCTTAAAAATAAGTATGGCAATAATTAAAAGTTCTTAAACGTAATTAAGTAGAGAATTAATGAAGTGGTCTATATAGGAAACCCCGCCAATCACGCAGCTTGTCTGTCACCACTTTACCACTTATCAAAGCTTCTCCTTTTTTTCAAAGCCTGCACTGCAATCGTATCTCCACAATCTGAAGAAGAAGAAGAAGAAGAAGAAGATGGGTAAGGAAGACGACCGAGGGGAAGAGTACTTGTTCAAGATTGTCTTAATCGGCGATTCAGCTGTCGGAAAATCGAACCTGCTGTCTCGATTCTCGCGGGATGAGTTCGACACGAACTCGAAGGCGACAATCGGAGTGGAGTTTCAGACGCAGCTGGTCGAAATCGAAGGGAAAGAAGTGAAGGCTCAGATCTGGGACACTGCTGGTCAAGAGAGGTTTAGGGCAGTCACTTCTGCTTACTACAGAGGTGCTTTTGGTGCTCTCATCGTTTATGACATCACCCGAAGCGACACTTTCGAAAGCGTCAAACGTTGGCTTCAGGAACTCCACAGTAAGTCTACTCTTCCCTTCTCTCTCTTTGAAGCTGTGAATTGAGCGTTGGACCCATTTGTTTTTGAAGCTGTGAATCCCTAACACTTGCAATTGAGCACCTTTCATGGATACCATGAGTTACATTGTGCGTTACTTCAGTCTATCAAAATATGTCTTTTGATTTGAGTTGAGGCAATGAGATGTGATTTTGGTTCTCTGAGTCGATAAGATGCTCTGTTTTGCCCCCTTTTGCTTGAGATTCTTTGTCTAGAGCTAGTTGTGAATTCAAACAAAAGTCTGACTCTTTGTTTTTCGTTACCTCGCAAGCTCATTGTGACACGGCGGTGGCACAAATGCTAGTTGGGAACAAATGTGATTTAGAGGATATCAGAGCGGTTAGTGTGGAAGAAGGGAAAGCTCTCGCCGAGGAAGAAGGATTGTTCTTCATGGAGACATCTGCTCTAGACGCCACGAACGTAGACAAAGCCTTTGAGATTGTCATCAGAGAGATCTTTAACAATGTCAGCCGTAAACTTCTCAACTCCGATGCTTACAAGGCCGAACTTTCCGTTAACAGGGTCAGCCTTGTCAACAACCAAGATGGCTCCGAGAGCTCCTGGCGCAATCCGTCTTGTTGCTCCCGATGATTTAAAAACGATCTTGTTTTTACCAGAATAAATCTTCAAAGGTTATAATGATCATTTATCATTTTGGAGTTATAAGATACTCGCAATCTGTTTTGTGTTGTTGGATTAGAGCAAATGACCTGGTACGAGATCATGGCAAAAAACATGAATTTGAAATCCAACTCTAATGGGACTACTATGTACATACTATATAAAATATATATATATAACAGATCCAATGGTTGATTGGGTACAATCAAGGTTTTCGTAAAGCGGAACCAGCACCCATTACTACTGCCAAGACAAGGCCAAGACCAGCACCAAGTGAAGCTCCCACGGCTGCTGCTGACATTGACGATGACTTGGCCTGTGAACCAACTACTGCACGGTCTTTGGCTAGTTCCACCAACAGTCTGTCTCTAGCAAGTTCCTTAAAAAATGATGGAGATGTATCAATATTCAAACGACTTGGACACTACATTGATATTTAGTTTAACATTCTTTCAAGATAGTGTTAATACCTGAAAGCAAGCTTCTTCTTGAGTTTGAAGAACGCGATGGACAAGCTGGCAAAGGGAATTCACACCATCCACTGGAAAAACAGTGTCTTTTCTCTGAAAAGGCTTTTTGACAAGGTCGAGCGGAGCGAATATTAGCTTTTGCGCACCTACTGGTCCTTCATTACCCGCATTCACAGCTGCCCAAGGCAATGAGGAACTACCAGATCCAGATATAATATAAGGGATAGAGTTAACGACTCCAGTTGTGTTTGGAGACGCTTGATATGCCTGAAGTACAGCTTCGATAGCGGATTTCTGCTGATGGGCACTGACTGAGAACTTGTTTGTTATGGCGAGGACCCAAGGGATACCAAGAGATTTAACCTCGTCTAACAGAAGAGCAAGTGCTGGTTGCTGTTGCTGCAGTTGTGTTGTTGAGTTCTGGTAACGTGGTATTCTGTGAGAAAGATTGTGCACTAGAATAACTAAATCTATCTTTTTACTTAGATTACGAACTCCTTTCCATAGTTCTTCTCTAAAGCGAGAAGCCTCTAAGTGCAGCTCCTGCATCAGAATACCAAAATGATTTACTAACTCTGAGAAAAAACAAACTTAGAACTTGTGGAACCAGAATTTGAAGATACCAACTTGCAGGTTTACTCCCACTGTGTCCGAGTAGCAAACACCACCAATTATACATTCTTGAACATCAGATTGTATCTGCAGATTCTCCACATGGGTCATCGAACTCAGCATGCTTTGACCCAGTATTGCCCGGAATAGAGAGGTTTTACCAGCACCCTGCGCAGACAAATGAGCCAGATATATAATTACATGCAATGTATGAAAACATGTAGTATTATTCCAATGAAACAAGGACGGATGTACCTCAAGTCCAAGTAATCGAACCCTCCGTGTTCTGACCTCGACCTCCTTAGCCACTGTAGCAAAATCACTAGTGCAGAATATGTATAAGTCCTCCAAACCTTCAGGACGAACAAACTTGTCCTCTTGAAAAAATCCTAGGTTGATTCCTTCCTTCGGAAAACCAGTGTTTGAATCAACAGACGAGAACATAGGAACTAGAGGATCTTCAACTATCTGGTTACTTGGAGGTTGTTTCAGAGGAGTTCCTATGACCACCCTAATCTTCTGTAATTCTGTCTGTTCCACATTATCTGAAGAATAAGCAGGTGGTGAAGGGAAGGATTCTACGGTAGTTGAGCACCTAGAGAGAGTAAATTTCTAATATTTAACACATATATAGAGAGTAAATTTATCACATATATTGGTCATCCTTTTGAAAAGAATAAAACGTGGCCATACCAGTTGCCATTCACTTGGGCATGTACAAAAGAACACAAATGCAAGCCAAATCCAGTGATATCAACTTTTAGAGGTTCTGCATTTTTATCACCCGGAACGCCTTTCCAGCCAAGAGGGGCGACAGAAGTGGCTGTTCTAATAACCGGTGATTCAACGATGTGCCCAAGCTCTACACTACCACCAACAGCAAGTCCAAGCCACTGTTCTAGATGTGGAAACTGCTTCTGTTGATCCACTCCGAAAAAACCATCAATATTCATGCAGAGGTCATGTATTCTACAAGAACAAAAGAAGCATGTCAATAATAAAGCATACCAAAACTAATCACCTGCTGTCGCATGAATCAAGGAGGAACTATCACCTCTGGAAGCGAGACCTATAGGACTTCATAGAATGTGACTGAAGACGTTCTCTCAGTTCAGTTATCACAGATCTGACCTGAAAATATCTTTGCCAAAAAAATGCAACCAAATAAGAGACCTTCAACCACAAACTAAATATGAAGGAAGGCAAGTAATGAGGATACCCAAATATACTGTCAAATCAAGCTTTGAGATATTAAGCATCAAAATATACAAGCGCCTCAAGTTAGAGAACTCCGGAATCAAAGTAACTAGATAAATTCAATAGTTTAAACTAAAAAAATCCCTTATCAGCATGACTATGAGCAAAAAAAAAAAACTCATACCGATGTCAATTTAGAGTACTCTCCTTCTGAAAGTGATTCCACAGATGCAGTTCCCAAGAGATATAGCTGTGATACGAAAAAATAAACTTAATAAGCTGTCACTTATCCTTAAAGACTCATGATTCTACTGGAGAAAAAAAAACATCAAAGCTGATAATATACCATTGAAAGATTACAATAATTAGCATTTCCAATCTTGGTAAAATATAGTAGGTTAAGTACTATCGTAATCCTATAGCTTATCACATTTGTATATTAGTTATAGCATCTACCTCTCCAAATGGAACATAAGAGGGCAGATATGGAACCCTAAACCCATTGGACGAATTGGTCTTTCCTTCAGTTCTTCCACTACCTGTTTGACCATTACCAGTATCTGGCAATGGCTTGAGAGATATACCATCCCTACCCTCCTCAATTTCAAGAGATTGTGGTTCAATAACCACGTCCCCAATAGGAGCTGACACTGCAGATACAGTTGCAGTAGAAGTCTCTGCAGGATCCACTTTCTTTCCTATATACCTATCCAGTTGTTTCTTAACAGCCTCTAGGGGAACAAGTCGTGAAAGTCTCCAGAATGAGTTCTGAACAGGGCCAACACCAATGACTAACTGCTCGTGTTCTTTACCTTTTGTCTTTTCTGCCTCTGATGTTACGCCCTGACCAATCTTTTTAGACAATAACAAATCTGTGGCTTCAGCTTCTCCAGCCATTGACATTCTTTGCTCATTGTAATGATGAAAATATGCAGGAGATAATATCCTCGGGACCAAATCTTCAGGAATACAATAGCTTTTGAAATAATGATGCCATCCTTTTTCATGTACGTAACTGCAAAGGAAACCAAATGAGAGAAAAAAACAGCCTGAGAATGCTATTACTAAACCCAGCCATATGTTTGATTAGGCTTCCAAAACATACTCTCTCAACGCAGCATTCCCAACAGGAGGCTGGGAGAAGGTTATACATTTGACATGAACATTTCCATTGTCTTTCTTTGTAGAAGAGGCAGCAACAACCCTTAATATGGCGAGTGTAGCTAACGCAGCTACCTACAGGAGTAAAAGAATGAAATACAAAACCCAGGAGTCAGCAAAGATAAGTTAGATGTAGGTATGAACCACAAGGGTAAGAAAATCTAGAACACTTACAGCTCCACCAAGTGAGTGTCCGCATAATACAAGTTTTCGTTTCTTTTTCTGAGCAAGCCTATAAAGTTCCAGAGCAGGTATCCCCTTAGCACGAGCCAAGAATCCCTAGTTGTTAACATTTAAGGAGAGAGCTTTTAGAAAAAAATGAACTTATTTCGAACCCTGCACAATATCACATTGTACTGAAGATACAAAAGAGAAGAAAAATTCTACTCCAAAGTGCCATGAGCATACCCGATGAGCAGCAGGTTTCGGCTTCTGTCTAAGTTGCTTAGGATTCCGCAGACCCTCTCCATTGTTCTTCTGTGGTTCACTTTGTATAGGTTCAGAAGCTGCAATACATTCATCCTCTGCGACATCATCGTGAAATATATGACCTTGAAGTATATTTGCATCGGCCATGATATCCCTAGAACACACCCACGAATGAAAAACACACCTCTTACATCTGAGCTATTATGTTTTCCAGGGAATAGAAACTCCAAAGACTTACTTATATTGCCTAGTTCCAACAAAGGATGCAAATAATGTATCACCTGCCTCAGCAAGTAAATACCTGCATTAACATATTTTCCTTAAGTTAACTTCAATATAGAAAAAATCAGCTTTGAGCATATGGGTTCTATTATAAAGACAAAAATGCAGCCATGGTATCAAAGTATTAAAAATCCAGAAATAAACTCAAACATATATGTAAATTAGTAACCACAGAGCACAGAAAACATTAAAGACGTTGAAGAAAAAATCAAACCGGAAAAGAGATGTAAGCAACCTGTGAGGAACGTGATCTGATGAAGGTTGAACCCTCTCCAAAGAAACAAATTGGCCACCGAAGTCCGCTTTAAATTTGTTAACAGCTCGAATCATCTCACTTGCAGGTCTCTACCAGAATACAACCTCCATTAAAATAAACAATACAATATCCTAAACTGAAATTCCCAAAATGTAGCTACATCTCATTACAAAGTTACAGTTAAGTAAGATGTCGAGAAAAAAATATTTTTTTAAGAAAGAGAAAAAGGGATATATGAAACAGAGAAAAATATCGAACTTTTAAGTTCCTGTATAAACAACAGTACACATAGGTACAAGCTGATTTACACTACACTACACAACACCTTGTAACTGAATAACTAACTAAGTAACAGAACCTCTGACTAAATCAGCAATGTTAATTATTCCGTCTAGTATTAATAAGGCTGTAGTCAGCGAGACTAAATTGATTTACATTATAACAAGGATTAATGAAAAGTGTTAAGAGTAATCACCTTGTAAACACACTCGGAGAGAACCATGCAACAGAGGATGTCCTGTAAATCTTCGACAGACTCGGATTTAAGGGCGAGACAGAGATCCTCAATCTGCTTTTTACGCTTCTCGTACTCCCGGCGGATCTTAATCCTCTGATCAGCATCTCCTCCGTTCCATGGTGGCCACCGGAATTTCCATTGAATCGGCCCCCACGAAACCCGTAAGAACCTCGCTCTCTGGTCTCTGATCCACGATTCCACTCGGTTCTGTATCGACTCCATTACTGATAACCTCTGCTTAATAAGACATATGCTCTAGTTCTACTGAATCGAAACACAGGAACGCGTTCGAGCATTTGAGTTTTTGAAACCGCGTTCGAAGTTTGAAAAAAGAAAAAGGGAATATTCAGGGGTGAGATTTGAGAAAGATGATAGAATTAAGGAAGCGCCTTAAAAGAGAGCAATGTTTACTATTGTAGCAAAAGAGACAGAGAGGGTTGGGACTTGGGAGATTGAATCAGCATCAAAACGCATATGCGCCTCCTGGGTTGATGTTGATTTTGTCTATACTTATTGGGTCGTGTAACAGATATAAACTATTGGGCTTTAGGCCCATATATTGTAGAGATGCAAAACCCGGGACAAGTTTTAAGATTTCGTGGACTCAAAACTATTGATTTCGCTGTCATCTAAAAATGTATTGTTGAGGCCACCAACAAGGAGAAAACAAAAACCGTATATCACTTGTCACTGTTCTACATCGTGGACAACAGCAAATTGAACAAAGAATAACTTTTTAAAAAAGCTTTTAAAAACACACACACAGACACCACACGAGAGCATGGTAGTGGTAGTAACACCAAAATCTCACCATCTGGCGTTTTGGTTTGGTTTGTGAAAGTAGTCTATAGTGAACGGCACACGCATATTTTAAGCAGATAAGACGAAGATGAAGATGATGATAACAGTAATTGCATGGTCCATACAATCCAATAACACTGAAGAATGTAGGTAAGGTTAGGGGGGCGGGGGTGAAAAAAAGTAAATGACTCTACGACTAAAATAGTAAAAAGTATGGGGCTACCTCCATTATTATGCGTACACAAAAAAAAAGATCATGTTCAGAGAATAAAAATACTAGCCAACAAAACGATAATTCCCAAATTGACCCCAAAATTTACTTTTGTCGTCAAAGACCCTGCGTTCCCTGGACCTCCTTTAGTAGTTGAGCCACCGGTGGCCGGCGACGGAGCAGAGCCGGGTGCATCGGCGGTAAATCTCAGGACACGGTGTGAGCTGAGATTATCTTTACCGAAAGGGTGTACTCCAGGACGTCCGTTGGTAACATTCCCACCGAGCTGCCACACCTGATTCACACTATCAGCTCCCGCCGGAACCTTAACCGTCGTGTAAATAGCGATCTTACCGCCGCTCAAGGACTCGGCGCGTAGATTCCAGAAATCGAAGGCGAGTTTGCCTTCGACGAGACTGCTGTAGCCGCTGATGTTGTACGTCTTCACGACGGGAGCAGCACCGGCTCCAGATCTGTAAGCGAGGAAGGCCTGAGAACCGGACATGTTAGACCCCGTGGGATTGATAGCCCAAGCGACCCAGCCGTTGGTCTCAGATGGTGTAGCGACGAAGGCGACGGAGAGAGATGAGTTCGAGGCATTGTAGGAGTAATGGAGGTAGGAATCAAGGACGGGAAGGTCCTGGCAAGAATCGAAGGACGCGGCGGAGCTAAGCTTCTGTGTGGAGCAGGAAGTCTGTGAAATTGCCGGAGAGATCAGAGAGAGGAAGCAAGCAGCGACGGCAAAGATTAGAAGAGAAGAAGAAGGAGAAGACATGGCCTCTGTGTGGTGTGGTGTTTGATAAGACAGACAGTAAGACACAATGGGAGATGAGATGTGTTTAAATAGAAGCACAAATCCTCAACTTATGGAGTGTATTGGTTCAGTGCATCGTTTCTACGATTGAGGGAATCAGGGAGAGACGCTAAGATGATGACACGTGTTGAGTTGACCGTGATAAAAGGAAATAAAGTCATGTGTGAATCTGTTTTTGTTTTTGTTATTACCAAAAAGAAAAGAAAAAAAAGGTAAAAGGAGGTGAATTAATAAGGTAGTGAGGAATTAGGGTAGAGAGAGCATGTGGAGAGTGCGTGTTCTTGCGGATGTTGACTCTGCAACTTCAGACCGCAAGTGGCGTCTCTGTAATATTTATTTTGCTATATTTGTCAACCCTTCTTTTTTCTTTCTGTATGGTTTGTCATCGGTCAAATGGGTTGAAATGTTTTTTTCCTTACATGCATCACTTTTTACAAAAAGACTAGAATCGATGATATCATAAAATGTCAATTAAGGGACATTTGTTTCATAGAAAAACAAAATACAAGTTTTGTTAGTTATACAGGTTACGTTTTAATTTCGAATATGAAAAGGAATGTGTTTGTAGGGACGAATATTTTTATTCTTTTTTCCAAACGATACAATGACAAAAACAACGATGAACTAGGAAAGGGCCGATATCAAAAATATATGTTTCCTTGGGTCATTTCATGTGAATTGGTGGAAGTAATAAGCCAAATCTAATTTCTGTGAATATTTTTGGGTCACTGTTTTATTTTTCCTAGTTGGTGGACAACTTTGAATATATACCAATTCCCGTCTACCTCGATTACTACTCTTATGTTTTGTTTTGCATAGCATATACAGTAGTTCTAGAATCGTTTGTATTATAAATTTAGGCATCTAGATAGACCCACGTACGTTACTTTGTCAATACCAAATTTTCAGTAAAATGTTCCCGCAATTCTCTTTAGTTTAATATTTTATTCTCTAGGTGAAAAGTCTAACTTCTTTTTTTCTCTAAATCCAAAATGGAAATGGTCCTCTCTCAAGAGAGAGATGTAGACGAAAGATGAAGAAGAAGACATACAGAGAATAGTATGGATATTGCTTACATAAGCCTTATGTCATACGTGACGTTTTATAATTTATACACTTCCCTATGAGTTTGTTTCTTCTTCACGTGGTTTAGTGGAGAATATATATAAATATCGTCCTCCTATTTTTAGTATAATATACTAGTGATATTTTATTTCCATCAGAAGAAGAGCTATTTCTATATTAGTAAAAGAGAAATACAAAATAGAATACGGATCGGCTCAAAATTAAAAAATTAACCCGATTTTAACAATTGGATACTTCAAAAATGGTTATTAAATTGGGTTTGGATACATACATCGGATACTTTCCATATCTAATTTAAGGATTGTATTATTTCCATAACTAATTTTATGATTTCCTAATATTTCTCTAACTAATTTAATATAATCTATTAAAAATTATTTTTCTTCTTTCACTTTTATTTGATCTTATTTTTAATTTATGATATTATACTATATAATATAAATATTTAATAAAAATTTAATTTTTTTTTTGCATATGTTGCAATTTGAATTTTTCAAAACGAACATATAATACTCTACCACACTCTGTTAAAATATATTATATATCAAACTATGTAAATTTCAGATAGTTCACGGGTAGTTTGTTAAAATTAAAATTATAATGCTAAAGCGAGTTATGAATAATGTTTTTTTAGGAAATGAATTATGTTACGGGTTAGTCCTTCAAAAAATATATTGTAAATATGTAAGTTTTACGTATATTCCTACTTGTATTACAAAAATGGTCAAAATGAATAATTTATCGACAAATATTATTTCGTGCTGTTAAATTTTCACCGTGTTTTTAATTGTATCAAAACTCAATATATGATTATTTACTCGCTTTTTTCTTTATTATTTTATTTAAAATTATAATACAAATATATGATTAACGTAATCGATTCCACTGTAATAAAATTAAAATGTAACATATTTTAATCCGTTAAAAGTTATATATACGTAATTATTTCTTCCGCGCTGTAGCGCGGGTCCGAATCTAGTATAACAAAAACTTATGTATTTCTTTGCTTTCGATACTCAAATATTTAAAATATTGATTCAACGTAATAACGTATCACCAAAATAGTTTGAAGTGATTAATATATCGGTCTACGTCGACATGAAAAAATAAGACAAGAGTATCTTTATACAATCCGAAGATATTATGTATATATATTCTAGTTTTGAGCCGGGGTATGGGCCATGAAACAGGTAGGAAACAACTACAAGTGACAAAATATCTGCCCAGATTTGATGAATTTGATCCTACAGGATTAATTTATGTAATTGGAATTTTGTCAACAATTGTGTCTCCATTTTTCTTTTCTGTTTGAAACATTTTTTCATAAGTTATATATATATAATCTTTTTCATACGTCGTTATATACATATGAATATAGAATGAAACTTAGCGATGAACCATGAACAATCAACGCATATATAATTCATAACTATAGAAAAAAGTACTGTATTAGCAAAGTCTCGCCAAAAAAAAGAAAGAGGAAAGACGTCAAATAAAGATATCATCCATAGAAATGGGAAGAAGATTGGGTGAAAAGGGGTTTAGAAAGAAATTACTTACACATGCTTTTTGTCCTTTTTAACTTTTTTGTACGAACGTCATTAGTCTATATAATCACGGCTTTAGCTATTAACACTAGTATTATAAATTTATGCGTTAGCTCGTTATTGACTTATTTCCATCAACTCTATATTGTTTCTTGTTTAATTTTGGCCAATAACTAACTCGTACAAATTGCAAACCTAATGGGCTTTGGATCCATACATATTTGCGTTGGCCTTTCGTATATTAAACGTCGATTCTTCTCCCTCAGTTCACTTGGTTAGGGATTTTTTTCGTGAGAAACATGCTCATGACTTTTACTAGCTAGGGCCTAGAGTGACAGGAGAATTACCGTCAAGGTTCGTTCTTGTTTAGTCATATATTGTTGCATGTGCTGATGTGCATGCTTATAACTTCAGAAGAGTGTAATCATCTTAATAATCGAAGACAACAGTATCCGAATCCTAGTTCTTTTAAAGTGTTTGTCTTACAAAATCAGAATCTTACTTAAGTCACATACATATTAGACATGTAAAGCTTATTCGAAATAACAGAAAAGCTGGAGGAGACCAAAGTTAAGGATATAGATCCACGTACGTACGTGTAAGAAGAAAGTTTAAAGGATGTGCATTGATGCCAAACATTGTGTACGGATCAGACAAGAAAACCAGTCACTATCTTCCAATTAATGGTTTCAAGTGATTCGTCGTCCATATATAACCCCAAAGAGCTTCACCTGGTTTAAGGACTTCCTGCGCGGAGATTGCGGACAATGTCTTGACCAAGAAGAGGAAGGAGATTGTTTAAGCTTGCTTCTCGATTAGATGTTGTTCTTGTCAACAGATTGGCTAGGTTGCAAAGCCAAGAGGACGAGTAGCTCGGGAAAAATAAAAATAGATAGATAAAAAAAAAAATAATAAAAAAAAAAAATAATAGAAAGATTCTTTCTTCTATTGTTTTGCCTCCAAATGTCTCCGATCCCATTGAAAAATTTTGATTTTGTTTTTTGTTTTTACTTAATTTTTATCATGGGGATTAGCTTCATCTGTTAATTCTTGAGATTTCTATAATTTACTGTGATTTTGGGACAAATGTATGAATCTAAAATTTCGTACTTTTTAGTTTGACCAAAATTTCGTACTGTATATGGTACTAGTAATGTACTAAAAAGATTATACTTTTACAAAGTTAAAACGTTAAACTTCAAGATCCGGATTATGCTCCAAGTCTGATCGGGCTGACCCGGTAAAGAGACTAAAGATCTCTTTCTTTCCATAACCGATTAATTTCCTTCTATTTAAATTAATACAATAATCATTTTTGGTTTCTTCTCTCTCCTCGCCCGAGAACTTTCGCGGCTTCTTCGCTTCTGAAAACACTCCGGGCACACGCGCCACCGTAAAAGTCATAGAGGAGACTTAGGAAAGGAGAAATTTTCGTTCTTTTTGGATTGCTGTCGTAGATGGTTACGGGTGTGGCCTCCGCCATGGCGGAACGGTTAAAGGAAGACGGAAACAATTGCTTTAAGAAAGAACGTTTTGGCGCTGCCATTGACGCTTATACCGAGGTTACATGGTTCTCAATCCTCTCTCTTGTTTCATCGTTAGGGTTTTTGTTTTCTGGGTTTATCCCTGGGATTTTGATTTAGATCTGCGTGGAGGAACAAACCCTTGTTTACAGTTTCGAATTTGGACTATTCCTTTATTAATCAGAACTTAGTTTCATCCAAATCAGGTTAGATTGAGTGTTTACAGTTGGAATTTAGGAACCTTTATGTGCTCATGGATACGTTATCAGTTTGCAGATATGTTACTGTCATCAATAAGCTACAAAGACCCTTTTTTTTCGGGTGATTATCTTATCATCTTTGTGTAACTTGGCAGGCAATCGCTTTGTCTCCAAATGTTCCTACTTATTGGACAAATCGAGCACTTTGCCACATGAAGCGAAAGTAAGTATGTTCTCTCCAGTAAAGTTATACTTCTGATCATCTTAACATTAAAACCCAAAAAAAAAGTTATACTTCTGATCACTTCGTATGCCTAGATAGTTTAATGTATTGCTTAATCTTTGTTGTTTCTGTTTGGCCTGTTTGCTTGCATCAAATTCAGGGATTGGACAAAGGTCGAGGAGGATTGTCGCAAGGCTATTCAGCTAGTCCACAATTCTGTCAAGGTTTTATTCTTTTGATTATATCTAGACGGTTCTCTTTTGTTCAGTGTGCTTTTTATGGAATCTGTTAAGTTCTTTGTCTTGGTTTGGTCGTCTTCTTTTTTGGCATTCTTTGATCATTTCTCCTCTTTCATATGAACATATATGTTCTGTGGCAGGCCCACTACATGCTAGGGCTTGCATTATTGGAGAAGAAAGAATATACAAGTGGAGTTAAAGAGTTGCAAAGGGTATATAGTTATCCTAAGATTTCTTTGTAATATTTATTACTGGACATGATTTCGCATGCTAACCTTGACACCTAAGTTGTGTAGTTTCTTAGCATCTTAATGAAGATGCAAGGTACCACTTGAGTCTCCATATTTTTTTTGAGAGTTATGTTAGTGGATATACTATGGATGCTGGTTTTGAGTGAGGATAAACAACACTGAGGATGTGTTTGTTGAAATCATCAAGTATTACTAAGAAAAATGAAAATAGTTTTTGATGCATGTTTCCTGCTTACTTCATGTGGTTATGTTTCGTGTAGGCTTTAGATCTTGGAAGAGGTGCGAATCCGACGGGATATATGGTAGAAGAAATATGGGAAGAGCTTTCTAAAGCAAAATACATGGAGTGGGAACTGCTTTCTGCGAGGCGCTCGTGGGAATTGAGTAGTTTGAAGTAAGTTATGTTAATATCTTTATTTGGTACAATAATTCTACTTGGAACTATGCTTCAGTGTGGCTTTACGGAACTATTCATGTTTGTCTTAGGGAAGCTTGTCAGGCTGCTCTAAATGAACAACGTGCTTTAGATATGTCTAGGACAGAAGAGTCCTCTCACGAAGACTACATTGCCCATACTGACCGTTTGAAGTCTCTTGAACGAGTGTTTGAGAAAGCTGCAGAAGAAGATAAACCAACTGAGGTGCTTTAACTTTTTTTTTTAAAGTTCTTTTAAGACCCATCTTTCATTAATATTTGAGGTCAACTACCATTCTGGATTGTTATTTCCAGGTGCCAGATTATTTGTGCTGCAACATAACTCTTGAGATTTTCCGAGATCCTGTAATTTCTCCAAGTGGGGTTACATATGAAAGAGCAGCAATCCTTGAACATCTCATGAAGGTTGGATTATCGTCACTCTTTGCTGTAACGTTAACCGTTATTTGTTTCATCTTATTCCTGTTAAGTTTTGGTCTGCTAGGTGGGGAAGTTTGATCCTATTACGCGTGAAAAGATCGACCCGTCCAAGCTTGTTCCAAATCTGGCTATCAAAGAGGCAGTGGCTGCGTATTTGGAAAAACATGTATGGGCTTACAAGATGGGTTGTTGATTCAAATGAGGATTTACATACACAGTGAATGAGAATGAGGTTAGCTACTCAGGTGAAAGAAGAAAAGAGATGGGTGCGTTTACATTTTCACTTTTGTGATTTTCGACTGATGTGTTAAGTGTAAGATTCTCTGACATGTATATATACAATGTTTTTTTGTTTGTGCACGCATTGGCCATTTGGCTTAGCCTATAGCACACACACATACAGACATTTTTTAGCATTGAAGAAAGTTCTGTCCAAAATCCTAATGTAGTTATGAATTTGGTCACCTTTAGCTATGAATTTCAGCTATAAGATGGAGAACCATCTTGTTTATTTGTCCAGTTTAGCAACACTTTGGATACACTGAAACTTACTTTGGTTTGGGTTATGAGATGCTTGAGATTTGTCTGTCCGTGGTGAAAACTTGAAAGGATAAAGGTGAAGTTTCTGGAGCTTAGATGCAGTTCTCGTATGCTCAACAAAGATTTGATAATTATGTACATGTCGTCAGAATTTAGTCCAAAACATGCCTAAGTATCCTTGTTCTTCTCAGGACCACACCAGTTCTGTGCCCTAAAGAGTGAATCTGCAGTTAATTACTCAAAAACAAAATTAAGAGTCTGAAAGTACAATAATGAAACAAGAATTCGCATTAAAAAATAATGTAAAACGTTCTAATGAAACACAAAATGGTTAAAAACTTTATAAATAATGGTAAAACGTTGTATATGAAATAAGGTATCTGATCTATCCCGCACAAACTGATATTAAGAAAGTAGTTGGATGCTGCTTACATCTCATAACAGGAGACTATATGATCTCATGTCACGTTATTTTCTTGAAATATGGTTCAAAGTTTCATTTTTTTTTTTTTTTTTAATTATTTTTCTGGGAATTATTCTTCATACCCATAGAATAAAAATCTCATATTGATTGTAAACGTTATTTGGTTGAGTTGTTGTGGATAAAAAGGTAGAAAGAAAGCATCACATTCTTTTCTTTTCTTCTTTGGCTTTTCTGTGAAAGTTGGATGAGGAGAGGAACAAATAACCACCAAAGAGTGGTTTAGCATGGATGGATACATGTTCCGATCCCTTATATTCCAATTCCCAACTTTTCTCCATCTATTGATGATGGGAGTTTATTTTTGACTCGTCATTATTACGAGTCACGGGCTGTGGCATTTTCGTGATTCAATTCTATCTTCCAAGCAAAAAAATCTAAAACGAAATACATGTGATTTCTATCATTGCTTATTTATTTGCCTTTTTTTCTTAAAACCATTCCGTGAAAAAAAATACTATTTCGTTTATTCAAAAGAAAATAAAAAAGACTCAATATTATCATTATTTTAAGTATGTTTTGTTTGTTAAATTACTCTGTTTGCTCTCAATATTTCAATTAGTAATTTTCGAATAAATTAAATCAAATATTACATAACTTACAATATTTTAGTAGATTGTAAGGAATATTTTCGTATTGGAAATAATAGTTTACTTAGATTAATCCTTAATAGAAATGGTATATACGCCAAGAGGGAGTCACATGACATACATTATACATCACAGAAATCACATCAAATGACATCGTAAATCATCATAAGATCTCGTGACTCTTTTTAATTAACTCTTTACCGAGAGAGAAAAGTGTGGAATAAGATTTGATTAGCTTTTGTGGTGGTTATGACTTATATGTGTGATGTGAAGAACACGACATGACAGCCTTTCTTATGTATTTTTATACAAGAAACAGACGAAAGCTACACAGTTACTTGTTGACCAAGATGTTTTACAAAAGCCACCAACACTTTTATTTTATTGATTGATTCTCTCAGAAAAATCAAACGAAAGAAAAGAAAAAAAAAAACTATTCACACAGATATCTACTTACATCTCATATACGAAAACCCATATCATTCAGATCCTAAAGATATGAATAATTTACAAAAATATTCTGAAAGCCATAAGAAGCGAAATAAAGCAAAAGAAAGTAAAAAAAAAAAAGAAGAGCGAAGATATAGATAATTTACATTGCGGATTTTACGGCTTCTCTCTCTCAGGCTGTGTGTGTAAGATTCATAGCTTTTCTCAGCCTGTCCAAGATCCCATTTGCTTTCCTCTGTGCCCTTGAGGTTCCTTCACGCGAAAGCTTTGTTATTGTTCCATGAGCATTCTCCTCTTCTTTGATCTCTTTCCACTTTGTCCTGTCGCTGAAACATATAGTATGCAGTATCACAATCGCGTTCTCTTTGTTTCGCTTGCATTCGCTCTCTCGAGTGATCTTCAGCAACCAAGAAACCCCACCGAGTTCACCCAGTTCCTCCACAGCCTTCCAGTGAGTAACAAGCATTGCCAATATAGCTAAAAGCTCATCGACATACAGCCCATTCGAGATTTTCTTACCTAAAACCCTTACAGCTCCGTCTCTTACGGCCCTACTCCTGTTTTCATGGGCAATACACAGTGTGAAGATCGCTGCAGCTACGTCTTTGATAGCTAATGGATTCCCTTCCTCTAGGAGATCGATAAGCGGTTTCAGGATCCCCGATTTCCCTATAAGCACTTTGTTGGAATCGAGCGCAGACAGAGTGAATACCGCTGCAGCTGCATTGCTTCTCGTGGCTACCGTTCCACGCCTCAATGCATCGATCAGGAGGGGAATGACATTAGGATTTTCGCATACAAGCTTCTTATTGTTGTCATCGTGTATTGATATGTTCAACAATGTAGTGACCACATCTTCTTGAAGATTCTCATCAGGGTTTGACCCGTGTAACAAGGGATTAAGCAACCGGGTGATTTCATCTGGAGACTCGCCGAAAAGGGCTCTGAACTCTGTACCCTTCCTGGTCAGGAGCCTTAGCTCCTTGGCAGCAGATTTCTGATCTTGAAGAATTGAAGACGAGACTTTACAGAGCAAGGAATTGAAAATCTCACGATCTGATCTTGTCACAGCTTCTTCTTCATTTACAAGGTTGGAATTGAACTGGTTCTTGGTGTCTAGCCCAATCTTCTTACACCATTTTGAGATCATATCACGGATTAAGAGATTGGGAGTTAAAGCCGTGTGAGGCAGAACTTGCTGAGTCTTGGGACATGTTCGATTGCCTGAGCTCAGCCATTTCTGGATAAACAATTTGTCATATGTCTGCAAAAACACACACACACAAAATGAAAAGTTCAATACAATTATACTTTAGATTCAATCAAAGGATTGCAAAATTATAAACAAGGCGATACAATACAGAAAAATCTTGAAAGATCAATTCTTTTTGATTCATAACCACAATCAAAAGTCCCCAGATTCAAAAACATAATTTACCAAACCGACAAAGCAAGAATTTTTCATGAAACCTGAGTTGGGATTATCTCAGTCGGGTGTCGAGAAAACAGATGAAAATTTTTCAAGGCCAATCAAAATTATCCCCCAAAAAATCCAAAATCACCAAACCTAACAAACAGAGAAACAAAGCAAAAACTTCAAAAAAAAAACTAGAAGAGAAGAGAAAGAGAAGAAAAAAAACGAGAAATCGAAAATGCGAGGGTCACTAACCTGACCAGAAGCCAAAACGACAGGATCCCTCATGAGCTCATTAGAGAGAGGACAGCGAAAGTCCTGAGGACAAGGGAGAGTCGTCTCAAGCATCTCTAAAGAAGAAGATTTAGCAATCTTCCTCATCGTGGCTTCTCTGAACGCAGACAAAGCATCCTGTAACTGATCGATTGTCTGAACCCCTAAATCATCATCGTCTTCGATCTTAATGAGAAACTTCCTCATCTCACGCTTCAGCTCTTTGGCTTTGGCAATCGCCGTCGGATCGGAATCGAAAACACCGGTCTTAGCCATCGCCGTCCGCCGCGGGTAGTGGAGCAACCAAACCCTTTCTTTTCTGGAAATTTGTTTGGATTGATATATAATTTCTTCCGTCACATTAATTAAAAAAAAAAAGTGTTTATTTAATTTCTTTCTCCATTTGTGAGAGAAGAGAAGAGAAAAGAGTAATAAATATGAGGCAAAGGGAGAAAAAGGCACAAAGTGATATCGTACTGTAGTAGTAGTCTAGTAGTAGTAGAAGTGCCCTCTTTTTTTTTTTTTTTTTTTTTTTTTTTTTTTGTCGTCCTCACCTCACTGCTATAATAGAATTGTTGTGGCCTGCACCGAATTTGCCACGTCATTTATTCATTCCTTTGATTTTATAATTTATTTAATTAGGAAATTTTTAAAAAATAATGCAAGGCACGTATGACCTACCTCGCGACTAGAGGTGTCAAAACGCAGCCGACACGACTAGTCTCTCATACACTCTTACACACGTTTATATTAATTTTTTATTTTCTTGGGTTAAAAACTTCAAAATCACACACGTTATTGTTAATCATTTTGGTTCTAGTTTATTAATAATAAGTTAATAACATAATGTACTACTAATTAATAAAAAAATACTTTAGTCTAGTGGTCTTCATCTTTGCTCGTATAACACACGACAGATTGTTTTTTCTAAACCAAAACAAACAAAAATAGATATTATTTTATTTTTATTAAACGAAGAGATTGTAACCGAAAGAGAGTAGTAATAGGTTTGAGAGTTTTGCCAAAAGCCAAAGCCAAAGAGTTTTCAAATAAACTTGTGAAAGAAAAACCTACTAGATGTTTTAACATAATATTTACAACAATTGAGAATACTATAATCTTATATATTAACATTTTTGAAGTATCTTTTGTGTTCTACCTTTTTATTTTGTAATATTTACATAATTAAACCATGGCCATTTAATTAAATAACAAAAGTTTAGAGTAAATTTTGTAATTAAATCATAATAAAATTACAAAATTGGAAATTAGTATTTATTACATTTAACAAAATTTCCTAAAATATCTCCCTAATAAACTGAAAATTTCTTAAATATCTTTAAATGATCTAATTTATTTTTAAATTTTATATTCTTACATATAACATATGTATCATAATAATACAAATTGTTTCCCGCAGATGTTGCTATATGAATTTTTGAAAACAAACGTATATTAATTGATACATAAAATGTATGTATTAAAATATTATTGGTAATTGTGTAGCACGGATCATATGATGGAACAACTTATAAATTACATAATTATGATTATAGATGTTTTTACGGGTAGTCTACTATAGTATAACTAACAAAATATTTTAATATGAAACTATATTATTTAAACGAAAAATGTTATGTCAACATCATTTCATCATTTCTATATTAACATTTTTGAAGTACTTTTTGTGTTCTACCCTTTATTTTGTAATATTTGCATAATCAAACTCTTGCCATTCGATTAAATAGAAAAAGTTTAAGATAAATTTTGTAATTAAATCATAATAAAATTGCAAAATTAGAAATCAATATTTATTACATTTAGAAAAAAAATTAAAATCTCTCTCTAATAAATAAAATATTTCTCCAACATCTTTATAAGATCTTATTTGTTTTTAAAATTTATATTATTACATTAACATATGTATAATAAAAAATATTTTTTTTTGCATATGTTGCAATTTGAATTTTTAGAAACGGATATATATTACTCAAATGATACAAAAAAATGGATGCACTAAAGTATTATTGATAATTGTGTAGCACGGGTCATGTGATCGAACGGGTTATAATTTACATAATTATGATTATAGATATTTTTACGAGTTGTCTACTATATTATAACTCACAAAATATTTTAATATGAAATTATACTATGTAAATGAATATTATGTCAATATCATTTCATTATTTAAAATATTATATTTATTTAATTAATTTGATCAAATAACGATTATATAAAAGATAAATTATCATACAATATTTTACGGGTTAAATCAAAGAATTAACAATCAAAATATAGTAATACACTCTTATATATCAAACAAAATTAATAAAAAAATACTGTTTAGAATATCGGCTCGCGGTGTACAGCGAGTTAAAATCTAGTATATCGCATAAGGGATTTATTATATCCATAAAAAGATCATAATAAATTTTAGTTAATTTATTGAGGATGTATTAAAGAAATGGGGTGGTACGTGGTCTCCTGGCTGCATTGATGAGTGTATCACATAAGGGATTAACACTGATTAAAAAACGTAAAACGAGATTAGTGGATAAAATCGTAAAACAAAAAAATGGAAAGAACGGCGGCGAAATAATAGAATGAGAGTGAGTGAGTGAGCGAAGCGAAGAAAGTGGGACCCACATTGTTATTCCAACATGGCGAACAGCTGTCTTTCCGCGTGGATTCTCTTCTCTCTCTCTCTCTCTCTCTCTCTCTATTTTCCTTTTGACGTTTTTACCCCTTTCTATTTTTCTCTCTTCTTCTTTTTCTTCTGTTTGATTATTTTTTAATCGGATGATGCAGGCGGGAGTCCAAGCGATCAATCAGAATTCTATAAATCATGGAGATATTTTTTTCTATATACAATTATTAAAAAAAAAAACACATAATTCAGTAATATAGCTTCAGAGGCGTGATTGGATGAATCAAGAGAGTTGACCAAAAATCCATTTATATATGTAGCACCAATTCAAGAACCAAAACAAAAAGTAACCGGAATATGATTTTGGTCTTCAAATTAACCTTGTTTGATTATTATCTCAAAATTCAGTATCTCTTCTAAAATTTATATATTATTAGTAACATTCTGTCAGACAGTAAATAGTACAGTACTAAAACAATAAGTAGATGACACGTCCTCACTCACGTCTCAACTCTCAAACATACTGTATATATTTTTCTTAAAAACAGGTGATAACGACTTTTTACACCAAAATTATGTCTAGTATGAAACAACGTTCTTTTTTAATATATAAAATTCAGCTAATGTTTCTGTCCAAATTTCATATATTGGCCACGGGATTTATTTTGTCTTCCTATATATATATCCACTACTTTCCCTACATTATTATCATCTGTTAGAATTTGCGTTCTTAAATTCTGTCACAGATAATTTAATTAGTGTATAATATTTGGTTTTTCATATAATGCACCAAGACTAGCAAGAGTGGGTGAAAACTGAAAAATGATCATACAAGGAAGGAGTTGGTGTTTAGAATAGTGTCTGTCGCAACAATGAGAAGATGTTCTCTACAACCCAAATTAAATTATATGACATTCATCCGAATTTTGGAAGAAGAAGAAGAAGAACAAGTACGTTTTGAAAATAATTGAACTATAAATACTGAAATAGACACGTGTATGTAATTCCCGTAGGCTGCTTCTGATGATAAGTGAGAGAAGTGGAGACCACTCCACTGGTCTGCAGCAAAAACACACAGAGAAAGAGAATCTTAACAAATGCCAAGCTGGAGGACTCTCTGCTTCCTACTCGTAATAAGTCGTGTCTCTCATCTTTTATTAGTTACGTGGGACTACTCTCTTTACCACGTGTCCTTTTCTTCTTCACCTTCCAACTCTCCTTTCTTTTTCTTTTTCTTTTTCAAATCCTGCTTCCGAGAGACATCTCTGCTTTCTCAAATTATTATCTCTGTTTCTCTTTTGTTTTTATTCTCGATTACAACTCTCTTCCTCTTGTATACAAGTTTTTTTCTCCATGTAAGTATATTTTTTAACATGTAATTTCCAATCATTTTGGTTACCAACTAAAATAAAATGGCTCACAAATCTATATGATTTTACAGTCCAAGAACTTCTGCACATATATATATATATATATAGGATATGTATTACTACAGACAGATGAAATTTATACGGCAAACTATCCAAGTAAATTTTAGTTGTTGGCATGTATATAAGATGGTGACATTTACAAAATTTGTCAGGTTGCCCCATATATATTTAATCAACACAGATTCTTACTGTACAACTGGACATATTTACGCTTATGAATATATATTTTTAGTGTGTTTTTTCTATGGCAGAATATTTTTGATGTTATCTATGTATGTTCTCTTTTGAAAAATTCTTAAAAAATTATCTACTTCCTCGCTAGTGTTATGATGTCGGCGGATTAATGTTGAGATATTCTGATAGTTCGAAAGGATTGAAGATTCAAGTGGGAACTACAGTTGTATATAAATATATCATAATTGATGTTCATATGCGATATGTAACTAAACGACCTTACGTACGTATAGATGATATGCAGTCTTTGTTTTCTTTTGTATTTTTGTTGGTTTTATAGTCTTTACAGTATATACTTAAGAATCAAAAGATATTTTCAAGCATTTTGAATATGAAGCAATACTCATTCTTGATTCCTTTTTTTTTTTTTTTTTACTTTAAGACATAAAGAAAAACAGGCATTAATAGTACAGAAGATCATTAATGGGGTTTGGACGTATTTGGAAACTAATTTAAAGGTGTTGTAAGATACAAGACAGGACCAATAATTGAAAGAAATAAAATTAATTATCATATTAATATATTTTTATCATGTTCAGTGGAACATATATAAAAGAGGCCCATTTGACACATACGTTTCTTTTGTCAACAACCCATATGTTTTGTTTACGAACCAACCTATTAAAAAATGTAATTAAAGAACTTTATTCTAACATTGTCCATACTCCCATAGGGTTGGTTACTTGGATAAACTCGTATTCGGCTTTGGCTGCTGGTTTTACAAGTGTTTAGTGCACAGCTTATTTTTCATTGAATATTTCATATAACTGTATCTACATCCCACGTGTATTATCAAATTCTCTAGCTCCGTAGCTTAAGACCAATGTGCTAAGGAAATCGTTTTTTCAACTTAGCAAAATCATTATTGAAATATTTAAAGCTCCAAAACCTGATCTAAAACCTTGTAAAATGAATATCAATGCCTCTAATCACAAATGCTACTTTGAATCCTTTTGATGAAAGAATGTAACGGGTTTGATATATTATTGAGGTTTGCAGTCATAGGCCTCACTGAAAATAAAAATCGTGCAAAGCCTGACAAATAACATTCATGGGTTAATATAGTGTATGGGTAGGAAGCCTAAAATAGGATACAAACTTGCCTTTGAGGCCCATTTGCTCGTTGAAGCAAACCCTAGAGATTAGAGAATGAAGGGTTCCATATTTTGTTTATTGCACCCACATATATGTCTCCTTTTAAGTGAATGAAAAGACAACAAGCCTCTGAAATCTGAATGATCAGATTAATATTGTGTTATTTCCAGAGCTGAGAAAATACATCTACCTCTCTTGTACCTTACTTAATGAACGTTGTGAAGTAGGATACATGGGTTTTAATTCACATAGCAAACAAATTTATCTAATGCATATAATTTTAAATCGAAAGTCTTGTAAAAATAAACCATGTGCACGTCTTGATAGACGGACATGATTCTCGTGATAATATGTTTGCGAGGACTTTTTATCAATTCTGGAAGGTATATAGACATACACATCTACAATGCTAGCTGTATAGATTAACTAGGTTCCAGATAAACCTTAGCATATATCATATATATATCTACCATGATAGTGTCTTCCAGAGATGGAGACAATAATTAATGTTATTGAGTTTCGTTAAATGCGTAGGCCTGTTGATTTTTGTTCCTTGTGAGTTGTGATAGCATGCATGCAATGATAATCTTCTCGAAACCTCTTACATAATTTGGTCTATAATGGCTGTGGTAATCCAAATCAATGTGTTTGATTCTCATGTAAAAGTGACGGAAACCATATTCTGTTATAGAATAATCCTCAAATGAGCTATTATTCCAAGATAATACTTAATATGGGATCAGTCAAAGTCACACATTGACGAGATTCCCAAGTGGGAGGGGTGTGAGATGAGGGAAGCTAATATGAACTGGTCCTAGAGGTGATGATAGAACTAATAAGCGCGATCACCACACATAGAAGTATATATATATATATAGGGAAGTCGATATATAACAAATGTTAAGCTTGATAATATAAGATCTCAGCATAGGCCATAGAAGATAAGGAAGAAACTTAAACAAAAAAATAGTATAGATTCCTTGATATAGCTAGCTTTATCTATATATATATATATATAGGAAGATCGTCTCTGAACTTCTTCATTTATACCAAGAATTGATGCCTAAAACGCAGTACTAAAAAACAAATTACAATACCCATCCTTTTTATAAAGATCAATATCCTAAATTCGTGAAAACCTCCCGATAGATTTTGTTTATTAACAGATGATGTTCATGAATTCATTCATTGGTTTGCATTGCATCTTAACGGATATTGCTCACGTTTTTTATATTTGTTTTAGTGGTTTAAAGAAAGCGGCGTACGTCCACAACATCTGGTCTGTCTGTGGCCAAGTGCTGGGATATGAAGCCACTAGCCAATCTTTTGACAATTATAAAATGAAGACCCTTTAATTTTTAGGGACTATTAACAAAACAGGCACTTTTGAACTCCTTTCTTTCGAAGTAGGAAAGTAATACAGTAACAATGTACAACTCAGCAAAAAACTACTATTCATGACATTATTACCCTTCACCATATTGACCAGGTAGAGGAGTGGATTGGTCAAACTCTTAATGTGCTACATGCAACATCTGGAGAATATACATCAATCCTTTCGTCACCTTCAACAAGCACGCAACAACAAACACATAACGATGGTGAATTACGAATCCCTAGTGATATAAAACTAAACCCTAAGACAAGAACTAGACAACCCACATAGATCAATATAAAGTTTCGATTTCCATAAGAACTAGTTTACTGTCAAATATCTCAATTAATTACTAAAATATCACCAAATTATTCATATTCAAACGATCAATCAAGAAAACATAATTTCACTTTTAGCTACCAGTTCTAGCAAAACCCAGAAATTTTCAATTATCCAATACTTTAGCTAATCGATTGCATCTTTGAATAGAAGATTGAGGAGTTTCACATGTTTTCGGAGGCAAAAACTGGAATGACAAGAACAAAAAGAACATTAAAGGAGAGGAAGAAGAAGCATGCGACGATGATGGATATGGAGGCGTCTTCAACCATGATTTCAGATCCATGATGACAAACATCATGCGCTTCCCAATTCACAATTGCAGAAGCCATTGTTGGCTTGTTTCCTCCGATGTATTCGCTTGTCGGCGACGAGAATTAATCGGCAATCTCAGAGTGTGGATCGTCTTTTGTGTCGGCGAAGTTTATTTGGTGAAGAAGAAAACATTATTGACATAAATGTTGTAAGGACAAAGTAGAAATTTTACAACCAATCCATACCTGTTTTGGAAAGATTTTGGAAAAGTGACTAAAATGAAAGGGTACACTAAAAATAGTGCCTTTTTTCTAATTAACTCTAATTTTTAAAGACAAACAAATAAGAGAAATCATATATAATAATGGATATGGCTGACGTTGTATGTAATACAAATGTTGAGTAGTGCATGCAACTTATAATTCATTGAATATATCCATCAGTCATATTTCGTTTGTTTCAAAAGAGAATAATTAATTTATAAGTAGAGTAATAGTAAAAAGAAGACGATATGATGATCGAGGAGAAGCGAAGAGACAACAGCAATCGGAAAAAACGTGGAGAGGGTGAGAGTACCCCACACTTGACTGCTCCTTCCCTCATTGGGCCACTTCCTTCTCCAAAGGCCATTTCTTTATTTTTATTTTTTTTCTTTTTTAATTATTCCTTACTTTCTTCATTCGTCTTTTCCTTTTTTGATCACATACACTAACCTCTCGTATTTTGCTGTTTAGGTCTTTAAAAGGTAAGTTGATTATATTACAAATTTATTTTTATTTTTATAATTCTTTCAAGGAGTACGACGATGACTTCGACTGAACATAATTCATTCACGGCCATGAAATATCTTTTGTTTATTTATACTAAGCCACACATACTGTATATCAATGAGATCAACTAATGAACTAAATTTATTTATTTTTGTTTTGGTTGAAAATTGAAATTGATACCTCTAAGTGACTAAGTCCATGCGATTTGTTTCGTTCAGATATCAAAACAATAAGCAAACTTGGGTTGATGATGAGTGTGGATCTATACCGTATGAAACTAAAATACATTACACTGTAGATAAATCAACTGAAAGAACAAAAAAAGAAAAGAAAAATGGTTGCCGAAAACAAATTAATTCTAAACGAAACAATTATCGTTGACACCAGATTTGTCATATATGAGCTATAATAATTTAATGGATTAATACTTGTATTCTCCGAGATCAAAAGACGATTCTCTTGTACTCAATTTTCCTCTTTTTATTCGTCATGTTGCGTGTTCGTCGTATAGATAAACAAGTATATATGTCAACAAAAGTTAATCTATTTGAAATCAGCAATTAAAGAAATAAATATAAATATTTTACATGTACATTAGTAAAATTAGAAAGTACTATCAAATGTCATATGGTAAAAGAAATAATCTATTCCCAAGACAATAACTTCAACCATATATATGTCAGGTTAGATTTTATTTGATTTTCTATTAATCAACAAATCTATGCATAATTTTTTTTTGTTAATAAAATAGTCCTCTCTCAGCCAGGTTTGAAAATTTGACCAGAGAGCTAAGATGGATGAACAATTATTTATCAGTGAGTAGATGAGATCAATTAGGACCAACTTTCGTGAAATGACTCGTTCGACTTCATGAGTCGTGTGTGATCTTTTTGAGACGACCTAGTTGTAGTTCTATAATCTTTCTCGGGAATTATACCATTCGATTTGCAGCATCACATGATTAATTAAATCCCCCGTCGTATTATTAAAATCATTAGTTAAATACAACCATCCTTATTAAAACGATATACTTTACATCGTAATACTTAATACAAAATCAAGACAGTAAGGGATTAGGTCAGTTGTGGATAGCAAAATCTGGTCTGTAAAAGAAAAACCGAATATTCGCATGAAACCCAAAAAGAATAAACCAAAAATATTAATAAAATCTTATCCGTTCCACGTGCTCTAATATTTTTTTGTCCCAGTTTTTCCCTCTTCTCTCTCTCTCCAAAGGCTCTGATCAGGTGTGGTCGAAACTACACGACAAACCCATGCACCTAAGTATAGGTTTGGACCTGATTTGTCACATGCACGCGAGAACTACATTTACGTGTCACTTGCCACGTCGATTGCAAATTTTTTTATTAAATAAATAAAATACGTTATCCTCTACATCTATCTTCACATCCATTTATTTCATCTATCTTATCAAACTCTTACACCTTTGAATCTAACTCTTTGGATAAGATCAAACGGCTATCAATTGAAGTTATATCTGTGTGCACCTGTCGCACTCGTACATTGTTGCTCTCTGAACCTTGTGTGATTTTCTTTTACAATGTTCATTTTCCGCGTAGAATTTTGTTTCTTCATCGTAAAATCTGGATTTTTTTTTTCTTTCTTTTTGATAGGTTTTGTCGTTTTGATTTGTTTGTTTTTGTATCACAATTTTATTTTATTTTTTGATATTTCGAAAGACCAAAAAAAATATGAATTAATTCTCTAAGAATATATTGGAAAAACTCGAGTTAAAAGATAACACGTGACGTTGTTTGAGTTAGTTTTATCGTGTTCGCACAAATAGACGGCCACCGACGGCATCATCGAAACCGATGGCACGACACACGACTGTGTTAACGGCGGAAGATGAAGGGGTTAAGTTGGCGGTGCGTTTGTAAGGACCAAGCCACCGCGTTTGCATATAACGATTCTTCCTCCACGGCGGAAGCGTGAGGCCACGGCTCCTAAGCGATATCCTCGCTGCGTCACATACGAGCCGCAAGATCCGTTTCAGCTCGTCTCCCCTTCCCACGAAAACTGCCGGGAGAGACTGAAGCATACGCGCGTACTGTGCCGTTGGCCTCGCGATTTGAAACCGCGACGCGAAATCTAAGTCGACGATGTAACGGGCGGACTGGGACGAGGCTGAAGGTGTGAACATGACGTCGATAAACTCGTGGTTACCGGCGGTGAGTCCGCCGGAGGACTTCCATTTGGTTTTGCAGATGGCCGCATTGTGGCCAAGCTCTCTGAGAAGAGACATGACCTTACGCATTAAAACGGCACGCTGTTCGTGCTGAGATCCGAGAGACGACAACACTTCCATAGCTCTCGCCACGTGAACCAGCACCGTTCTTCCGTATGAATCTTCCCTGAGAGAGTTCCTCAGAATCTTCGCGATATCGTCGGCGTAGTCGGGGAGCTCCACTCCTTCCGAGTCAGAATCCGAGTCTGAACCCGAATCTTGATCACACCAACGTGACTCATCATCATCAACGATCTCAACTTCATCTTCCAAGAAGCCTTGAACAAGATCGGAGAGACAAGGTGAGTCGTCGTCCTCGTAGTCTTCGATTCCGTCGCCGGTATGTTCGCTGCCGCTGCTAAAGCTACACCCGACGAGACGAGCCCTAACTTCGTCTGCGAGTGGATCGGTGACACGTTTTGCTCTAGAGAAACCCATGTCAAGAATGTATAAAGAAACACGTAACTTGTAATATTTTTCACTCAGACAAGTTTGAATAAGAGGGGGAGAGGGGGAGAGAGAGAGAAGGATGAGATGGGTTTATATAAAAGCTTCAAGAAGAACAAGAAATGCGTGAAGAGAGAGAGAGAGAGAGAGAGGAGTTGAGCTCCGAATATTCGAAGAGAACAAGTTAATTTATATATAGTTAAAGATAATGAATAAAGAAATAAAGATGGTACATATAATAAGAAGACACGTAATAATGGGGGGGAAAAGAGCAGAACCGGAGGATATACCACTTCTTGGTTACTACTAATAAGCATGACACGACTTTTGGCCCGATGGGTTAGGCAAGCAAAGGCATATCCCAACAGGCAACGGGTATTTAGGGTTTTTATTCGCCTCCTCTCTCATTTACATTTCTCACGCTTTCATTATTTAACTCTTCAGTCAGAATTAAATACCTATATGTAATTTTAATTTATTCTCGGATTTTTTAATACCGGATCGAATGATCTTGGACTCGATAGACCAACCAGTCAAGCTTGAAGCACCGATGAGCCTTCTTGATGGATCATAAAGCATGCAGTTGCAGGTTAATTAGCACGGTTTGTGTGAATCGATAACAGCTAAAAAGCTATTGATTAGACAAATATAATTAATAGTTAAGTTAAGAAAATTATAATAGTTATGACATTCGTACGATCTTACATAGATGTGCATCTCACTTCGTGTCATACACATTCAATGTTCATCTAACAACTGCATGCACTTAGATGACTCTCTCTCTATATATATATTTACTAGAGATGATGGAGTAGTTTTTGAATGATGCTGGTGGCCCATGAAGGTTTCTCATTGGTTCCACATCCACGTGTCATGAGGTGAGTGGTAAATACATACTAAGTTAGAGAGACTCAAAATAAATCCTAATACGGAGTGTATTTTACTATTGATATACGATAGTTACATTTTGGCTGAATGAAAAAAAATATATACATACATACATGGAGATATGTGTGTGTGTTTATTGATAAATAAATTAACTACTCCATGACCCATGCTGCGCCTGTGAATTTGACCCCATCTTCGAGTTTGATTTGAAAACAATGCATACATGTTGTTACTTCAACTACAGATTTGACAAAAGAAACAAAAAAAAATGATCAGTTTGACGCAATATCATAAAAACTATCAACTATATATAGTCGTCGTTTAGCTGTTTTGCGTTTGTATGTCAACTACCATTCCAATGTGAATAGTTTGAACTGGTTGAAGAAAGTAAGTATATATATATAGCTTTAAGAAAATTCTAGACTAAACTTGATTTCAGTTAAAGTTTACTACAGAAAAAGGAATCCTATATATTACAAGACAGATGTGATAAAATCTTATCAGTTATGTCGAGATGATAGGAGGAAATAAGAGTTATCTAATAATGCATAATCTATCGAGGAAACAAAGAAAAGTAGAAATTTTACAGGAAAAAAGAGGACACGTGACAGAGAGATAAAAGAAGAATTGTGGGTGTGGGGGGGCCAAATAGGTCGAGAGATAGAGATGATTGCGAAAGGGGGAAGCGTAGGGCCAAAAGAACCAAACCCCAAAGAGCCTTTCACCTTTGTCTCCTCCCCTATCCTGTTTTCTTGATTTAATCCATTTCCTTTTCTTTTTTTTTCTGGCTCTTCATGACAGGGAAAGGTGTACCAACCAGACTCTTCTCGTTAAAAAAAAACTACTAAAATTTAACCTTTTTTTTTTATTTAAATAAAGAGCCAAGCATACATTTAATCATGATATCCGTTTTCGAGTTCGAAGAGAATTTATGGTTGAGAACAAGTCAATTAAAAGTCTCGGTCTTTATTTGGTGGTTGAACGTACGATATGTGTGCGAGCCTCTGAGGTATTATTACTCTCCAGTTTCCTCAACAGTCCACCGTATTACTAAACAATCAATTTCTAGGGTGATCAAAGATTAAACTATAAAACCATGGCTTTTGTCGACTAAACATCCATGCACACACCAAAAAATTAAAATAAAAAACTCATCCGGCTTACTTCAAATGATATTTTAAACCAACAATGTATCATTCTTCCATATGAAAATGTTGTTTCATATACAATATTAATTGGAACAACATAGAGCTCAACTACGTACACAAGAGAGCTGACAATATTGATTTAGTAGGCTATAACATTTTTTATTTTTGAATGATTATGATTATCAAGACCGCGAATTCGAGTATATAACAAATACATTACTACAAACATTTCCATTTAACATGCTTTGATGTTTGATCCATATAACATTACTCTGGAAGAGACGTTAATTAATGTACTAATATGTACCAACAACGTAGATGAAGATGCCCGGGTATATTTACCCAAACTGACTGAGGGGAAACCTCGCGTCGAATAAACTTTTGTTAATTTAATGGAAGAAAAAAGTTGGAATTTGGGAGGTGTGAAGAGTTCTCAGAATGAGGTAACGAGCAAGTGACAATATCTAATCATCTCTCCAGTGAGCAGAACAATTGAGAACAAGAACGTGACAAGTGGGTTTTGTTATTTGGTGTCTAATTTATATGCTCGTTGTCCCATGCAGGTTGCGCGCTATACTATTATTAATAAGACGACCCAAATCCATATATTTTTTGTATATATATCATCGGAATTTTTATTTAAATGCAAAGAGTCAAAACGGATCATTACTATATTTTTCCTAGTTAATCGTTAAAATTCTGCTAAGTTTTTAGAATAAAATACACTAAGGAAGGAGTAAGGATGATGCCAAGAAAGAAGCACTCAATTAATTGTAGCCGCCTATGTATATAAATGAAACTCAAACATCTTTCCTATATTATCATGTTATTTATCAAATGTGTACGCTACAAACATTGAAAATTTTCAAAATTTAAGAATTAATAAGTAGAAAACATTTACCAGAACTTCATATTTCGAACAATACTAATACGAACTCATTTTTTTACAACAAATCAAACAAATAATGTCACGTATATTTTCTTATATTAATTGATGCAACCAACTTATTATGCATAGCTTACATAATTTCTTGTGATGTACTTTATATTATACTTGGAAAAAAAATTAAACAATTTATGCAGACATCTTACATTAGTTGATATAAAAAAATGTAATGAAAATTTTTTATCAATGAAAACCCTTTAACGAAAAAAAAAAAAATTGTATCAATATTAATTAATTTCAAGTACATGTCAAACTAATGATATATAGAAGGGCCCCATATAATATAAACTCTCTCTCTCTCGTGGATGGATTGGACCTGATTAAATTCTTTAGTGGGCTTAGAAGTTGAAGGGCCATATGAATAGAATAGACCACAGAAACAGACGCGCTCTTTAATGTTTTGACAACCAATTTTGGATTGGGCTTTTATCGAGCATCTGTTTCATCATGCGTGACGTGCGTGTGAAAATATTATTTTGCGATACGAGATCTGATCCGAAGCATCTAAATATATTTTGTTTGAATGTAGCTGTAAGAAAAGCTCTACGTGTATAGATTATTTTTTTTCTTCTTTTCTTCTTTTGACGGCGCTCAAGGTTTTTATACTCATATATATACTTTATAGACTATATTATATCTCATCTTTTTGTCTTTCCTAACGTACAAGAGTCGGTGCTACGTACGTTCTTGAAACGTGTACCAGCCTGGAACCTGTTTGAACTCTATTGAGTTCTTCAACTGAACTCGGACATGGTATTACTGTAAATTTCAGGTAATATTCACACAAACAAAACAGTTTACGTAAATCTTGACTACAAAAATAAAATACAGCCAAATTAAAACCGAAGTTAGCAACATTCGAAGGAAGTAAATTATGCATCATCAATAAAGATGACTATTTATGTATATAACTTATTAAGCTATAGTATCCCATTAATTTCTTATCGTATTCGCAGACTAACAACAACTTGGTTATTATGATTACTTAGAAATCTCACAAAGTCGAGGCCGCCTCCTGGATCGAGGCTATAGGTTTATTGCAATTGTGGCTGCATTCGCTTTCCTAATTGCCGAAATGGTTAAAGTCTAAGAGATTCTCATGATGTTAGAAAGAACAAGAAACCCCATTTATCTCAAAATGTAGCTCCCGTAATTACCTCAACAAACACAATCGCCTCATTGGAACCGACTTCTTGAACATATAATGGAATCATTGTGTCATTGTCTTCTTCTTGATTTGATCAAGTAAAGAGTTCAACAATTTGACATACAAATCAACACAAGAACCGGCGATGGTTACGGAGACATGGACAAGGGAACGCATTCGTCAATATTAGTTTGTTAGAAATAGCTTAATACATGTTGTATCAGTTCTGTTTTTGACATTTTATTACATTAACGTCCAAAGGGGCAAAGGCCTTCCTCTGTTCCTAAGTCCTATAACCCGTCCAAGGAGGCTTTCACGGTCCGACACACAAAGTATTATTTTCTATTTATTTATTTCCAATATTTTTATTAAAAGGAAGATCATTGATTGGTGAATATAGATTTATTAAACAAGTATATAAACTCCTCGTTAGTGCCCGTTAACGAGCTTCCCTTTCCTCCTCTGTTCTTCACTAAAAAGAAATTTACAAACTTTATCTTCTACTTGACGAATCTCTGATCTGAGTTTTAATTAATCACTCTTGATTTACGAGTTTTCACCTGGACAAGAATCTTTACTTTTGAGATTTCATCTTCCCTCTCCCATCCCTTAGACTCGAGAGCTCAATGGAGAACGAGCTGTTTATGAATGCGGGAGTTTCACACGCGCCGGTGATGACGACGTCACCGTCTTCTTCCTCGGCGATGCTCAACTGGGTTTCGACACTGCCTATAGACCCGAGTCTCAGTCGCAATCTATCGCGGGACTGTTTGTTCTGGGAAAAGTCAACGGAACAGAGCGTCTTCGATTCGGCTCTAAGCTCACTCGTCTCTTCACCGACGCCCTCGACTTCTAACTTTTCCGGCGGTGGTGGGGAAAATTTCATCATCAGAGAGCTAATCGGGAAATTGGGTAACATCGGCGACATCTACGGAACTCCGGCGAGCAACGGAAACGTCTCCGGCTCGTGTTACGCAACTCCGATGAGCTCTCCACCGCCTAGACATATGATGACGGTGGCGAAACCGCCGACCCCCTTGGTTGAATTCTCCGGCGATTCGGGTTTCGCGGAGAGAGCGGCAAGGTTCTCTTGTTTCGGCAGCCGGAGTTTCAACGGGAGAACAAACTCACCGTTTCCGATAAACAACGCACCCGTCGCAACCAATGAGAAACTGCCACGTATCTCTAGCACTCCAGCTCTCAAGCCTCTCGCATCTCAGGTTCCAGCCGGAGAATCTTCCGGCGAAATATCCCGGAAAAGAAAAACAAAGTCCAAGCAGAACTCTCCGTCCACAGCTTCACCAACCAAGGTTCATTCATAATCAGAGCTCTTGATTCACATTTTCAAAATAAATTCAAATTTTCATTAATGATTTATGTTATATTATTAGGAGGTTGAAGCAGAAAAGGAAGATTCTGATCGAAAGAGAAGCAAGAAGACAGAAGAAAATGAAGACAAAACGAAATCAGTTGATCCGTACAAAGATTACATTCATGTCAGAGCTCGTCGAGGCCAAGCCACGGACAGTCACAGTCTCGCCGAACGAGTCAGTACATTATATTCTTTCTTACCAAAATTACCTTTTTAGTTTAATTATGTCCTGATTTTATTAGTTGGATTAATCAAATATGTTCTGTCTATATGGGTTGGAATTTTGAAGTTATTTGTTGTTTTTAATTTTGATTTTTACAACAAAAAAAAAAAGGTTCGAAGAGAGAAAATAAGCGAAAGAATGAAGCTGCTTCAAGATCTTGTCCCTGGATGCAACAAGGTGAGTGAGAGAGAGAGTTGTGATTAAATAAGTAATTAATTCGTTTGTTAGTTGTAATGTGGTTGTGATTAGAATAATTATTTTTTTTAAAAGGTTACTGGGAAAGCACTGATGTTGGATGAAATTATAAACTATGTCCAATCATTGCAACGACAAGTTGAGGTAATTTCTTCATTACATTTATTAAATCTCCAGTTTTTAAACTCGTTCGTATTTCATAATCACTTTTTCCAAAACAACAACTACTACACGATTTCAGTTTTTCTAGTATTTATTTTTCTTAAATCTTAATAATAATATCAATTATGGTGCAGTTCTTGTCGATGAAGTTATCGTCAGTGAACACCAGGCTGGACTTTAACATGGACGCTTTCATGTCAAAGGATGTAAGTCACCGTCACACTTTCTTTTTTTCTTTTCTCAAACAACATTAGTAGTAATTATAATTGACAAATTATTTTATAACAAATCATTCACTTTTGTGAACCAATCCAATCGTGTGTTTCTTTTTTATATTTTTTGGACAGATATTTCCTTCAAGCAACAACAATGTAATGCATCAGCAGCAAGTTGTACTTCAACTAGATTCTTCAGCAGAAACCTTATTGGGTGATCACCACATTACAAACTTGAACCCTAGAGTTTCTTCCAATAATAACCTATCGGAAACTTCTGAAACTAGAACCTTCATTTCTCACTTACCAACAACACTTGCTCATTTCACTGACTCCACTTCTCAGGTTTTTAATTCTTCTATTTCTTTTTATATCTACATTTGGAACAAGCTTAAACCCCTTTTTGGTTTTGTTTTCAGTATTCAACATTTTCTGAAGATGATTTACATAGCATTATTCATATGGGTTTTGCTGCTCAAAACCGGATCAGTGAATCGAACCAAGGTAAATAAATTTCTATTGTAACTTTTATTTATTTTTACCGTGACATTATATCATAGACACGATAATTTAGACTGAGATGTATCATTTGTACTATAAATGCAGGTCCATCAAACCAAGTACCGTCGAACACGAAAGCTGAACTTTGAACCATTATTTGCATTTTTTTCTACAAAAATATTGGAGTTCTAAAAGGGCTTAACGGATAGAAAGTAAGAAAAGGATTGATGGGTGTACATAACAAGAAGCTTGAATTGGACCACACCATTTGCAAATTCATTTCTTTGATCATCTTCATTTACTATATAGTTTCCTCTTTTTTATCATTTGTGGTACTCGATTTCATTGTCATATCTATCCGCTATTATTATTATCAGCTTCTATAAGCTTTTACTGTTTCTTTCGATTTCATGCTAATGTAAGTTTTAACCCCATGATAAAATACTTATAGTTATAATTCTTCCCAACAACAAAGGCTGTTTCTAACAAAAAAAAAAAACAAATAACATCATGCTCTTGGAATCGAACATAAATGAACAAAGAACAAATTCGTTTTTTTTTTAAATAACAAGACAATGGTGTATTGCAGTATTCGTTTTTTAATGCTCTTGTTTTTTTTTTAAATAACAAGACAATGGTGTTTATACATTTTTTTTTGTTTCGATATAAATAAAAATGTATAGAATCTGCTTGTTAGGTGACAATGACATTAGTAGTTTATTCACGAGTATTGTCATTATGTATATTTTTTTTTGGTTTAAGAGTATGAAATAGTTTTATACAGTTTTCTACTTAAAATGTAATTTAACATTAAAACCAAAAAAGTTGGTAAAGAGCATATTTCGGCAGGAGTTACATAGCGTGACTGACATCTGTCTTTGTACTAAATCACATGAGTGTCAAATGTTTTGATTTCCATAACAACAAATAACAGGTACAATGGCATAATCACAAACATCAAATCTGGAGCTAAGCTTGACTTTTTCTATTTTTACTCTTAAACTCGTGAACGTCAATTTCAGTGTTAGATCATATTTGATATTTGATTTGATCGTTGCGAGTGTTAACCAGCTGTGTAAGGTGTTATGTCATTTTCTCTTTTGTCTTTGTGGGGAGTTTATTTTTTTGTAAAAAAAGAGAACAAAAAATAGATACGTTAGGAAGTCTAATATGAGTGGTTGGTTTATGAGGAAAAAACCAAATTTGATTAATGAGGATGTTATCTGTTAATGTAGTGATTACGCCGTGATTTATGGAAACTAGTACATAGAACACAGAACAGAAGCGTCTCTTTCTGTTTTGACCTTACTACATTATATAGCAACAAGCAACTTTAATCAATCAAAAACCATTTCTTCCATGTTGAAGATAATAATAAATATTATATTTTCGGATGAATGATGATACTCGACTGACTCTACTACAAAATACGAATTCCAGTGCAGACGTAACTTTTTAATAAACCGTTTCCAGACCAATCCTTGTTGGAAAAATATTTCGATAGAATGGGCCACAATAATCCTAATAAAGCCAAGTTTACTAACCTTAAAGGAGAGTGTAGGCCTTTTACTAAAACTAATAACAAATGTGGAGTTTTTAGTGGGTTCTTGTTGGGGTGCTTGCTTTATTTGTCGGCCCAACTATACACATCCTTACCACTTTCTTTCTTTTTCTTCTCTTCACGTTGTATGTCTTAAATAATTTATTACGGCTTTTTTATACTAAAAAGACATATTAAAATACAATAGATTTAAAATTCCTTTTTTTTGTGTGTGTGGAAAACCATACTTTAAAATCATAAATAAACCCAAAAAATTGTGTCTATCTATTTATATAAATGGAGAATTAATGTCAATGTTAGAAGAAGTAGAGGATGTGAGGTATAAAATCATCGTGCAGATCGCGACGGTTGAAGTGTTATCATATGCTTAAGAATCATTCGAGATTAATACCGCAATTAGCGGCTGAGTAAGAAACTAAACTTCAAACACATTTAGTATATCAAACACACATGATTCGCCTCCCTTACTATAATTAATCTCACTAATCAATTAAATCACTTTATTATACTAATATATCACATTAGTATGCTAAGAAAAATAATACAATAATGAAAAAAAAAAGGAAAGGAAATGGGAGCAGACACTGGGGGAGAAAGACGTCATCTCTCTTCTCTCTCTATTGTTAGTAAGTTTTGAGAGCCCAATCGTGTTTGGATCTCTCTCTGCCTTGTCTCCCAAAATTCTCAGATCTAACCAAAGACAGATCGATTCCTCCATCAGAGCTTCGTTGAATGTCTCGCTCCCAGAACGAGGAGTTTCAGCAATGGTGGAACAAGCAACGAGATAGGAGCAATCACCACGACGTTCTTTACACCGGTGACGATGAGGCTTTCCTCACCGTTGAAATCCGTACTCCTTCCTCCGCCGTTGACCCCGACAAAGATCGGATCCGTACTCGTTCCGCTCGTCAGCTCTCTCGTCTCTACCTCCTCAAGTTCAAGCAACTTGCTTCCTCCTTCGTCTGGATCGGTAACTCCTTCCTTTACCTTCTTCGCACCGCCAATCGCCGCATTGCCAACGATAATCCTCCCTCCGTCTCCTCCTCCGCTCGATTGTACCGTCTTATCAAGGGATTTCTCGTTCTTGTTGTGCTTCTTCTCTGTTTCGAGCTCGCCGCTTATTTCAAGGGATGGCACTTTACTCCGCCTTCCGTCGCCTCCGCCGAGGTCGCCCTCGAGGTCGTTTACGCCTGGTGGCTCGAGATCAGGGCCTCCTATCTCGCGCCTCCGCTTCAGAGCTTGACCAATGTCTGCATAGTTCTATTCCTTATTCAATCGGTTGACCGTCTCGTGCTTGTGCTTGGATGCTTCTGGATCAAGCTCCGCCGCATTAAGCCTGTTGCATCTATGGAGTACCCGACTAAATTGGTTGGAGACGGGGTTAGATTGGAAGATTATCCAATGGTGATTGTGCAGATTCCAATGTGCAATGAAAAGGAGGTAAGCACATGTATGTAGGTCCCTGATCCCTATTACTGAGATGAGTTGAATTGGAAATCAACCATCTTTAGGTAGGATTTGTTGCTACTATGTCTAGTCGTAATCCAAGTGATTTGTGTCCGGTTTCATCGATAGTTTACAATACATTTCCTTTTGATCTCTCTGTTGGTTCACATTTGAATTCTTGCAGTTCCTGTTATGTTACCTCATTTTGTTGATTAATTTTTGCAGGTTTACCAACAATCTATTGGAGCTGTGTGTATGCTCGACTGGCCTAGGGAAAGGATGCTGGTTCAGGTTCTTGATGACTCCAGTGAGTTAGATGTTCAGCAGCTCATTAAAGCTGAAGTACAGAAATGGCAACAAAGGGGTGTCCGGATAGTGTATAGACACCGTCTAATACGTACTGGTTACAAGGCTGGAAATCTTAAAGCTGCAATGAACTGTGAATACGTCAAAGATTATGAGTTTGTCGCCATCTTTGATGCGGATTTCCAGCCACCAGCGGATTTCTTGAAGAAAACTGTGCCTCATTTTAAGGTAACCAATCATCTATTTCTTTTGTCTCATGTGCATAGGAGATGTTATGTGACCGGTTTGCTTTATTGATTAAGGATATGGTAAATCTTTTTAAAACTATAGAAGGTAATTATACCCTGAGTTTAATAAGCCTTTCTTCCACTACAATTAGGGTATGCGTGTCTTCATTGCGGTGATTCTAGGATGAACATCTCACATGAAATTAGAAAGAATTAGCTTGTATAAAATTGTATTTTCTTTAGTCAACACCAGCTTGGTGAAACCTTCCCTTAAAACCCAAGTTATCAAATTGTCACAGCCACGGGACAACCATTGACACCAGTTACATTTTCCATGTTTCGGTTGCACTTATAATTTTTGCCCACATAATAATTTTTAAAATTGCCATATCACATGTTATGAAGTATGAACCTGTGTGATCTACTGTGATTGAACTTTCTCCATTGGCTTCTCATAAATTTTGATTTTGTCCTTGGAGATACGGATTTCTTACATTATTAGTTGATTTTATACCTGGCACAATTATACCGTAAGCTTCACATATACTAGCCTTCCTCACATGACAGCTTTTGTGTTTTGTTCAGGGTAATGATGAATTAGCCTTGGTCCAAACACGGTGGGCTTTTGTGAACAAGGACGAGAACTTGCTTACAAGACTCCAGAACATAAATTTGTCTTTCCATTTTGAAGTCGAACAGCAGGTTAATGGTGTCTTTATTAACTTCTTTGGCTTTAATGGAACTGCTGGTGTTTGGAGAATCAAAGCCCTCGAGGACTGCGGGGGATGGTTGGAGCGAACAACTGTTGAAGACATGGATATTGCTGTTCGTGCCCATCTTTGTGGATGGAAATTCATTTATCTGAATGATGTAAAGGTACTTATGTTAAACTAAATTGCTCAGAGGTTGCCATTTATTTACAAGGTGTTATAAACAGAACTCTTTGATCTCATCAAACTGTATTTCCCTTACTCAGTGTCTCTGTGAACTTCCGGAGTCCTATGAGGCATACAAAAAGCAGCAATACCGGTGGCATTCGGGTCCAATGCAATTGTTCCGTTTGTGCTTTTTTGACATTCTTCGTTCAAAGGTGAAACTGAGAATTATATTGAGATTACTTTCCTCTTGCTCTCCTTTGAGTTTAGATTATATTCGTGAAGTTTTCATATTAATAGCTCGGTCTGATCTTAATCCGGTTTGGTCTTCTTTACTACAGGTGAGTGCTGCGAAGAAAGCAAATATGATCTTTCTCTTTTTCTTGCTACGGAAGCTTATCTTGCCATTCTACTCATTCACGCTCTTCTGCGTCATTCTTCCATTAACGATGTTCTTCCCAGAAGCTAACTTACCATCTTGGGTTGTTTGTTACATCCCTGGGATCATGTCCATCTTGAACATCATCCCAGCCCCGAGATCTTTCCCTTTCATAGTTCCTTATCTTCTTTTCGAAAACACCATGTCGGTTACCAAATTCGGAGCCATGATTTCTGGTTTGTTCAAGTTTGGAAGTTCTTACGAGTGGGTAGTGACCAAAAAGCTAGGGAGGTCGTCTGAGGCTGATCTGGTTGCATATGCAGAGTCAGGTTCTCTGGTCGAGTCCACAACTCTCCAAAGATCATCCTCTGATTCAGGTCTGACTGAGCTTAGCAAACTAGGGGCAGCAAAGAAAGCTGGCAAAACCAAGAGAAACCGTTTGTACAGAACAGAAATCGCACTCGCGTTTATCCTGTTGGCAGCGTCGGTGAGAAGTTTATTGTCAGCGCAAGGAATCCACTTCTACTTCCTCTTGTTCCAAGGAATCACTTTCGTTGTTGTCGGTCTAGATTTGATCGGGGAACAGGTCAGTTAGTTTATATAACCTTTTTCTCATTTAAAAACTACATTGAAACCATACCACCTGGAGAACGGACAGGGCCCAGAGACCAAGTAAGGAAGGAGCGAACCAACTCACTTATGGGATACTAGCAGGTCCTTTCGTTACAGATAGATACATAAAAACAATTCATTTAAAGTTTCTGTCTTGGGAACATGATTTTACACTCTACTTGGGTTGGTTTAGATCCTTTTTTACGGATAGTATAACTAGAGAGAATGGCAGAAAGAACAGTCGAAGAGGATTTCAAAAGACTTGACGACCTGTATCTTTTGTTGTGGTATTAAGCCAAAACTTGGTTTTTTTGTTGTGCAAAAATTGTTGGTAGGTGGTTGGTTTTTTTTGTTTTGTTTCGGATGATGTGGCAGAAACATCTTTTAAAGATTTGTTGTAATGCCACACTCAATTCTTTTGAGCTCTTTGTTGTTGTTCTTCCTCTCTTAAGAGTTAAATTTATATACACTTTTGAATCGAAATTACTCTTTTTCTTTTCCAGAAAAAATTCTACTTGCTTGGCGTTTTACAAATTTGTTTATTTCCATGTTTAAGAGAATACCTATTTTCATGATATCGAAGAGAATTCGCCATTTTAGTATTTGTTTGGCTAGTTATGGGCTTCCTCTGATTATATTATAAAGGATCAGAATCTGTTTTGAGAATCTGTTGTATGATAAGGCCCAAGTTCATTCAGCTCTCCTATTTAGAACCAGCACAGATATGTTAAATTCTCTGACTACATAAAAATATAGAACATGAACAAAAAAAATATGGCACATGTATGATCATATTACTATCACTTTGCAAGTTCAGAGCGGGTTAACGTAGCACATGACAATAGTTATCAACATCTTGCATGCATTCCTGCCTCAGAGGACTCAAATAAATAATGCAGACTTACAAGACAACATCTAATGTGTATAAGAAAAAAAAAACAGTGTTGAAAACAACATATCAACAAATTTACATAAAAAAATATATTAGTGACCTTGTCAAAAAAAAAAAATATATATAGTAGTGACTATATGGGATATGCTATAGACTAGTTATAATATTTATAACAGATATATAAACCCAGACAAATGTATTACTATATTAGAGAATATATACTGCAAGTTTCCGCACTCGACACAGCGCACAGAAAAAAATATCTAACAAAGTAAATATCTCAAGGGAAAAAAGAGAAGGAAGAAGAGCTTGTCCGAGAGTGACTGATTAATTTTTCTTTAAAAAGTTTTGATTGCAGTTCAGATATATCCATACACGTATCCGATAAGTACATATTTATACATGTATCCGACGCGTACAAGGTACGTATCCCCATACTCGGTTTAACTTTCTAGAGATACTGGATTCGAAACTATCAGACCTATAAAATTTTGGATTATTCCGGTTTGAATGTGGGTAGGTCGGTTCACCCGACCAGAAATGTACTGCGCCTGTACGTATTTATGATTAAAAAAACTTGTATGATAGTTTGTCATAGAAACGAGATCTAGAGCATAATGTCACGTCACATCATTAAAGCATAATAAGAACGTTACTTTTTCGTTTTTCTTCTCGACCCTCTCATTAAGCTTTTTTTATGTTCTTTATTACAAGACGACCGTTGAGATTTGTCTAGAATTAAGACACCAATCAAAAGTCTTATATACTACTCACTTACATAACCTTTTCATCACATAAATACATTCTTGCCAACTCGTTTACAGACCCGCCCGACAATCACACTTTTTTTTAATTACTTTCTAGTACAGTAATCTTCATTATACAGTTTTAAATTTACAATTAGAGTTTCGTCTGTTGAATAATTTTCTTTTCTTTTCTCATTTATAGAAATGAGCGTTCAACTAAAATCCCTTATATTCTTCATTTATCCATCTACTTTCATTTCCCAGGGAAGGAAGCATAGTCTCCCATTTACTAATAATAATCTCTACGACATGATGATTACGGTTTCATTTCTCTTTACAAGAGATGCTTTGTTTTTCTCCTAAAACTTTATGGAGACAGCAGTGAGAAAAAAATGTTACTAATCATAATCCCTTTTCTCTATAGCGAAAAAAGCACAAAGCATCATTTTCAGTAAAACATTTGTTTATACAAATAAATGAAAACAGAAACACACTTTTAAGAATTGGCAAGAAACAGAGTTTTTTCAACTGACATAAAAAAACCTAACTATATACAGTTAACATCATATATAAGAGTAGCAATAAGAGAATTTATCGTACATTTTCAGAAATTAAACACAAGAGTAATTACAAAAGTTACTACTAGTATGTATCTTTTGTTGATTTAATACTCAAACAACAAGAGGCCATGTATTTATTTATTTATTTAATGGGGAACACTAGCCATTAAATATCTCCACTCTTCACTCTTCTTACCAAAGACTCTTCTCCCTCTCTTCTTCAAAGCCTCTCTCTTTTTTTTTTCTTCCCCACTTATTCACTTTTATATTGCTTCAGAGTTATCGGCGAAGAAGAAGAAGTAGAAGACAACATCATCATGAGTCTTCTACGTCTCCTAGCTCTGTCTCTGCTCATCTCTGTTTCAGGTAAGCTCGTTTCACCTGCCTACATTAATGTCGGCTTCATATTACCTTACAAAATGTTAATCCTCTTCCACAGGAGCAAAGTTCTCTGGCCGGCCAGGAGTCAACTACGGCCAGCTCGGAAACAACCTCCCTTCACCCTCCGACTCTGTCAACCTCATCAAATCCCTAAACGCTAAACGCGTCAAACTCTACGACGCTAACCCAAAAATCCTCGCCGCCTTAAACGCCACCGACATCACCGTCTCCGTCATGGTCCCCAACGAGCTCCTCGTCAACATCTCTAAATCCGAATCACTCTCCGACGACTGGATCCGATCCAACATCCTCCCGTTTTACCCAACCACCAAGATCCGTTACCTCCTCGTCGGCAACGAGATCCTCTCTTCCCCGGACTCAGAGCTCAAAGCTTCCCTCGTCCCCGCAATGCGCAAGATCCAACGCTCATTGAAGTCTCTCGGCGTTAAAAAGGTCAAAGTCGGAACCTCACTCGCCGTCGATGTTCTCCAGACTTCGTTTCCACCGTCCAAGGGTGAGTTCCGAGAGGATATCTCCGGTTTAGTTATGAAACCGATGCTCCAATTCTTAAACCGGACCAAATCATTCTTATTCGTTGATGTTTACCCGTATTTCGCGTGGGCGCAAGATCAGACCCATGTGGATCTCGACTACGCGCTTTTCGAATCTAACAACGTCACCGTAACGGATCCGGGCACGAATTTGACGTACCACAACCTCTTCGATCAGATGATTGACGCATTCGTCTTCGCTATGAAACGTCTCGGGTATCCGGATGTTCGGATCTGGGTTGCGGAAACGGGTTGGCCCAATGGCGGAGATTACGACCAAATTGGAGCAAATATCTACAACGCCGCCACTTACAACCGCAACGTTGTCAAGAAGCTCGCCGCTGAACCGCCCGTAGGCACGCCCGCCCGTCCCGGGAAGGTTCTACCTTCGTTTGTATTCGCGCTTTACAACGAGAATCAGAAAACGGGTCAGGGTACGGAGCGGCATTTCGGGCTTTTGCATCCCAACGGGACTCAGGTCTACGGGATTGACTTGTCGGGGAAGACGACGGAGTACAAGGAATCGTTGCCGGCGCCGGAGAATAACGAGGTGTACAAAGGGAAGATTTGGTGCGTGGTGGCTAAAGGAGCAAATTGGACTGAGCTTGGTGAAGCTCTATCGTACGCTTGCTCGCAGGGGAACAAAACCTGTGACCCGATTCAAAGCGGAGGCCCATGTCACAAACCCGACTTGGCCGTTTTGCACGCCAGCTACGCTTTTAGCTCTTATTGGGCCCAGTTTCGTAAGTCCGGTGGGACTTGCTCCTTCAACGGCTTAGCCACCCAAACCATCAAAGATCCAAGTAAGTCTGATTTCGAAAATTATTTTAAACCGATTCGTATAATAACAAAAAATATCCGAAAATTAGTTCCGGTTCAGTGTATCTGGATGTTGATGTTGGTGTAGTACTCACTATCTATTGTGGTTTTGGTGAAAAAAAAACAGGTTACGGACGCTGCGAGTTCCCGAGCGTGACATTGTGACGGCTTAGGAGTTACGACAAGGCATGGCCGAGGTAAAGCCGCACGGTGTTACGGCTTTCATTGATATAAATTGCACGTGGCGACTCCGTACGATGATGTTACGTAGCTTTTGATTCTTAGAAACGGCACGTGATTACGGTCCCGTGTGTATTCATTTGCTGTTTATTTATTTTATTTTTCCCGCGAAATAATGAAAACTCTCATGAGTAATAATAAATTCGTTTTATTTCGTGTACTGCTTCGACCGGTCCCCTTATCTATGTTTCTATCAGAACAAAACTATTATTTTTTTCTTGATGTTGTTTGTTCACTTGTTGTTTGGGACCAGTTTTTAGGATATCCAACGGCTACATTTTCTCCTATTGATTTGTGGTTTTGTGTCCTTAGTTTTACACGGATTGGATGATAAACATGTTCTGATCTAGGATTTTTTACTAGTAGTAAAAATACTAAAAGAAATATAAAGATTATACTTTTGAAAAAAAAAAAAAAAAAAGAAGGAAATGCAAATGTCGAGAATCGGATGCCTATGAAATGATTCTCTTCTGCATCGAGAAAAAAGGATTGTCATAGCCCTCTTTTACAGTTCACTGTGACCTTTTGCAGCAAAAAAGTAAAAAAAAAAAAACCATCAACTTGTGTCTATCTGCTTTATTTACTCTTCTTCAGCTGTATAAAGGATTGTGTGTGGTTCACAAGCAAGCAGTATAATCAATTTCACACAATTCTCTCTTCGGTTAATTGCTCTCTGTTCTTATAATCAGGTATAACCTTTATATGTAATTATTGTTAATGGAATTGTAATGGATATGATGATCGTTTCGACCATGCTTTCTCATATTAGTGCGGATGCTTTAGTCGGAGTCACCTTCTACTTTTCAGTGTATTATTCCTCGACTAGGAGTAGACACGTAATTTTAATGGTTTGTGCACCATTGCTACAGAATCTGCTCAGGTAAATCGAACATACATTTAGACTTCCACAACTTTGACATTGTCTCTTGTTTTCAAATATGAAATCCAACTTTTAGGAGTGATGGGTTAAAACTCTATAAGTAAGGTTCTGGAGTGTGGACCACCCAGGTTATAGCAAAACATTGTACACGCCGCTATGCATGATAGGAGCCACCACTTATCCTAACAATCAATCATTCACTACTTAGGATCAAAACCTCTCACGAGGTCGACACACTCGATAAGCTGTTGTACTTTGTATACGAAAGTGAATATGTTTCCATATCAGGCATGCATTTTTGAAGCAAAAGTCAAATAATAAACACAAAACTTGATTAAAATCAAAGTCGTTAGATCTTGAAATATGCTAATCCATATTAGCATCACTAAACTTTCCCAATTTTTTTTTTTTTTTTTTGGTAAACACACAATATTGACTGTATTTTCAGTTCCGAGAGAAAACTACATTTCAACTAGAAAATTTATTTAATAAAATAATGGTACACTAAACCTAATAAATATATTATATGGTGTCTGTGTCAGTAACTCAACGGGAGTGTAAAGAAAATAAAACAGGTGGGGAAGATCTCGAGCTCAAACACTAGCAACTTGGAACTATTAATCAACCCACAATAACACCTTGTTCAATAGATGAATGATTCACACTTTTGACTTTTGTTAAGAAAATAAAGAAACATAACGATCGATCAAAACTGTTAGCCGATTGATGGATGATGGTTGAAGAAAACTAGTGGTGGTGGCTGTTTTATATATATAAGCCGGCTCTAGAGGACCACCAAGCGGTCCAATCCTATATAGTAAGTATTCGCAGAGGCACAAAGGACTATATAAATGGGGTCGTATTACACTTGTTTTGAATATATCGCCAATAATTGAGAGAGATAAGGTATCAATATCTAGTCCGGAATAATATAATAAACACATAAATTATATCCTATGTTTATGTGTGTGTATGTAAACACACATCTGTAAACATCAACCACCTAACTATTATGAATATGAAAATCATACGACTTATTTTTACGTAAAGTTACACGACTCTTCAATACTTTTAAGAAAAAAATAAAAAATTGTTCATGTAGGGGAAGAAAGTTCAAATTTTCTCTATTGGACTTGCTAAACTTCCGAATTGTATGCTTTATTAATGTTGTGAGATCAAAAATATATAAATGGGAATTGAGGTTTACTAAAACTTCCTAATTATATTGTACTACTAGTATGTTTCATTAATCATGCGAATTTTTTTTGACTTTTGCTTTGAATCCAAGGATATTCTTGAAAATTCTATATAATGTCTCTCGGATCAAAATCTAGATTTTATATAAGCAAGCCAGTAACATATATGCACTTGTCCAAGTTGGAGGTAAATGATAACCACACACCGACTTAAGTGAGAGGAGAGGAGAGAGCCCATAGGAACAAACAGTTTGAGAAGAAAAAAAAACAGAATCAAATATTTTATCCGAAACGAAACAACAGAAACAGAATAATTAATAAAAAAGATACTCTTCTTTTTCTTCTACCTTATCCATTCTTCACCACTTCTCCCACTAATCCGCAAAAAAAAAAAAATATATTCATCAATCTTCTTCTCCTTTTTTTCTCTCAATCACAGATCCTTTTAGGGTTTTTTTCTTTGTCCTTCAACTGTTTTTGATTGCTAAATATGGATAGTTGTATCTCCAATCAAGCGGCGCTACCGTTTCTCCCTTCGCGTTCCAGGAGACAGAGCGGCGACGGAGGCGGTGGTTGTGTTTTTCCGATTAAGCGGAAGATCGTGTCTAGCTCGATGGTTGTGGTTGCGGCGGCGGGACCGAGCCGGTGCGAGCCTGGAAGCAGTCTTAACGCGCCGCTTGAGCCACGATCCGCTCAGGGGAGGTTTCTGAGAAGCGTGTTGCTTAACAAGCGCCAGCTTTTTCACTACGCTGCTGCTGATGAGCTTAAGCAACTCGCTGATGATAGGGAAGCTGCTTTAGCTCGTATGTCTCTAAGCTCTGGTTTCGATGAGGCTTCTCTCCACAGGTCCCTTGACTTACTCTGTAATCTCTTCCAATACACAAATAATCCGTTATGCTGTGAAGTGTGAACATTCGTATGATTAGGAAGATACAGAGAAACCAGTGTAAATCATTAGTTACAATCGCTTCTCTAATCTCTCACAAATTGGTTTGTGTATTTACCACATAAGCTTGCTAAGTCAGATTATAAGTTGTCTAATTTTTTGTGTGTTCTATTAGTTTGTTGGTATTTGTGGTGATAGAAGTATCAGGCTTATGGAATGGCTGATTTGAAACAAGATAGTGCTACAGTTATGAATTGCTGGTGATTTCTAATGCTCTGCCTTGTGAAGCAAGCTTTATTTTGGTGTTCCATCATAAGGCTGGCTCATGTTTCTGTTACTTAGTTAAATTTTCAGTGTTGTTTTAAACTATTTGCTAGTTCCGCATGTATAATATTCATCAGTCAGTTTCTTGCCTGTGTTCGACTTAGTGTTCTGTTTCTGCAGCTTGTTGTTATGTTTAACTTGCAGCTCAGGCCATGCAATGCTCTGTTTGTTGGTTTTTTTTTTCCTGCTGTTTTCTGCTCTCTTATGATCACTGATTTCCTGATTTTCTCCATGTTTGGCAGAAGGATAGCTCAACTAAAGGAACGTTACTGCAAAACTGCAGTCCAAGACATAATGTACATGTTAATCTTCTACAAATACTCAGAGATAAGAGTCACTCTCGTTCCAAAGCTCTCCAGATGCATCTACAATGGAAGGCTCGAGATCTGGCCTTCTAAAGACTGGGAGCTAGAGTCGATTTACAGCTGTGATACTCTTGAGATAATCAAAGAACACGTAAGCGCAGTCATTGGACTACGGGTCAATTCATGTGTGACGGACAACTGGGCAACAACTCAGATACAGAAACTGCATCTCAGGAAGGTATACGCCGCCTCGATCTTGTTCGGTTACTTCTTGAAATCCGCTTCTCTCAGGCACCAGCTAGAGTGTTCCTTGTCGGATATCCATGGAAGCGGATATCTGAAAAGTCCCATCTTTGGATGCTCTTTCACAACGGGCACTGCACAGATATCCAACAAGCAGCAGCTGAGACATTACATATCAGACTTCGATCCAGAGACATTGCAGAGATGCGCAAAACCGAGGACGGAGGAAGCAAGGAATCTGATAGAGAAGCAAAGTTTGGCCCTTTTTGGCACGGAGGAGAACGATGAAACCTTTGTGACATCGTTTTCGAGTCTGAAGCGGTTGGTACTCGAGGCAGTGGCGTTTGGGACATTTCTGTGGGACACGGAATTGTATGTAGATGGTGCATATAAGCTCAAGGAAAATGGGAATGCAGAAGAACAAGAAGGCAAAAGAAGCATATAAGACCAGTTTGGTTAGAAGGAAACCTTCATGATCGTCTGGTGCTGTGTATATAGAGTAATATTTCTGCCGAATCTCTCTCAGGCAATTCTTCGGTGTATAGCTTTTGCTTAGTTATAAATATCTCTACGACCAAATAAGAATGTGGTGCTGTCTATAAGGAATAGACAAAGTGGTGTTCAATTTTTATGTTATGGGTTTAGTTTCCTTGTTCCATGTGATCTTTCTCCTTTTTACCGAAGATCTGAAACTAATTCAACTGTCGTCAAAACCAAACAGATCTATAGTTTAGATCTCAAAGAAGCTACAGTAGTTTGTTTTCAAATAGAAGGAGGAGGTCTTATATAAACGAGAGTTAGGGCATCATTATTGGGGGATCTTAGCCTCTAAGATCCCCCCAATAATGATGGTCTTAGACCAACATTATTGGTGGTATCTTAGAAAGCTAAGATACCCCAATTTTACAAAAAAAAAATCTTAAAAAAAATCTTATAATGGTGTAAAATCTTATAATGGTGTAAAATCTTATAATGGTGTAAAAAATCTTAGAAAAAAAATCTTATAATGGTGTAAAATCTTATAATGGTGTAAAAAATCTTAGAAAAAAAATTTTAGTAAGATTTTTTTTTTGTAAAATTGGGGTATCTTAGCTTTCTAATATACCACCAATAATGGTGTCCTTACAGACAGTTATTATTTTAACTTTTTTTACTGTTCGTGTTTCGCTTTCGTATTGGGCTTTCTTTTCTCTCGGCCCTCAAAGATCACTTTGGGCCCAAAAGTTAGACCTACCAAAAAAATCCCAAATTCGCTCAGTAAAATCTGGTCTCCTATTTCAATTCCGTTTCTCTCTCGCCGGAATATATCTCCTACATCATCTCCTTATCGTCCGCCACCGTCGCATACTTACTGGTAAGCTTACCCTTTTTGCTTCCTTATCTTTTGTATTGTCTCCCACATTAGGTTCCTCTTTTTGCCTTCTTTCTGCTGCCGCGAATCGCGCTTGATTAGGGTTTATCAATTCTGACCCCTCTAGTTTTGCATTTGCTCAGTGATTTCACATAAGGAAGATGCCGGACGTACAATCAACGGTGGTGGAGTTTGTAAACAAGCTCAGGAAGCGGTAAATCTCTCGCGGTTTTATTTCGCCAAACCGTTTTCTTAAGGGAGTTGCTGATTTGATTTGATCATATGTTATGCAGTAAGATTGAGGGCTCACAGGCTACCGCCAAATGCACTGTAGAGCTTCTTAGGTCAGTAATTTCGTATCAGCGAGTGCCTCACGCAAACCAGGCCGCTGCTCTTATTGATGCTGTGAAAGCCGTTGGTCAGCAATTGGTAGCTGCAAATCCAGTTGGTATGCTTTCTGAAATTCTCTTCTTTTGCTTACGTCTTCTCCTTCATACTGCACAAGGAATAACGTTTTACTGGATATGGTTTTGCAGAGCTTGCGGTGGGAAATGTAGTTAGACGGGTTTTGCATATTATAAGGGAGGAGGATCTTTCCCTCACTACAGCAGCTATGGCGGGTTTGGACTTGTTGGATGCAAGTGATGATGATGATGTAGATAACTGCAAAGGAATTGGGTATCCTGCAATGTCTGCAGCAGTTGTTGCAGCTGCAGCTAGGAGTACGTTACGCCCTCCATCTTTGCAAACGCTACTCGAGGGCACTCCTGAATCTGCAACTGTCCCATACACATCTTCATCCGGTGCTGATTCCGAAAGCAAAAGTAAATGTACCTTTTCCATGCCTTTGGCTCTCCTTTCCACATGTTGGTCTTTTCTCTAGATCCTTATGCCGCCTGTCTTAGTGATGTCTTTGACCAGCCATGAAGATAAGTGTTATAGTAGGAATATACTAATGTTGAGTAACAAAATGCTTTTAGATTTAGATACATATGGTTTTCTTTTGAGCTAACTTAGATAGATATAGGTGTCAAGTGGTTTTTGTTTTGCTTTGGGACCTATTTAAAGCTTGGAAGATTTTATGGAATCCTGAAGTTAACCCTATTTTACTGATTCATGTCGATTTCTTGCTGAAATTCTTTGTGAATTTGTACTGTGTAACTGAGTAATAGAGATAAATTGGGAATCATATCTGCTCTTATCAGTCTGATCTAAAATGAATCATATGTCAAAACTTTATATGGCAACAAAAAATATGTTATAATTTCTGGTTGATATTAATGGTCTAATTACCCTTTGTTTAGCTGCCGATAAAAGTTCATTAACTCGGAAGCTAAAGCATGATGTTATCGAAGGAGTGAATCAACTTATTCATGAGATTGCTGGTTGTCATGAGCAGATTGCTGAGCAAGCTATAGAGCATATACATCAAAAGTAATTTTTTTTTCTATAGCTTTAATTATCTGTAACATGCAATACATGGAGAACCAAAACTGAATCAGTTTCTTTCCACAAATGCAACTTTATATTGCCTAAATTCAATTTTATAGTGAGGTGATCCTAACCCTGGGTAGCTCAAGAACAGTGCTTGAGTTTCTGTGTGCTGCAAAGGAGAAAAAAAGATCTTTTCGTGTATTTGTCGCCGAAGGTGCTCCAAGGTTTGGTCTCTCCTTTTGCTATTTGTTCCATCCTTACCTAGTGTTTTCTGCTTTGTGCAACATTTTCATGTACTCTCTGTTATGTTCATCTAACTCAGCTGTATCTTCTTTTTGGGTCCGATTCTATCCTATTATATTAGGTATCAGGGCCATCTATTAGCAAAAGAACTGGTAGCTAGAGGTTTGCAGACCACAGTGATTACCGACTCTGCAGTGTTTGCTATGATATCTCGAGTGAATATGGTACATATTCAATCCTGTCCAGTTTTATATTTTCCTGTCCTTAGCTTCTAAATAGATTACAAGTGATGTGATCATGCACAGGTTATAATTGGAGCCCATGCAGTGATGGCTAATGGTGGGGTTATAGGACCTGTTGGTGTCAACATGGCTGCTCTTGCAGCAAAAAAGCACGCAGTCCCATTTGTGGTTCTAGCCGGTAGTCACAAGGTTGGTTTTGAGTTGTGTTGAATATCTCAAACTGTTGATTGGTCTCAAAACTTGACTGAGGGTTTCTTATGTAATAACAGTTGTGTCCACTCTATCCACACAATCCGGAGGTATTACTAAATGAGCTGAGATCTCCATCTGAACTGTTGGATTTTGGTGAATTCTCGGATTGCCTGGACTCTGGAGCGGGTTCCGGGTCTCTTCAAGTTGTCAACCCAACATTCGATTATGTCCCACCAAACCTTGTCAGTCTCTTCATAACGGATACGTAAGTCTGCTATATATATCTTTGGTTTACTGTAAGATGCTGTATTTCTAGGCTGGTCCATTTTCGTGGCATTACTTTGTTTGGATTAAGTGTTGATGATAGCGTAACGGTTTTGGTCACAGGGGAGGACACAATCCATCTTACATGTACCGCCTTATTGCTGACTATTACTCTGCTGATGATTTGGTGATGTAGCGAGAAAAGGACTAGTTTTTGGGTCTCTGGTGAGAACGATACGACAGTCACTCGGTTGGTCAGTCATTCACAATTGAAGAATATATGTACATTGCACAAACTAGTTTACTCAAGGATTGTGAATGAGAAAGAGAAACATCTTTGTGTCTGAAGCTTTTCAGGCCAAGTTTATTTTTGCCGTGTCTCGGAGTAATTCGTTTAGTGCAGTCTCAATGGTGTCTATTGTTACTTGATATGCTTTTTTTTTCACTCAAGACGACATTTTCTTTCTTTAGCTTTTTGTATTTCTAATACGAGAATACAGGAAGAGGACATCTTATCAAGGAGATTTAAGCAGTATCTTAGCAAATTTAAGATTTAAATTTAAATCAAAAATCATAATTTTAGGTAAGATATTTAAGATAGGTATCTTATATAAGATACTTTTGGAGGGTTAAGATACGTATACGTGGCACATTTTGATTGGATACATAGATAAATATATAAGGGAAAAAAATAACTTAGTTTTTTTCTTTCTTTTTCTCGCGATGCGAAACAACAATATCACCGACGACCACCATCTTTTTTTTGTCAACCGACGACCACCATCTTATGTATGTTTTAAATTTTAAATTTTGCTATAATTATAAAATTTTCTCAAATTACAATTTTTAATTTAATTTAATTTTTAAATAATTTTATTTTCTTTCTAAGATATCCAGATGAAAATGAACGAGATATGTATACTCAGTTTGATGTCACCGAATTTCAACAAGCGGAAACTGTCGAAAGTACAAGAGTGGATTTCTCGTATGATACATATATGCCTTCAAATTTCGTCGATCTGATGGCCGCTAGAACTCGACTTCGGGATCGAGCTAAGCATGAACAATTGAATAACGATCTGGTCAAACATATTTGGAGTAAATTTTCACGTTTAAATTTATTGTACTTTATGTTATAATTTCTATCTTATAATTTCTCTCTTATGTATGTTTTCAAATTCTAAATTTGCAATAATTATAAAATTTTCTTAAATTACAAATTATAAATTTTTTTCTAAGATACCCAACTTAAGATCCTACCAATAAACACATCTCAAAACTAAAAACTCTTAAACTCAACTTTTTCAAATTTAATACTAATTAATTCTAAGATACCCTAATTAGCATACTACCTATAATGTTGGTCTTATTTTACTAATTAAAAGATTTGGGTGCAAGGGAATATTGCAAACCAAAGATTCAAAAGTGTCATGCTATGGATGCATTGGTTCGATTCGGTTCAATTCCGATAAGCTGATTCGATAACCGTATCACTATACCGTCTCCGTGAGAATAGAAGACAACACCTGATATTGCAGCATAAACCCCATTGTTCCAATTGCAAGAGAGACAAAAAAAAAAAAAAAACCCTAAACCCTCTAGTTAAAGTAATCATTTTTTCATTTGTTTCCCTCCGGCTCCCTTCAATCTGTGTATGCTGATACGTAACAGAAGTCCTCGAAAGATCTTAGCTTTGGGGCGTCTTGTTTTTCCTTCTTCGAATGCCTTCTTCTCCGTCTCTTCTCCACTTTCCCAGTTTTCCCCGGACGAGATGGCGCCTCACGACGTCGCATCTTTGCTGAAAATTTCCAATTGGGAAAAGAACAGTTCTCTCAAATCCCTAGTCTCTCACATGAACCCACATGTAGCTTCACAGGTCATTTCGCATCAACGCAGCGATAACGACATTTGCGTTCGCTTTTTCATGTGGGTCTGCAAGCATTCTTCGTATTGTTTCGAGCCAGCTCAGAAAACTCAGCTTCTGAAACTGATTGTTTCTTCCGGTATGTATCGGGTTGCGCATGATGTTATCGTTTTGTTGATTAGGGAATGCAGTAGATGCGAGAAAGAGATGTTGAATCTAATGGGTTGTTTTGATGAGCTGCGAATTCTTTTTGGATTCCGGTTAAATTACCCTTGTTACAGCTCTCTTTTGATGTCCTTGGCTAAACTTGATTTGGGGTTTTTGGCTTACGTGACTTTCAGAAGAATGGAAGCTGACGGATTTGTTGTTGGCATGATTGATTACAGAACCATTATCAATGCTCTCTGTAAGAATGGATTCACGGATGCCGCTGAGATGTTCTTGTGTAAGTTTCTTAAAATTGGGTTTCTGCTAGATTCTCATATATGCACTTCTTTGTTGCTGGGTTTTTGCCGTGGATTGAATATAAGAGATGCACTCACCGTGTTTGATGTCATGTCCAGAGAGGGAAATTGTGCACCAAACTCTGTTAGTTACTCCATTTTGATTCACGGGATGTGTGAAGTAGGGAGACTTGAAGAAGCCTTTGGCTTAAAAGATCAAATGGGTGAGAAAGGTTGCCATCCAAGCACACGTACATATACTGTGCTTATTAAAGCCTTGTGCGATCGAGGTTTGATTGATGGAGCTTTTAGCATGTTTGATGAGATGACTGCTAGAGGGTGCAAACCAAACGCTCACACTTACACTGTTCTGATTGATGGGTTGTGTCGAGACGGAAAGATTAAAGAGGCTAATGGGGTTTTTCGAAATATGGTCAAAGACGGGATATTTCCTAGTATAATAACTTACAATGCGTTAATAAATGGCTACTGTAAAGATGGACTAGTTGTTCCTGCTTTTGAACTTCTTACTGTAATGGAGAAGAGGGCTTGCAAACCAAATGTAAGAACTTTCAACGAGCTTATGGAAGGGTTGTGTAGAGTCGGGAAACCGTACAAGGCTGTGCACCTTTTGAAGAGAATGGTTGACAATGGCCTGTCACCTGACATTGTGAGCTATAACATTTTGATCGATGGGCTTTGTAGAGAAGGTCATATGAGTATGGCTTACAAGCTACTCAACGTGATGAATTCTTTTGATCTTGAGCCTGATTGTCTTACATATACCGCTATAATTAATGCTTTCTGCAAACAGGGGAAGGCTGATGTAGCTAGTGGGTTCTTAGGTTTGATGCTTAGAAAAGGAATAAACCTGGATGAAGTAACAGGTACAACTCTTATTGATGGTTTCTGTAAAGTCGGTAAAACCCGGAGCGCATTGTATATCCTGGAGACATTGCTTAAGATGAGAATATTAACAACTCCTCACTCCCTGAATGTGCTTCTTGATATGCTCAGTAAGGGTTGTAAAGTGAAAGAGGAATTAGCAATGTTTGGGAAAATCAATAAGCTTGGTTTAGTTCCTTCAGTGGTGACTTATACAACATTGGTTGACGGGTTGATTCGATCAGGTGATATAAGTGGTTCCTTCAGGATGGTAGAACTGATGAAGTTAAGTGGTTGTTTGCCAAATGTCTATCCATACACAATCATCATCAATGGTCTTTGTCAACTAGGAAGAGTCGAGGAAGCAGAGAAGCTTCTTTCTGCTATGCAAGATTCAGGAATTTTACCAAACCATGTTACTTATACTGTTATGGTGAAAGGATATGTTGATAATGGAAGACTAGACTGTGCTATTGACACTGTAAGAGCAATGGTTGAAAGAGGATATGAACTAAATGATCGTATCTATTTTTCTTTGTTACGGGGACATGTCTTATCTCGAAAGGGTATTGATAATTCAGATGAGAGTAGTGTTTCTGATATTGCTCTTAGAGAGACCGATCCTGAATGTATCAGCGAACTCATATCTGTGGTTGAACAACTCGGTGGGTCTACCAGCGGATTATGTATTTTCTTGGTCACACGGATATGCAAAGAGGGAAGAACGGACGAGTCCAACGATCTAGTCCAAACTATACTGAAGAGCGGTGTTTTTCTTGAAAAGGCGGTCGACATCATCATGGAATCTTACTGCAGCAAGAAGAAACATAGCAAATGTTTGGAGCTGATAACACTTGTTCTCAAATCCGGGTTTGTCCCGAGTTTCAAATCCTTCTGCCTAGTGGTTCAAGGTCTGAAGAAGGAAGGAGATACCGAGCGGGCGCGTGAGGTCGTAATGGAGCTTCTTACCTCAAATGGAGTTGTAGAGAAAGCTGAGGTGCTGCCTTATGTAGAGTGTCTCATGGAAGGAGATGAAACGGGTGGTTGCGATGAAGTAATAGATCTGGTTGATGAATTGCACTGCAGAGAAAGACCAACCTTCTAAAATATATTACTGTTTCGATTTTGTGTAGCTTCCTTTTTTTTTTTCTTTTTGAACTAAGAATCCTTTTGAAGTGTATAAAGTTTGGATCATACCCTACGTCGTACCGTGCTTGATTCTGTTTAAGAGTGATCAGTAGAGGAGTACGAGGATCCTAGTTGGGCTAGGCCTAGAAGATAGTAAAAATATACCCACCTTTTGAAAATAGTTGGGCATTAGATGTTGTTACCGCTAATAAATCTCTCGGTCCACACTTATTATATACGATGATGATCTGGTATAGAGCCGAAAAGATCTTTCGTTTAGAAATTGCCGAAGCCAAAAAGACCTCTCTTTATTTTTATTTTTGGAACACAGACCTTTCTTTTATCTTTGTCCCTCATTGGTAAAAATTCAATTTTGCAAAATTCAGACCAAAGTTTCACTTTTAATTGGCTGGGGTTTTGAGAGAGAGAGAGAGAGTCTTCTTCTTCTTTTCTTCTTGTCGAAGAACAATAAAACCATATCCCCTATATATTATAAAAGGTCCGGTTATTAAAAATAAGAAAAAAAGACAGAGAGAAGAACATTTACAGTCACAGATATATATACAGAAAGAGAAGGTATATACGCACCCATATGCCAACACATGGAGATTGATAGAGAGAGAGAGAGAAGAGAGAAGAGATATATTTCTCACTTTCTTCTTCTTCTTCTTCTTCTTCTTCTCTATTTCTCTCCTCTTCTCTCTGAGATCTTCCCATCTCTCCCTCTCTCTCTCTCTCTATTGTATATGATTTTTCATTAAAAGAAAAAAAAGAATATAACCGAAGCTGTTTTAAAGAACACCGTTAGTTTCTATTATTTTTCCATAAGCAAAAACAAAAACAAAAACAAAAACCTTAATTTCTATCGTGTTTTTGGGTCTCCTTGGCAAAGTTTTGAATTATGATCCGCTGATACTTGAGAGCTAATTTACGTTATCTGGGTTTCCCCCAAAGATTTCGTTTTTTTTTTCTCCTTTCCTTTCCTTACTTACTTAACCTCTTGCGTGTGCAATTGGTGCACTTAAGCAAATTCTCATTCTCTTAGTTTGCGATTTTGTTTTTATTTTAATTTTTTAGGGTTTGATTGGATTGGATCACGCCCCTGATTTAGACCCTAATTGAGGTCTCTGGGATTTGATTTGGAATAAGTTTATCTATCGATTTGCGGATTACTCATTCAATCCGAAAGAGGCCAACTTGCCTCCCACATCACATGTTCGTTAGCCGATAAAAGGTGCTTTGAGCTCCCCATTTTTGACTACTAAGCTAATCTTCCTTTTTTTTTTTTTTCAAATGGTTCTGCTTTTGATTTTGTGCTCATGGGCTTGGCAGGTTGACGGCAAATCTTGAGGTTCCAAGGTGTAAAATTGCTATATTTATAGTGTATTCTAAGTTAAGGTGTCAAGTTTGGAGCTTCAAAGTGATTTTTATTGATATGGTGGACTGGATCAAAGATTCTGATCTGGTCAGGTGTTGGGATAAAGGAGCGAGAAAGTAACACGAGTGGTTGAAAGTATACCACTTTAAACGGTTTCGACAGATACGTGCCATGTCTCGTTGCTTCCCATTTCCACCTCCAGGATATGAGAAGCAGTTTAGAACCGATGAAGCAGACTCTTTAATAAAGGTTCTCATGTTAACTCTTAGGACCTATGCCTCCTTTGAAATCATGATCTTGCTGGTGTTTCTAACCTTGTCCCCTGCTTGAGTTTTTTTGGCAAGTGACTAGTGTACTTAGGTAACTGCGTTTTGCCTCTAGCATATTTATCATGACTCTACTTTTTAATGGAGGAAAGTAATGAATAGACGCATTTGTGGGTTCCTTTTTGTGGCTTTCTAGAAATTGTGGACCCAATATAGTATTGGAGTAAGGAACCATTGAGACTGTTACAAATGTAGCATTACTGTTAAAGTTGGTCGAGTCTGAGGTATTGTCTCCCAAAACAGTTATGTAGTGATAGAGGAATTGATATCTGTTATGAGAATCATAAATGCTATTGGACTTTAACTACCTCATATGTGAGAAACACTTATTTTTCCCAATATTAGCTTCTGGTCTGCCCCAGTTTTCCTTTCTCCTGTTTTCCTTATGATATATCCTAGCACACGGCAAGCTTTGCAGGAATTTTTTACTAACATAGGATGCTGAGATGCTGACATATTGAACTGAATAGATGTTTCTGTAGCTGATGGTTTTGGATGTTAGATAATTGTATACCATTGATTAGTAAGGTTAAGGGTTTACCTATATGCCCTGAAGTTTACTGATAAGTCCAAACTTAGTAATTCCACTAATGTGACTCTCTATCCTTGTATGAATTTAGAAGCATACCCTTTATTCACCCATTTGAGAGAATATGAGAAATTTTTACTAGGAGTAGTGTGTTTAGAAACTGGAGGGGTAATTAGGAAGATAGTAAGGAGCTTACGAATTAGTATCTTGAGCTAATTATATCAGACTAGCTATGCACTCGAGGTTGTCCGTCTTGAAATAATGATTGACCTGGTTTCTTCTCAAAATTCTTTTAAGTTGACCCAACAGTTGACAAGTAAAGGTAACTAATCTTTCTATGCCTTTCTTCTAATCATCACTTATATATGTGTGTTCTTTTTCTCGTGGGACTTAAACCACAGGAAAATCACAAGGAGAAGAAGCACAAGAAGGAGAAGAAGGATAGAGAAAAGAAAGAAGGAACAGAGAAAAGTTATAAAGAAAAAAGCAAAGACAAACATAAAGAACGGAAGGAGAAAAAGGAGAAACATAAAGATAGGAAAGACAAGGATCGAGATAAAGAAAAGAGCAGAACTTCAGAGGACAGAAAATCTACTGGTGTTTTGCCGAACAGCGGGGACAAAGAAAAACTTATAACAAATACCTTGCAGAGTAATGGTAATGGAGATTCTAAGTTTATTCAGGACCTGGCAAGAAGGATCAGAGATGAAGAAGCTACAGAAAGTCAAAGTCTACGAAAAATTGATTTTTCTTGTGGAGTTACAGAGAACAAAAATTCCTACCCAGTGCCTCAAACCAACCATACGCAAGTTGACGAAAAGAGAATCAGTACCCATAAGAATTCTGCTCCCGCAAAAAGGTCTGAAAGTGCGGTTCTCCGAGTATCATCTTGCATAGATCAGAAAGGAGCTGAAGTTTTAATTAAACCAGTGGATAAAAAAGAGCAGGCAAAGAGAGAAGAACTACTAGAGAAGAATCACCACAGGGAAAGTGCGACAAAGAGTGATAAGCCATTAAACAGCAGAGGGTTAAAGAAAAGTGAATCGAACAACATAACAAATAGGATTAGTAAAGAGAAGAATGCAGAGGTGATGAACAAAAATGTTATGGAGAAACCAAAGTTTGTAGAGGGAGGGCCTAGATTAAAAGGGAGAGAATATGACGTTGTGGATAATGGGGATTTCAGAGTGTTGGACCTTCCAAAGGCAGGCGTCAGGAACTTTACGGTGGAGGGAATTCTTGGCAAACGGAAGGATCTTGAGACAAATGGTTTGTTGTATGGTGAGTCCTTCCCTGATCAAACCCTTTAATTAAAAGAAACATAGTTTTCTCTTTTTCTTTTTTTTGTGTGTTTTTACTTTATATTGATTCAATCATATTCTTTACTCTTCATAACTGATTTGATATCCTCTATATAATAGTATATCTATTTTGCACTTTGTGTTAGTAATAGAATATTGATTTCGTTCATTTTTGGTTTTCTCATAATATACGAAAGTGTTTTCATATACTATTAGTCTATTAATGTTCGTCTCTTAGCGCAGTTTGTTTAATGGTTGTTATGCAGAGAATGGGTCTAGGCCAAACAAGACAGCTATGCCAGTTGGTTCATCTGTGTCATCCATGGAAAACGGAAGAAACCCAGGACCATGTCAAATTCATCCGAAGCTACCAAAGCCTGTTTCTGAGTTGCAAGAAACAATGTATAATCCAGAGGTCAAGCAGCATAAGATTAACGGGTTCATTCTTTCTCAAGAACTCAAATGTCATTCACCGGTTTCTTCAGTGAAAGTAAAAGATTTTGGTGAAGCATCTGCAATAAAACGGCCTCATCCGGACTTAGAGTGTTTGAATCAGATATTGAATGTACCTAAAAGGGAGGAATTGCATGGGGTTGATGATGATGAACAAGAGTGGTTATATGGTCAGTCAGGTGTGAAATTATTAAAGCAAAGAGCAGGTTATGCTAATTCATTGGTTGAGACTCCTAAAGTTTGGAACCAGGCTCTTAGAATAGAATCCGCTGATATATTAGCTTTTCCCTATGTTGTTCCATTCTAGTTTAGACGACATTCCAGATGTTCATTGACATCAACACAAAAGTAAGATCATCCCTCTCATCATATTGCAGCTACTCTTGCTTGATTTAGAATCCCAATGACGGTTAATGCATCGATAACCTGGGAAAAACTGGAATGCGAGATGTTGCAGTATGAATGGTTTGGCTTCATGAGATGAGAGAGGCATCCCTAGTAGAGCGATTCGAGTCAGTAAGTAGGTTTTAGAGTAAAATCATCTTGAGAGTGTGATTGTTGGAAATGAGATTTTCTGTAAGAAGGATCCGATAGACGTTTGGTTCAGTTTTGATTCTGCTGTGTCATCACCAGTAGATGGCTTTAGCATTAAGTTGTATATTAGAGAAGATATAGAGAATAGGGGAGAGATCTTATCAGTTACCCGCTAATACATTACATTTGTATCTACTTTGTTTATCTGTTTGGGGGTCAAAATTATTCTTGGAAATCTATACAAATCTTGGTCTTCCTTTGTGTTCTGAGTATTGTCTTTTTTTCTTTACTCTTACTGCCATTTCCGGAACGAGAAGTAAACCCAAGCTCTGGATACTTACGGGAACAAAATGCTCAATTTCTCTTTGAGAAACAGAGTCCAACAGTAACATTGTAAACAGTACGGCTGACGAAAACCGTATATATATATATTAATAGAATATCACAACTAACATGATAGATATAGAGAAAAATCAAAACCCAAGAAATCATCGGTTTGCTTCAAAGTTTAGCGACTTTGAAGTGTTTATCATATAAAGAAAAGTAAAACAGAAGCATAAAAAAGACAACAAACAGACATGTAACCGTCTCAAAATGGAGAGCATGAATCTGTCTTCAAGGCATTTGCTGTATGGATCTTGTCTAGGAACACTACTCTGGCGGAATTTTCATTCGAAAACCGACCCAAAACCGCAATGGTCGCAGTGCTGCTTCCAAACTTCTCGATTCCTCTAGAGATCATACAAGTATGCCCGGCTTCAGCCACAACAATCACATCCCCGTCAACAAGAGGCGCTAGCGTCTCAGCGATCTGCCGAGTCATCCTCTCTTGCACTTGAAGTTTGAACCCGTAAAAGTGTACAATCGATTTCATGAGGGAACTTCCAATAGGATTGGGGTTGGATCCTTCAGCACAAAAGTAACCAATATGAACAACTCCATAGAAAGGAAGCAAATGATGCTCACACATTGACCAGAAGGGAATGTTCAGTTCACAGTGCAACCTCTTCTCTTTGACCTCGCCGTTGACTTTGGCAGAGTTAAAGTTGTTTAGCTTCATGTCGAGGTTGGCTCTTTGGAAGTTCATCATCCATTTGAGGAACCGAGAGGGTGTAGCAATGAGTTCCTTCCTTAACGGATCTTCTCCCACTGATTTAAGGATGGAAATAACAGCAGAAACCATTTCCGGGTCTTCTTCAGGTGAGAATTTAGACGAGCTTTTAACGCTCGGACACCACTCTTTCACAGGGCCGCCATTTCTGCACAAAGCTTGCGTTTTTACGCCTTTGAACATCAAAAAACTCAGAAATTCACCCCAAAGATCCGAGCTTTCATCCTCGAAAACTCCTGAGCCCGAGGAAACCAGGAGCTTCACAAATCCACGGTGGGTGGACAAGTCCAGAGAATCCAAGTCCAGACTGGGGAAGTGAATGTGAGAGCATTCGAGAACAACAGCGACTCCAGCTGGTTTGACCCAATGTTGGAGGGCAGAACAAATATCATCAGCCAAACGCTGAGGGTCTTGGAGCCGCTTGGCGAAAACATCAGTGACTCTAGAGAACTTACTCAGTCCTAAAACACGTTGGCCCGATGGGACATAACCAATGTGACACTTGACATGAAAAGGAACCAAGCAGGATTCACAGTAAGAGTAATGATCAAGATCTCGTACAACAACAAGTCCTCCCACTCCTCCTGCTTGCCCAACTCCTTCATCCAACCCTGCTTCTGGAAACAGAGCAGTCTGCACATAATCCTTTACTTTTTGCTTATAACCTGACAAAATCAAGCAACCAGGTTAATACTTTCTACAGACGAACTTATATCACCGACGAAAACCAAGAAAAAGGGAGATCCAAACCAACAGAAACACAACGTCAAGTAACACAATACCAACCAAGATCAATAAGCTCAAAAACAGAGTTGCTTATATAGATAGAGAGAGAGGGGATACCTCTGGTGCCTTCGCGAAGGGCCTTGGCGACACGGAAAGGAGTCTTTTTGATGCCTTCCCTGTTGACATCTTCATGAAGACCTTGCAAGAGAAGCTTGACAGCGTCTTGGATAGCTAAAGTCTCAGGTTGGTGCTCGAAAGCAAGCTCAATGCAGCCATTTTTCATTCCAATGTCAAGCTCAAGTTTCAAATGTCCCTCATCTAAAGCGCCCATTGACAAAAGCCACCCCAAACCAGATCCGATCCACAAAACAAGAAATCAATCACAAATCAGCAATACTCGATCCAAAGGAGAATCCGTACAAGTGGGTGGTGGTTTTTTTTAAATTTTTATTTTGAAAAAAACGAATCCGCAAATCCGGATTAAGAACGAATTGAGTCGTCGTTGATGTAATGAATCACCAAACTAGGAAAGGGACAAAGGAATAAAACTTGGAGAATTTGGAAAGATGCCCACTAAAATTCTCACCCCCCCACGACGTTATCTTCCCAGAAAAAGGTGAAATGATTAATCCCGGAAAGCTTAGAGAAACGGGATAATACACAATCACGCGGGTGGGAAGAAACGAAGGGTTCCCGTTGATCCAGGAATATGTGGATTTGTATATTCCTTCATGGCTTCCTTCATTTTTTTTTTTTTATAGAGATTTTTAATTTTTTTATAATATTTCTACTCATTTTTAATTTTCTCCATTAACAACAACAACTCGCGTATCGGAATGCGTAATGCTTAGCATCTCCACATTAAAAAAAAAAAAAAAAAATTGTACTAGTTTTTTTTATTTTTTATGTAATCTATATATATAAGGCGGCTAAGACTTTCAAATTTCACCAAACCCTTTCAACTTGTTCATCTCAAATAAATATATACTACTACTCTATTACAGTTACATATACCCTAGCTACATATATCTTGTTTGTATAACTTATAGTGTAATGTTTATCATCCTGTTTGTACTCTCTAAATAGATTTACTTTTGTATAACTTTTTAACATGAACCGAATCTAAACCACATCTAATTATTAAACGGTTATCAATTCTACTATATATTTAAGACTCCAAGGTTTTTGACCCCTAGCAAATATATATACTGTATTTAAGACTCGATCAAACTACTAATCTAGTAGACTAGATTTATTAAACTCTAGATCGCTTGCTCTACTTTATATACTTTTTAATAGGACCGGAAATAAAAATAAAACATACCATTTTAAAACCATGTAATCGTATAGAACTAACACTTTATAAACAAACAAACAAAAAGGCATTATTGTAAGTATGATCCGACTTATCCCAAATTTGTAGATGAGTAACAGTTTTCGTATACTGTTATACGCTTATAAGTTTACTACTGTTATACGTTTACGAGTACATTATAAGGGCTAAAGAGAACGTGAGTATAATGAGACGATTTGCAAAAGGTGTCGTGAAGAAAGATAGAACAAGGAAAAGTACCTCTGGCTCTGGCTCTGGCTATGGCTCTGGTGGTATCCATGGCTGAATGTAGGATTGGCGCTTATTGTTTAGTAGCACATTCTTCTTCTTTAGGTTTTATACATATATATAGCCAGAGGATTTAAAGTTCCTTTTTATGGAATATATTAAGAAAACAGAAGGAGAAGACTTTATTTTTAGTGACATTATTCATATGTGAGACATCTTTACAGAATAAAATAATAATCCATAATGGGACGATGCAAATTATTTATCTTTTGTGTCTATATCTACTAAATCATTATCTGCATATAAAATTTAATTCTTAAAGATTTCATTTAGAGTTTAATGGTAATCAATTGTTTTATTTTATTTTGTTCTTCTTTTACATATAACTTATAAGAAAATATATAGAATTTTTTATGCATTTACATCATTAATATTTACATGTAACTTATTAAAAAACTTCATATACATTCTAAATTAATATGAAATGAGACAATTTTCGCATGTACTTTTAACAAATAGTTGTGATCTAATGTGTAAATTATGGATTATGTCATCAATATCCACCTATACCATTTATTTATTAGTTTTACAAGTTTAATAACTGTATTTATTTTATTGCTTATCAATTATCTTTTACAAATAAGAATATGAATCTTATTTTTATGGATCTAACTTAGTATTTTGCATGTTATTTTTTTAGAAGTTTTCATTTAATAACTAATAGAGACAAGTTTTCGCCTTAATTTCAACAAATAGTCGAGATCGAATGAATAAATTGTGTGTTTATGTTAATACCCGCACATATTTTCGTCTACTTTATACATGTATTTTACAAATAATTAATTTACATAATATTTTTGCCAATTTGAATCAATACTTTAGTCATCTAGTGGAGTATCTTACACAATTCATCTAGTGGAGTATTTTAAATCATTCATAATAATAATTATTATTAAAAAAAAATTTGAAAAGACTAGATGGATCTCATAGTATTTAAAGAATATGACGTTACATGCAGGATATTTCATTGGTCTTTCTCTATTAAGTTGAGTCTGTAAAAAAAAACTTCACAAATGATTGTAAAGCCCTAATGGTTTGTTTCTCTCTCTAAGTCTAAGCAAAACACCAACCCCAATTCACGTGTATCACATGCATTCGTCTTTTACTATAAAGTTTTTGATTAGAAAAAGAAAAGAAAAAAGGAATCTTGCCAAAATCTAGAGATTACATTTTCTGTGCTAAGATTTCTTTTGTAGCAACTAGCGATGGCAACGAAATCATTGAAACCATCTTCCCAAGGAGGGGCATTTTAGAAATAGAAATGGAGTATAAAGTAAACTATTCAAGTTGATTATAAACATGTTAGCTAGTTGGTATACCAACACACCAAGCTGTAGATAAATAAAAAACGCAGGTTGCTACTTATATAAATATTAAACGTAAATTTGGGAGTGTTCGGTAATATCTAAAAATTAAACGTAATCTCAACACTTTACCAAAAAATCTCTCAATCAGGAGGGAGTGTTAAGTACTGTATCAGACTTGGATATAACCAATTTTTACGATGAATTATTTGGTTTGTTTCCTTCTTCGTTTCATATGAAAGTTATATTTAAAAAAATTGGTTTATGTGCGTCAACGGAAAATATATAGATTTTGAAAACTAAGATGGCGGAAAATATTGCAGATCTCTAGAAACAACAGTTTTAGAGAAAAACCAAGAAAATTACAAAACAAAAACCAATTTATATAGGTGAATATATAACTATATAAGTGGTTATAAACTTATATAGTGCGACCAGCCAAACAAAACATGTATACCAGTGAGTGTTTGGGCTAGTGACATCGGTGAATCATTTATTCAAATCTCAATTTCTTTAAGGCATGTTATATATTCTGATAGAGCAGTGGATGGCGTTTTGTCGACAACAAAAAAAGAAAAAATGATATCCTTTGATGTGTTGTGTTTAAGTCCAAACGATACTCAATAATTGTGAATGTGTTGATTGATGTATCAGACAATCCCATCATTTTTCCTACCGACAACTTTTTCTGTATTTGGTAATTGGTATGCATAAAGTTGAATTTGGTATGCACAGTGTTTCCCAGTTGTGTGATATGTTTTCCACTTATTATTACTCTTCTACCAAATATCACTAACGTGATAGCATGGCCCCTGCACTGCACATTGCAGAATGCTAACACACAAATTGAGAAATAGTCCAAATATATTAAATCAGTTTCCGAGAAAATATCATTCACTACGTCCAAAGAAAAAAAAAACAAAACAGAAATATCTGCAAGTTAAAAAATCTGTTTGTTTTCCTCCAAAAGAAAACAATCAAAAGGTATTGAAAAGCCATATAGCATGGCTCAAAAGGTATTGAAAAGCCATATAGTATGGCTGTAAACAACAAGCTTAATCCGAGTCACCAAATACTAAACACTAACCTTACTTATACACTCATGACTCATTTCGTGGACACATATAAGATATTACTAACAAGTAACAATGATCTTGCACTTACAAAAGCAGCATAATCATCTTGGTGATTATGAGAGTAGGGAAACGAGAGATACAAATTCAAGCGTTACTCTTCCCTTCGATCTAGTGTTGATGACGAAATGCTCTGGGTATTTTCTTAGCAGCATCAACAAACCGTACCATGGTTTACCCTTTGCTTCAGGGATTGCCCAGTCTTCTTGTGTCAGGTATCTTCTTACTCGACTGTGATGCCATACGTTTCCATACTCCTTTAATATCTGTCACAGACCAACCAAACACTACCATGCATTAGCCATATTTTGATTAACAAAGAGCTTAATTCAATGTAAGAACAAACTACTTATCCAAAACCTGTGCAGTAATTATCATACTTTCTAGACTTATACACGAGTAGCACAACCCCATTGTTAAAGGACCTAACTTCACACTATAATTCTCAAAAAACTAACTGGACACCATACAAGCCTGGTTTCAGTGGGATAATCCTTCCAGTGATATCACTTTTTAAGACTGATATGCGCATAATATCTCAGGGACTTCTATTGATTGTTTATAGACCTATTAACATGCAATCTTGTAAACAAAGAGATGGTCTTTTTGATCGTGCTACGTGCTGTAACAAAAGAAGGCAGCTAAAGGATCAAGGAAGAACTAACCATAGAATGAAGTTTTTCCATAGGCATCCACTCTCCCGGACCACACAAATCAGAAAGCACAGTGGCAACAGATGATACGACATCTTTTTCTTCCAGCTGCAGAACTTGCTGATCATCAGCTTCACGGTCTACCTTTGCTCTTCCCTCTCTCTTCTTCTCTGAAAACATGAAGCAGATTCAATATCATGGAATCCAAGTCTAAGAAGGTTCAATCAGCAATCACTACAACTTTTACTCAAAAGTCTGAAACAGGCATGATCAGATCAGTTAAGCATCATAATTTGGAACCTATTTAGTTGCAGCACAAATAAATTAAGCTACAATGAGCAATCTGGTTTACCTCCCGAAGCATATACTTCATATCCATCTCTCCTTGTTTTCTTTCCGCTGCCCCTAAGATCCTCCTCCTCATTGTCGTCGTCATCATCATCTTCATCATCTTCATACTCATAGTTCTCCCTACTTCGTCCGCCCTTTTTACCCGACCCGGAACCCGGACCCGAATGATAATTACGGTACGGAACAACACTAGTTTGCCCTGAGACGTGGTGCCTAGGTCCCAACGGGCCGCCTAAGATGCTCCGAACCGGAAGGAGAAAGTAGAACTCTTTGTCACCAATCTGCAAAAGGTCCTGTGAGTCGAGCTTGACGTTAGGATTCCCAGGGAGATGGAGGACACCTTCAACGAAGCAGCCATTTTTACCAAGAACCTCGAGAGAGAAGCGTCGTCTAGTGAAGTCATAGAAGATCCGAGCGTGGTTGCGCGAAATGTTCATCCCGCCGCCGAGGGATGAGAGATCAACGTCGACGGTTGATTTCTTAGAATTCCGGCCGAGCATAATGGAGTATGACTGCATAAAGTACTCAAAATCCTCACCTTGCAGCTTCGCAAATCCGACCTCCACCTCGCTGCCGCATCCAATGGCCGTAGCCATGCCGTGAAAATCCCCGATTTGATCGGTTTTTGAAATCGGAGAACAAAGATGAACGGAACTGTCAAATTAGGGATCGTAATTGTAATAAGATCTGTTTGGAAACCGATTTAGCTTATCTTCATATCTTGGATAGGGATAGTCGGATCACATACTCAGAGACTTGCGTTTTATTTGGGCCTGAGCTAAAAACATTAACTCATAACTTGAATCGGCCCAATATAACTTCCAGTTCCCACTTAACATATCTGATCTACGTAAACCTCCTTGCAAATTGCAAGGCCATGAAAATGATTATATGAATCATGATGATAGGAAGGAATTGAATATTAGATCATATACCGCCGATAAAGCAAACTCAGAGAAGACAATATTTAATTATTTAATAAACTTGCTATATTAATAGAATCGTCTTCTTCTTTTTTTGTTTTTCTCTTTACAGGTGCAACTCATGCAAAGAGAAGGCTGGGAACATTTGAATGTTAAGCTATACAAAAGCAACTTGAGCAAGCTGTTCCACGATTCGAATGAAGACACGTGTCGTCCAACCACAAAACATCGTTCTTTAAAGCCACTTGTTGTCTATCACGTGCCCATAAATCCGGCCAACATGAACCACGTTGATGCACATACATCCGTCACATCAGATGAGAATTAACCGTAACGGCGTTGTTTGCTGAGCTGGACTATCTTTAGCCTGTTTAAACACCATTGTCTTTAGAAGATATCATGAGACCATCTTTAACAGATATTGACCACCTGTTATGTCCGAAGTCGAGTTCGTGTTCGAGATTCGCGGAGTCAGATTACGAGACAGAAGAAACTAAAAACCAAAACGTGTCCTCGTCAAAGCCAGCAGGATCTAAGGGTACACGTGTCCACTGTTTTCATGCACGTGTTACACGTGTCGGCCTCGTTACTTGCCGTTGAAACTTTTGACGTTGATTTTCACATAACAACCAATGGGAATATAGAGACCAACAAAGTAAAATGGAAAGCGTTTTATCGATAATCCGAGATTTTAGAGGTAATAAAGTTTCTTAACCTTTCTCTTAATCAACGGAATCATAGTTTCATTCATACGTGTACTTTGAAACCGCCCATGTCCACTATCCTTACCGGACATGTGTCATGTTCCAAAAGCCTTCCCTTCCCTCTTTATAATATTCCTTCTCTTACAAAGAGTTGGTGAAGCTTCAAAACCCTTCAAAACATAAACAAACTATCTCTTTTTGGATTTTGATTTTTATATATATATATATATATTATTAATGGCGACAAATCTTGGAGAAAATGAAGATGTGGAGGTGGAGCTCGAGCTATGTCTTTCTCTCGGAGGTCCTTTCAAGAAAACAGAGAAATCTAAACCAATAGATCAATTTAATAACGCCGTCGGATGCATGAAGGATACCGGCTTTAATCTTGAAGGCGGAACGACGAATGTGACGAGTAGAAAGGAAACGCGGAAGAAGCAGCAGAGAATCGGGGATGAACGAGAGTGCAAGAAGAGCAGAAGAGAATGTAACGGAGGCATGGATTTGGATTTAAGCTTTAGGAAAATGGGTAACGGTTACGGGTCGGGTCAACTTAAGGAAATATGTAAAGACGTTACGTTTGGGTCGTCACCCATTTGCACTTCCTCCGACGTATCCGATCCTAGCAGCTCTTCTCCTCAACAAGGTATATAAATTAACGTTTGGTATATAAATACTTGGACCAAGTCGATTCTTTATGAAAAGTTAGATTAGTATAACGATTATTAGGAAAATAAAATTCTATTGGCAATGTTTTTGATTAAATTCGTTTTTTTTTTGTCAATCCAATGATCTATATTAACTTCATTTATAAGAAATTGTGAATGTGATTGAATATTCCATCCTAGCATCTCTTGATGATTACTTGAATCAATAGAACAGTCAGGAAGATTATGGTATTTGCATGATGATAATTCGGGAATATGGTTATGTTCAGGTGGAAGTGGCGACTATGGGACACAATCAGGCCAAACCAAACAGGTTAGACCTCCGGTTAGAAACATTCTTACCAGGACAGAGGAAGCTGTGCATAGCACAGACGGTTCAAAGGATGCGGTGGTAGTGGAGAAGTCCCAAGAATTGTCCAACTCTGTAAGCAAAAACACTGGGAAGCCGCCAAAACCGTATACCAACAGTAACGGTAACGGCAGCTCGCTTCCGTTTGCTCAGATGCCTTGTGTGACTAGCACGGGTAACGGACCGGAGGGCAAAACCGTGAATGGATTTCTATACCGTTACTCAAAATCAGAGATCAGTATAATCTGTGTCTGCCATGGAACGTCTTTCTCTCCGGCTGAGTTCATTGTTCACGCCGGTGGGACTAATGTGTCACATCCGTTGAGACATATAACCGTTGTTCCATCAACTTTTTGAACTACAATTTTCATCTTTTGTTACCTTGTCTTGTGTTAATGTGTAGATACATACGTTATTCTCATGGAAGGTTTAGCTGATCGAAGATCATTAGTGGCTTTTTTGGTTTTTGTCTTTTTTTTTAACGACATTTTTTAAACTAATTTAACACTTCGTTTGGTGCATTAATGCTCATGCCTTCTTAGCGCATACGATTTTATATCGAATTCGCCAACAAACATTATCTGCTAATTTTGGGAGTTACCACTTTGATCAATTGGTCGCGTAGTGACCTTAAAAGGCCCGTTGGGTTTCCCTACTAAAAGGATAAAAAATTCAGTTAACAGCCCAAGCCCAACGATTAAACGCGGAGTAAACTCAGTTGCAAAAAATATAAATATATAGAGAGATTGCATAAAGAGAAAATTGTTGAAAATGACATGAACAGTGCCAAAAGTTCTCTGGAGTGCCATTTTTCAAAACCTCTTTCAAAACATGCCATAGAGTCAATGTAAAAAGACTATGCTATCTTTCTCATCAATGAAATCTTCAAAACATAATTATTTGTCTTCTCTTTCATTATCTCTCTTTTCTTCTTCATCTTCAACTTTTTTTTTCTTATTCCAACAACAAACAGTACCGACGGACCAGATCCGACGGACGAACTCCGACGGACCAGATCCGACAGACAAACTCCGACGGACCAGATCCGACGGACGAACTCTGACAGACCAGATCCAGCGGACCATAGCCAATTCCGGTGAACTATAACCAGTTCCGTACGGCATACCACATTCAGTTCTGGTGAACTATAACCAGTTATGGCAGACCAAATTCGGTGGACCAGTTTCGACCAACCAGAAAGACCAGTTCCGACAGGCGAAATCCGATGGACCAGATCTGATGGACCTGTTTCGATGGACCAATTCCTGGGGACCAGATTTGGTAAACCAGTTTCGACAGACGAGATCCGATGGACCATATCTGATGGACCACACATTTGTGTGTAGATGGACTAGATCCGGTGGACTCGATCTGGTGAACCAGATCCGATGTCTGTAATATGTCCATTTTTGTTTCTTAATTTATTGTCCATCATACGTATATAGCTTTGAAAGATGTTTGTGGCACAGTTTGAAAGATGTTTGTGTCCAAAACTCACACAATAATGCTGAGGGTAAAATCGTCCAAACTTTCCTCTTTGTGGCACGTTTTGAAAGATATTTTTCATAATGGCATTTTAACAATTTTGAGTTTAAGAAATGGCATAGCTTACAAAATTCCCTTGCATAAATAGGTCTCTGCGACTGAAGCGAGAAAGCCAAATCAAAAAAAGTCCTCAACAGTCAACACCTTCCTCTCGCGCTCTTCGTATCTTACTTCTTCCTTCTAGCGAATAAACCCATATGAACGGCGCCATTGAAGTGGGTGTTGAAGAACTCGGAGCTACTCATACTCAAAAGCGTCTTCTTCGCTACCACAAACGTCTCTCTTCTCTCTCTGCCTCTCTACGATTTCAGGTGATTTCGGTTTATCTTTTGAATGTTTGTATTTAATGAAACGCGAAGAAAATCTTTACTTGTTTCTTGATCTTCTTAACAAATAAGTCGTTTCTTTCTTTTGTTCGCCGCTGCGTTCGCAAGATTTAAGGATTTTGGCGTTTGGAGTTTGATCTTTAGATTCAGGGCATTGCCTATTCTCTGTATCGATGGCATCTCCTGGACGACAATCTGCTGAAAAGGTATGTAATCCAACAACTGTTTGCTATACTCTGCTCCATCAGATTCGTCTGTCACCTTTGTGATTGTGAGTCTTTCAAAAAAATGTAGGTGGGGTCTGAATTTTGTGAGTATTACTATAACTACATGAGAAACTACCCGGAGTTTCTCCATCAGTTTTATAAAGATAACAGTACGATTTCACGGCCTGGACTAGATGGAACGATGCGTATCTCCACCCTATCGGTAAAGATATATACTTTCCCTGATCGACTTTGTAACTTTGGTGAAATCTTTCTTCTGAGTTATAAATTCCTAATCTTGGAGCAGGATGTAGATGCCAAGGATCTTAATATCCTCTCTTCTGGTGGTTTTGATTCGGCTGTGGTAACCAGCTTCGTGTCCCAACACTCTCATAGAGAGGGTTTCCTCCTCGTTGTTGATGGCCACTTCACAAAGAAGTTCACACAATCTTTGTTTCTTGCTCCCCAAGAAAACGGCTACTTTGTTTTGACGGACGTGTTCAATTTTATTGATGCAACCACTCCTCCTGCTAGTAATGGTGCGTAAACAGTTCATTTATAAGCAGCCTCCATATCTTCCTCGCGAGGAAGTGTCTAAGACCTTTGTTTTAATGCGAATGGTTCAGTCATAGAGGAGAAAGTTCCAGAAACAGAGGAAGCTTCTGAACCAAATCATGGGAACATTCACGAGTCTCAAGGTAAAAAGTTTATAAGATGTCATAATATACATCTATAGTCGGAAATCTCAGTCTCTTTAACCTTTTTGTGTGTTTATTTACCAGCTGTAACTGAAAGTGCAAGCATTCATGTTAAAAACCTTCCTCCAAATGCAACCATTGCATTGGTTGAGAATGTATTTAAGCAGTTTGGACCAATTAAAAAGGGAGGAACTCGAGTTAAAAACCCTACTTCGGTAAGTGTTAATTTGGTTACACTTTTCGAACCTATATTCTTCATGGAAATGCTAATTTGGTTACTCTTGTATGAATTTGTTAGAACTATTCGTATGGTTTTGTGGATTTTGAGGAAGCAGATGCTGCCATTAGGGCAATAAAGGTACCTGCTTTGGACATGGATCTAGACCATTTTAAGATTTATACATTTGGTCTGATTCGTGAGATTTAAATTATCTCTTGAAGCCACAGTTGCACAACTGTATGATTGACTTTGTTAATGCTGGCATGAATATTATTCAGGCGTCTCCTCTAAGTATTGATGGGCACAAAACTTACGTGGAGAAGACGAAGAATCGACCTGACGACTATAAAAGTGAGTATGTGGGAGGTACTGGTTAGCCTACGTAACGGTCAAAGAGTTGTGCTGAAGGCTCCAGTTTTGTATGGTTTAGAATCTGCAGGTTACAGTGAAAGAGCACCCGATGGACCAGGAAACATAAACAGAGGCCAGGACGTGAGAGGATCACAATGTAACCCCTATTGGAACTGGCAGAAGATGATGGAGGAAGTGAGAGGAACAGACGTATGGCAGAAGTTAGTGATGGAATCGAGAGGAACAGAAGTTTATGATACCCGGAACTGGCAAAGGATTATGGACAAGGAGCAGAAGAAGTTTCAGGAGGTCTGGAGGACGAAGGAACAGAGAAAGTGAGCAAGTGAATGAAACATTTACAGGAGGAGCTGGTCAAGATCCGGATCCTGTGGAAAAAGAAGAAGAAGAGAGTCAAAGCCTTAATGTAGATATAAATTATATGAAGTTACAGTAAAAGAGCACGCTGAGATATTGGTTCTTGATGTGGCATCAATGGCACACGTATGGGATATTTTTTGAAGGTTTTAATGGGAATTCTAGAAGAGAAGCGTGAATATCTGGGTAAAATTTATAAGCTAACTACTAGTATAAAATTTTGTTATTTCGAATGTTATTAGAAAAACCTCCAAAAAAAAAGTCACATAAAAACTATATAGTTACATTAATGTGAGCACTGCATTGGCCCTTGAACCGCATAATACATTCGGTTAAACATAATCAGATTATCTAACCAACCACGTCGAACTATTCCTTAAAAGTTAAAACAAACTAGTCTACGCGCTTCTCAATGGCAAAAATGTAAATATGTATATATTCCGAAAGTGTATAAATAGGACTCTGCGTCTGCGAGTTAAACTGAGAAAGGCCAAATCAGAGAAAACAGAAAATAAAGAAGAAGTTCTCAGCACCTTTCTCTCTCTCTCTCTCGCTCGCTCGCTCTTCGAATCTTACTGCGTTTCTTCCTTCTTGCGAATAAACCGCCATTGAAGTGGGTGTCGAAGAGCTTGGAGCTACTCGTATTCATAAATCGCGTCTTCTTCGCTATCACAAACCTCTCTCTCTCTCTCTCGAGTTCAGGTGAGTTGTCTTTCCACGATTTGGTTTTATCGTTGGTTGGTTTACTTCTTCCTTCATTTTCTTAACAAGTAGCCCATTTCTTTTGTTCAAGATTGGATTTTGTGTTGGTTATATGCTTATGAACTTCGCTAGATTTAAGGATTTTTGCGTTTGGAATTTGATCTTTAGATTCAGGGCATTCCTTAACTCTCTCAAGCCATGGCTTCTGATCGTGCACAACATTCTGCTAAAGAGGTATATACGATTCAAACAACTGTATGCTCTGTTTCATTTCAATGTTTGTCTCTGTGATTGTAACTCTCTGCATATATAACACGTAGGTGGGGAATGGTTTTGTAGAGAAATACTATCACTTCTTGCAGAACTCCCCGCAGATTCTCCCTCGGTTTTATAAAGATGTCAGTACGGTTACTCGGCCTGGACGTGATGGAGTAATGCGTGCCTCCACCCTACCGGTTGGATACTTACTTTTTCTTGACTGAGTCGTTTCTTAAGTAACTTTTGGTGAAATCTGAAACTGCTTCCTAATCTTGGAGCAGGATATAATTGAGGATCTTGATATGCTATCTTCTGGAGGTTTTGATTCGGTTGAGGTAACCAGTGTCGTATCCCAAGACTCTCATAGTGGGGGTGTCTTCGTCGTTGCTGATGGCTATTTCACTTTACACGAGAAACCTGCAAGGAACTTCACACAAAACTTCTTTCTTGCTCCCCAAGAAAAAGGCTACTTTGTCTGTAATGACGTGTTCAAGTTTGTTGACGTATCCGAGGCTAATGCAACCATTCCTTCTGCTAGTGATGGTGAGTAACTGTTCAATCACAAGCACCCTCCATATTGTTTATTTATACACGCTCTATAACCTTTTGTTTGTTTGTTTGTTTACCAGCGGTAACCGAGCGTGCAGCAATTTGCATTAAGAATCTTCCTTCTGATGCAACCATTGCCTTAGTTGAGAATGCATTTAAGAAGTTTGGAAAAATTAGAAGAGGTGGAATTGAAGTTAGAAACACAAGGGTAATTGTTTAACTAATCTACAAACAAGCATCTTTGGAGCCCTTCTGCCTGGGGTAAACAAAGACACTAATTTGTGTTCTTGTTGTAAAAAACTGGTAGAGCTTTTCTTATGGCTTGGTTGAGTTTAAGGAAGAAAAGGCCGCCCAGAAGGCAATAAAGGTAAACGCATTTAGTCTGACTCTTGGGATTCAATTTCATTTCTTGAAGACAGAATTGCAGAACTGTCTGATCTGGTTTGATAATGTTGGCATGAATCTTATTTAGGCGTCTCCTATAAAGTTAGGTTTGCATAGCGTTTACGTGGAGAGGAGGCGACCTGACTACATGAGTGAGTTTGTGGGAGTATTTAGTTAGTCTCTGTAGACTATCAAAGAATTGTGCTGAAGGATCCGGTCTTGTTTGCTTGAGAATCAATCAGGTTACTGGGAAGCTCCATCCTCTGGACCAGGAAACATAAGCAGAAGCGTGGAAACGAGAGGAACAGAAGCTCCTGGTAAAAATGGTGGGTAACAACACTGTCAACACAATCAGTTCGATTATTACCAGCCTCCATATGTTGATGTGTCTAAGAAATGGAGGTAACGAAGTTGCAGATGAATCACCTGAACCAAAGGATGGTACTGGGAATCAAGAGTCTCTAGGTAAAAAGTTTTCTGAACCAAAGGAATTCATAAAATGAATACTTTTGATTTGTTTTTGGTCTTTTTTGAGTTGCAGATATGGATGAATCACTCTATTTAACCTTTTTTGTTTGTGTATATTTTGTCAGAGTTATATGAGTCTTCTGCAGTTCACGTTAGAAATCTTCCTCCAAATGCAACCACTGGCTGGTTAAGGAATGTTTTTGTGGAGTTTGGGCCAATTAGAAGAGGAGGAGAGCGAGTTCATAACCGTGGTTTGGTAAGTGTTAAAGAAACCTACTAACAAGCAACTTTTTGAACCCTTCTTCTTCATGGAAACACTGATTTTGTGTGTACTTGTATGAAACTGGTAGAACTATAGGTATGGTTTTGTGAAGTTTGTGAAAGCAGATGCAGCCGAGAGGGCAATACAGGTACGTGCTTTGGACCTGGAACAATTTTATACCTCTGGTCTGACTCTCGTGGGATTTAATTTGATCTCTCATTCTCTTGCATCTTATCCAGGCGTCTCCTGTATTGATTGATGGGCGAAGGCTTCAAGTCCGGAAGAAAATTGATGGGCGAGTGCATAATCTAAACTGAACCTGAGACTCGTTATACAGATAGGCTGGAAGTTACATACATATATGGCTATAGTGATAGGATTCTTTTACCAACAGACAATTTAGTTGTGGTTATTTGTGGTAGTGGCAACAGCGTTCAGAGATATTTTACGAACAGAAGAATGGTTTCTTTGTGACGCAATTTTTGTTTATTTTTTGGTGTTTTGGATTTCTGCAATTAGACTCGAGAAAAGGGTTATGATGATCAATAGATGATCTTACTTTACTTTAGCGAGTAGTATAGATCAAGTGGTTACAGTGGAAGGATCCGATATGTATTTTGTACATTTAGTGGTCAGACATTATTATCGATAGTTAAGCTTTTTATGAGGATTCTGGAATTTGACTTAAAAGAAATTGGCCACTAATAAAAATACCACAAACAAGCCATTTCCAATGGAAAGTAACTTAAATTTTCATTAAAATGATCATTATAACTGAAATATCAGAAGAGGTAAAGCGAAATTACAAAGGAGATCTTAATCTATTCATTCATTCATAACAGGTTTGTTGTCGCTGGCTTTGGGCTTCTGTTCTCTTGGCTTGTCCTCTCCTTTCCTGATTAAGGACATACAAAGATGATGAGAATAACAAGAAGAATGATAATACATCACTAGATCTCGGAACTACATCTATCATTTCCATATTTCGGATTCAGACGAGAATATATTATTTACCTTTTGTCGGAGGAGCTACCCTTTTGGCTCAGAAAGGATCTGAAGAGACCAGAGTTCACATCATAGATCATCTTGACTCAACTATCTCGTATGCTCCGATCACAGATTTTTGCTTTCTCAATCAATATCAGAATTTAGCTGCTTCAATGGCTGCAACAGAAACGAGGATAAACCCTAAGTACACATTTCAACTCTTTTATATTGTCTGGATAACATACTTGAGCCAGTTAGTGCCCATTCTCTGTCTGGGCCTTATCTCTTTTATGGGCCGTCCACCATATACTGTACAATGATTTCTGAAATGCAAAACGTTTTTTTTTTCTTCTATTTTTTTGACAACCTTTCATTTCAGACGTTTTCATCAAAGATGTTGACGTTTTTAGTTCAGAAAAACGTCAGAGCGTGTTACTCATCAATGTCTAAACATTTTACATACTTAACGTACCAAAGAAAGAAGGGAAAGCTTAATCCAAGTCACTAAGGTGAAGTTATCATAACTCATGAGAGTAGAGAAACGAGAGAAACAAATTCAAGGGTGACTCTTCCCTTAGATCTAGTGTTGATAACGAAATGCTCCGGATATTTTCTCAGTAGCATCAGCAAACCATACCATGGTTTACCCTTTGCTTCAGGGATAGCCCAGTCTTCTTGTGTCAGGTATCTTCTTACTCGACTGTGATGCCATACGTTTCCATACTCCTTTAATATCTGTCACAGATCAACCCCACTACCATGCATTAGCCATTTTCTTGGATCACAAATAGTTTGACTAATAGAAACATGCCTTAATCACCAAATACTTTCTCGGGATTTAACACAAGCAAGACGTGCGCTATTCCATTCTAATATTGATTAAGAACCTAGCGCTAGCGTCACACTAATTCTCACCAGGCCACTATACAAATCTGATTTCAACGGATAAGTTAATACTAAAAGAAGGCAGCTAAAGGATCAAGGAAGAACTAACCATAGAATGAAGTTTTTCCATAGGCATCCACTCTCCCGGACCACACAAGTCAGAAAGCACAGTGGCAACAGATGATACAACATCTTTTTCCTCCAGCTGCAGAACTTGCTGATCATCAGCTTCACGGTCTACCTTTGCTCTTCCCTCTCTCTTCTTCTCTGAAAACATGAAGCAGATACAGTATCATGGAATCCAAGTCTAAGAAGGTTCAATCAGTAATCACTACAACTTTTACTCAAAAGTCTCAAAGGCATGATCATATCAATTAAGCATCATAATTTGGAACCTATTTAGAGGCAGCACAATGAAATTAAGCAACAATGAGCAATCTGGTTTTACCTCCGGAAGCATATACTTCATGTCCATCTCTCCTTGTTTTCTTTCCACTGCCTCTGATATCCTCCTCATCATCTTCGTCATCTTCACCTTCATCATCGTCAGACTCGTACAACTCTCTACTCCGGACGCCTTTTCTACCCGAACCCGAATGATAATTATGGTACGGAACAACACTAGTCTGCCCTGAGACGTGGTGCCTAGGTCCCAACGGGCCGCCTAAAATGCTCCGAACCGGAAGGAGAAAGTAGAACTCTTTGTCACCAATCTGCAAAAGGTCCTGTGAGTCGAGCTTGACGTTAGGGTTCCCAGGGAGATGGAGGACACCTTCAACGAAGCAACCATTTTTACCAAGGACCTCGAGAGAGAAGCGTCGTCTAGTGAAGTCATAGAAGATCCGAGCGTGGTTGCGCGAAATGTTCATCCCGCCGCCGAGGGATGAGAGATCAACGTCGACGGTGGATTTCTTAGAATTCCGGCCGAGCATAATGGAGTATGACTGCATAAAGTACTCGAAATCCTCGCCTTGCAGCTTCGCAAATCCGACCTCCACATCGCTTCCGCCTCCAATAGCCGTAGCCATGCCGTGAAATTCTCCGATTTGATCAAAGAGGAACGGGAATTGGCAAAATAGGGATTGCAATCGTAATAATTTCCGAAACGAGGCAAGATCTGTTTGGAAACCCGGTTTAACTTATCCAAAGTTCAGGTAGGATAGAAATATTATAAAACCTGATTTCTTGCAATGACAACTATACCCATCTGAAACGAAGCCCTAATGACGCGATCGTGTTTAAAATAGCTGGAAAGATAGAAAATTTGAGAGTGGCGGCGAGATCTGTGAGTTTAAAGGTTCGATCTTTCCCGCAAATAATGGAGCATCTTTTTGATTGATTTGATGTAGAACATAGGCTCGTTTTTATGTAAGTTTTTGGTACGGAAATTTTCGTTTACAGATTCAGTATATTTTAAGTTTCCTTATGGCTTTGATCGTTAAGTTGCCAAGTGATGATTGAAAAATTTGCGCAAGGGTTTTGAGTTTCGGATGATCGGAGTTTACTCTGATCTGAATGAACTGTGACAAAATCATTTTCTTATAATTCATTCTGATGGCAGCTGATCAATGTTAACATCTATCAAATTTATATTCGATTTTATTTTTGGCCACATGTTTTGATTCTAATAGGCATAATAAATGTATTGGAAAAATTTTGTTGGTCAGAGGCTCGGTTTTGGGGCAGCTAGAGAATTACCCTATTATGCTTTGAAATTTTGTGCAATGGCTTTGAGTTCCGGAGGTCTGAATATTTTAATTCTTAGCAACTGTGAGAAATGATAAATATTCAAGCTCTGCAAATTTTGCTCTAGAGCTCTTGACCCTTGTATTATGTGATCAAATAAACTGTGAAAAGTTTTCTTTTCTTTTCTCATTTTGATGGTTTGGGTTGCATAATATGGATCTATAATCTACCAGGACCATGCTTGATTCTGTTCTGGACATAAATTGCTTTAGATGTGTGGAAGATCTGTGTTGTATTTTGGAATTAGTGAAGACCATTCTGTTATCTGAAGAACTAATTGAAGTCGTTTACTTTTAAGATCTCATTTAGGGGCACCTTTTTACTTTCATTTTAAGTTTTTATACCTTGAGCTGGGTGATTGGAGTCTGTGACCAATTGCAGGGAAACCTGAAATTTTTTATATCAGTCATATTTTCTGGTATTCAAATCTTAAGTAAGTTTTGTTTCGAGGACAATGAAGCATGTGGTAAAGATTTTGAGCCTGCTGGTAGCAGTCTCTGGCTTTTGGATTGCTCTTTTGCAGGCTGCAATTATTCCCCCAAGCCATACATGGTTGGTGAGTAATGAGTCTGTTGTTTTCATTTCTGCTTATTGCTATACTCAGTTAGCCCACACTACTAGTGTATTTCCTTGCACCAGCTACCAATATACTTTGTAGTGTCCTTGCACCAGCTACCAATATACTTTGTAGTGTCCCTTGGGTGCTATGGTCTTTTAATGGTTGGAATGATCTAATGCAGTTTCCTACCTGTCCTAGAGAAGCAGTCCTCTTGCAGCATGTACTATGTAGTTTCTTTACTCTGTCCATTATTTGTTTTCACGAGAACTTAAAGCATGTTTAGGTTAAATTAAGTTCTTGGTTAGTTCTTTTGCTCCTTGTCCGTTCTTACTGTTGGTTGTTTTCTAATTTTTGGTGCTATTACTTAAGGCAAAAAACTTCTTAAGCGCTAATGGAGTAGATATGAGATTGGATTGACACACTATGGTTTACCTCACTCTCTGAGCATTAACCACTCGCCTAACCAGTGTGCCTTAGAAGGTTCTTGGAAGAATTCCCATTTTCATTATATACTGTCTTTTCTATTTTCTTGAGAGATGTACTTTCAGAAACCGTGTGTTGCAATTGGATTTAAAAAAAAAAATATGATGAGTTGAACCTATTTAGACATATGTATGATTGGCTGCGTACATAGTGATATCATATTGTCTTGCTTTTGCTCTGTCTTGATCCTTGTTTCGTCTGTTTGTACAGGTGTGGAAGACCATTGCAGTTTTGGTGACTGAGAAGACGAAGACTGGGCTATAGAGATTTGGTTGGGCCTTTCTGTGTTGTTGGACCTTTGCATGTTTGGCTTTGTTTAGTCTAGGCCCATTATTGCTTTTCTTTTCCTCAAACGCATCGCATCAATATCGTTCTGTTCTGCGATGTCGTGTGGATCTCTTCAGCTTCTTGCATCTTTGTCTTCTTCACTTCTTGGATCTACTTCTTGATTCTGAGTTGAAGCTTGAGAATCATTTACAATTCTGTTTATAGATGATTTTCATAATGGAAACATATTTTTTAAGTTGTGAATCCAACTAGTTTCGAAGTAAAAAGTTGGTCTTGATTATTTGACTTGCAACAATATCTGAATCCATCTAACAACAATTTACTAATTTAAGTTTTTGTGAACAAGATTCCTGAATTGGAAATTTCGTTTACACTTTGCGTGTCAGTTACAATGGTTAACTGATAATCCTATATTACCAATTTGGATAAATTTCCAAATATATTTGATATCACAAGAGCTTGAGGTGAATGAATGACTAATCATAATAAGCAAAGGTCCATCCATGTTCATCACATGGAACAAGATCCTCCCTGACCTATCTGTCACTCAAGACTTTTCCTCTGTTTGCTTCTTCTTACAAAATGGCACACTTGAACCAAAAAAAGAAACATTTTTCCCAATATGTTTTTGAATTAAAAAAGAAATGAAAAGTAAAAATATAAAAATAAAAGAAGAAGTCCTCCAGCAGCTTAAAAGAGCACATCTCTTTACTCAATTCACGATTCCCCTGTCTCGTAATCTCTCTCTCACTTGCCTCTTCTCGAGTTTTCTCCATTTCTTCGGTCTTCTTTGAGACCAAATCCGGAGAAAGTTGATGTTCTTACAGCACAAACAGACACAAACACATACATGTGTTGTGTCTCCATAATCCCATTATTACTCACTCACCACCAATTCACACTTCTCTCCTAAATTCCCATCCTTTTCAGATCCAACACTCTCCAATACCCAGATTACCCAAAAGAAGCGAAATTGAAACAAAACCCATCTGAGAGCAGAATCAAGGGGAGAGAATGGGAGTGATATTTGACTCATGGTGCTTTTGCAAAGGAGTAGGCAAAAGTGAGAAGATGAAAGCTTCCATTTTCTCCGGCAAAGCTCCGGCGATGGCTCGTATCTCTGTCTCCGGGCCAAATGGGGTTACTTCCGGCACTGGATTCCTCATTCACAGGAATCTTCTTCTGACCACTCACCTCAATCTCCCTTCCATCGCCGCCACCGAAACCGCGGAGGTCCGCCTTCAGAACGGTGTTGCCGCTGCTCTCTTCCCTCACAGGTCCTCCTACCTCTCTCTCTTGACGCGTTTGAGTGTGCTTCCATTTGATATCGTGGTTTTCCTGTATTGTCGGTTGCACGATCCTGGTAAAAAATTTGATTCAGTGCCGTATATAATAGAATTGGGCTCTTCAAATTTTCAAAAAAAATAAAAATTCAATAATAGCTTTTTCGTCAGACCAAAAGATCATAAAAGAAAAGAGCTTTATACTGTACTAAAATGTTATATGGTAATGATTCTCGATCTGTGGCTGAGTTTGGTAAGTTTTAAATTTGTAAACTTTAAACCAGAAGATTGATATTTCACCTGGAATCCCACCCTTATCTTAGGAGATATATTTACCAATCTGCTCGGATTCCCTTCTTTTTATTTCCTCAGCATTTCCATGAGACATAATAAGAACAAGCTCTTGATCAATTTGAATCGTGGATTGTTTGGTCAATGATGTTCTCTTTTCTTTAGCTATGAGAAAATGAGTGTCATCTCTGTTTGGTACCATTTGTGCAGGTTTTTCATTACAAGCTCGGTTATTGATCTCACCATTGTTGGCTTAGACCTTGTTGATGGAGATTCAAATTCTCAGAGCCAAACCCAACAGCCACATTACCTGAAAACATGTTCCAAACCAAACCTGGATCTAGGAAGTGTGGTGTACCTCTTAGGCTATGCTGCTCAGAATGAACTAAAGATTGGCGAGGGGAAGTTAGTGGTAGCCACTGATAATCTCATCAAACTCTCAACTGATGAAATGATCTGGAGTCCTGGATCTGCTGGATTTGATGTTCAAGGGAATCTCGCATTCATGATCTGTGATCCAAGGAAGCTTTCGACATCACCAGCCTCAAACTCGTCATCTTCCTCTTCGTCATTGAGAAAAGATAACAACAAGACACTAATGATGCAGTTTGGTATACCCATACCAGTTATCTGTGACTGGCTTAATCAGCATTGGGAAGGTAGTTTGGATGAACATACGACAAAACCCAAGTTGCCTCTCATTCGGTTAATGTCTTCTGGTCAGAAGAGCGAGCGTTCTTGTACTTCCTTCACCATGCGCAGTGTTTTCAAGCCAAACGACTCTGCTGATGTTGGAACCCCATCTTCATCTAACAATAGAGATCAAATTCATCCCAGCTCTTCCATCGCTGCTGATGAAGAAAAAGAAGAAGAAACCTCAAAAGCCAATCCTCAAGGCGGCAGAACTTCTACTCATGGGCAGGGTATCCCAACCCCTGAGATATATGAATCCCCAAAGTTGACTTCTGGTCCTTTAAGAAATGAGACAGGTCAAGTACACCTTTTGGATATCAACTTTCCTCCACGGATACCTAAAGCTATAACCTTTCTTCCTGAGCTCAACTCTCTTCAGGGTAACAACATGGTGGAAGAGGCTGACACTGCCTCTGAAGGATCAGATGCGCAAATTGCTTCGACAGGTTCAGTTAACGGTGCTCTCAGTGAGGTCATCTCATGTTCACCGCCAGCAGCAGCTCACTATGTATATAACAATCATGGATACAGCAGCGAGGAAGAGACGATGTATTCTGCAGAAACAGCAGAAAGCCGAAACTACCCTACTCCTCCAAGGAAGAGTGAGTTTCATCATGAGAGAGTTGGAAGGAGCCAAAGTTGTGTTAGCTCCAGCAGATGGGGAACTCCTCAAAAGAGTTCGGATGGTAGAAGAGCAATGCTGGAGAAACAGAGAAGCTTCGTCCATGGAAAGAAGATGCAATCACAAGGAGCAATGTCACAGAGGAGCAATGACTATTACAGCCCAACGGTATCATCCATCATGAAGAAGAGGAATAATAGTTCAGAGCAACATATTTTCAAACCGGTACCTAGACCTAGAGCTGTTAGTTCTTCCCCAAGATGGGCATTCTGAGACCAATACAGACCAGAGAAAGAGCCACACCTTCATAGAAAGAGAGACATCTTTATTTAGATTTAAATGTCTTTCGTTCTTGTATAACAAATTTTATTTCAACTCTTGTGCAGACATATTGAAGAGAACACAACAAATAGGAAACATATAGTCTTGAATGGTTCGGGTTAAGCCCAAAGAGCAATCTGTGATTTTGAGTTCCAAATACTTTCTATCAGACCACTTGACAAGGGCTTGTTGTTTATTCAAGGCCATAGAGGAACACTTTAATGAGAATTTGCGGAAATAATCATGAACAGTGAAGCTAATGATCAACAAACATGGCTATGACTTACGTGTGTGCTGTGAACCAAGTAGTCAAATCACTTTTCATGGAATTATATCATAAGAGCAAACTTATCATTGAAATTAGAGGAAATTCTGAACCAACAGAGCAATGCGCAGATGCCCTTCACTGCCTTTTACTGAACGTAAGTTACTACCAGAGGCTCAAGATGTAGAATGCTTTCTTAATATTCAACATTATCTTCACTAAAATAACTTAACAATCACTAAGCAATAAGTTCCTACTCAAATAATGAAGATCACCGAAGAATGATATTCATTAGAAAAATAGGTCTTCCATGATTCCTAAATATCTCTCTCACAAAACAGAACGATATAGACATAACAAACTACAACTGATGAACATTTCTTCATTGTTGGGGGATAAAATCCATAGACCATTAACCCTGCAAAAGAGGAAAAATAATTAGATCTGAACGGCGAAGAATCTTGTTTCTAAGTTAACGAGCAATTTTTAGAACTAAACACGCGGAAAACAAAAAAAAACCCAAATCTCTTTAAGTAGGCTTACTTGGCTATTAGTGATGTTTCTGTATCACTCATCTGGTGGTTGGAAGGAATACCCGGATAAGGTCCTTAGCACTGACTTTTTTACGACATGTCGGGCATTTAGCTTGGACAGATATCGCATTCTTTATGCACTCTTTGCAGAAAATATGACCACACTTCGTTGACACCTCCTCCGTAAATGGACACAAACAGATTGGACAGTTAAATTTTGGTTCCTCTACAGGAGCCACGGCCTTGGACTTTCTCTGAACAAGATAATGAAACTTAGTAAGCCAAACTCCAAACAGCAAAAACTATAAAAAGTACCACCACATCTCTTACCGGCTTGTTAAGCTCAACCGAGTCAGCACTTTGATCAGAGCGACGCCTTGTGGATCTAGTAGTCCCACCTGTACTCATACCATCACACTAACCAAGGTGAACAAAGAAATACACTTACTGTATTCTTCCAACTATATAAGACACGATATTGCAACATAAATGAACCATTCAAATTCTGGTAGCTATGCAAGAAGAAAAAGTAAAAGGTGTTAGTTCACCTGAGTCTACATCAACTACTACGAGTCCTCTGCGCGCACCTCTTGATTTGTTTTTAGCCTGGAATAATAATGAAACAGTATCCATTAAACTTCTACAAAAACACCATGACTTAAGAAAGGGGAAAATAAAGGAAGAGAAGAGAGCAGACCTGAGCAAAAGCAGATGCAGTTGATTCAACAACATCATCATCATCTTCAATGGCATCTATATCGATCATAGGAGGCCAAGACACAATCTGCGGCATCACAGTTGGAGCTTGTTCAGTCCCTTGTTGATCTCCCTGGTGTTCACTTTGAGTCCCATTCCCACCATCCCTTCTTCGAAGTCTCATATTTGTCCTCACCACCCGAGAAGTCATTTCAACTGAGAGTAAAGCAAACCTTTTTAAGTTAAAGTCACAACTGAACTAGAAGATACTCTCAAGTTTAAGTTCTCTTCGTAATAAACAAAGGACAAAGATCAATTTCTCAGCATACTGTCTGCAAAAAAAATCTTCAATAATTCAGTCACATTTCATAAGAATTACCCATGAATTAGAAGAACCCCAGCAAAAAGGCAAGATTTTTATTCAAAATTGGCCTAACGGAAATTAAAAAAAAAAATCAAACTTGAAAATATCCAGTAAGGCGGTAAAGTTTCCATAGGTGTGGAAGATCTATCAGTGACAGTGAAAGTGGAAACCCCACCGAGGAAATAACCAAACAGAAAGAAAAAACATACAGAGAACTCAATCGACAGATCCGGAGATAGGTGAACCATCAGAGATTGTACAGTTAGGGCAGAGAAATTCAAAGTTTGTACCTTTGAAATGAGGAAGCTGTCGAGGATGAAGCAGAATTGGAGAGTGGAATGAGAAAAACGAAAGGGTTCAAAGGATTGTTATACAAAGGGGTTTTTAACAGTAGCTGGATCACTCACTGCTTTTGGATATGAGATTTTGACTCCGTTACACTTCTTTGGTGTTGGTTGAGTCCACTAGTATCTGAATCCCATGATTAGTCCTTACTTGTCCTTTCCATACTAATTTACATGCCTCAACCGTACAGTCGTCGTTGTCTTAAAAGACTCTTCTATTTTTTTAGTCTTTTTATTCGTCGGTACTTGTTGCTGCCAAGACTTTTAATTCAGACGACGACAGAAAACTGAAACTCTTCATATGACCAAGGCCCGTGGGCTCTGCTAACTAGACCTGGGCAAAATATTCGTTAGATTCGCTTCGCTTCGATATTCGTTTCGATTCGATTCGAAAAATTCAAATATCTATAAGATATTAAACCGAAGCAAATATGAAAATGTAGTATTCGTAAAATCCGAAGCAAATAACAAATATTGATTTTCTTAGGGCCGAATATCCGATTCGCTTCGTATATTTATATATATGTATAAATATAAATCATTATATAATATATATATCTTATAGGCCTATTATTCAAATTATTATATTTTGGCCCGTTGGTTTTTTTTGCAAAATGTTGTTCTTAATCAAATAAAACTTTATTAGAAATTAATATTAAAAATAAAATGTGAGAATTCTATGCACGGTGGTTACATTTTCTTTTTATTTTGAAAACATGTCAAACAATAACCTCTAATATCTCATATTTTGCACTTTATATTTATGTAATATATGTTTTTAGTTTTAAAAAAATTAGATGGGTCGAAGTGAAGCGAAGCAAGTAATTCGCAAATATTACGAAAAATATTCGAATATTCGAAATTCCGAATACTCGAAAATTTACGAATCGAAGCAAATAGCAAAATCAACTATTCGGTCGAAGCGAAGCAAATCACAAATATCATAAATTTTCCGAATATTCGCTTCGTGCCCAGGGCTACTGCTAACAGATATAAACCACATTTATTTCATACGCAAATGTTTTGTCTAATAAACCAATTTCAATTTTTTTCATAACAAATATTCAATTACACAACACAACCATCCATACTTGAGAAACAAATTTAAAGTTTTTTGTTTTGTTTTTGTTTCTTTCAATAAAAAGAGTAGTGGAAGCTCCAACGTTGTTTGTTGTCTCCAAAAACTTCAATCCCTTCGTTGTTACATAAGAAAAAAAAAAAAAGATATATCCAAGAAAATGAGGTAAGTTCAACTCATAAATATGTACATTGCCTTCAATATTTAGTTCCCTTTCGGCTCCATGGAAAGCAGCAGACCTATACACATATACCATTTCACGTTAAAACAAACACACACAAATTATAACAAATGGATCGATCGGTATAAAAAAATATATAGAAAAATGTACTTGAGATAATATACCTTGGAGGAGGATGGCGCCGGAGATTGATGTTGATCGTTGATGGGGCGAGAAGGAGTGTTGCCGGCTGTTCCACCGTAGGATCTGCCAGCTTCTTTTCTCTCTTCTTTGACTTGGTCGAAAATGTGAGTGTAACTCATGTTCTCCCCTGCACCCACTGATCCTGGGAACGGCGGAATCGTTGTCGCTCCCTATCATCAATGTTCACAATATCAAATAATGGTAAAGAAGCAATTTAATTCTTTGATATCACATGTATCTTCAAATGTGACCTCTTCAAAACCGATGCATGCATACGTCTACTATTACTACCACTACACACAAAAAAAAAAACAAAAAAAAACGAGCGAGGTAATTTCATGGTTTGCATACCCTTCCGTTGTTGCCACCTCTAAGATTTTGTTTAGGCTGCGGTGGACGAGGAGCTGGTGGCTGACGCTGGTTTCCGACTGATCCTCCTCCGTAACCTCCATATAGTCCACCTCCGCCTCCAATTCCGGCCTTGTGCCCGCTTCCGCCCCCTCCTCCGCTTCCGTAGAGCCCTCCCCCTCCGTAGAGTTGATCGGCTGGGGGAGCTCTGACTCTGTTGTTTTTATCGGTTGGTGGAGGTGCTCTTGGTGTTTCTTCCTTAACCGGTTTTGGTGGTTCTGGTCTTTGATTTCTACGAGCAGGCTGAGAAGGAGGAGGAGCTGGTTCTTGAGGTTTGGTCTCTGGTTTCTCTAGAGATTCGTACAAGTCTTGTCGTTTGTTCGTCCTTGCGTTGTCGAAGACGACCGTGAATGGTTGGTCTTGGTTGTTCCAGTCCCCAAACTTTGGAACGTGTGGACGGTTCTGCAATCAAGCATTCAACAATGAAAACGTTTTAGAGAAAATGGTCTAAAGGAGTTTGCTCTAATATGACTTCAAGTATCAAACTTGAATTGCAAGAAATCGACATGTATAAGGGAGCTAAAGCTAAAGTTTTCCATCACATAGATTGAATTCAGGAGAAGAGTATATATGAAAAGTCAACTTATTTGAAACCAAAAAAAACCCCACCAGATCTCTGTTTCTGATGTGATTAAGCAAATTATGTAAACTGGTGAAAAGAACAGACAAATTATAATTGATAAGCTAAAATTCAGACAAACGTCTCTGAAGGTTTCGATATAAACATCTTTTTTTGATATAAAAGGATTCGAAAGAGTATAAACAAAAAAGAGGGTTTTCCAACTTACCGCCATAATTTCTTGATCGATCTAAAACGAGAAATGAAGAAAGGCGTCAACAATGGCTAGGTCCGAGCTCTGAACAAAGGGAGAAGATAGAGAGATATATAGACATTAAAAAAAAGTGATGTATAAATATATAAAAAGGACGTTGAAGATTCGTGTTACTCTGTAAAGTTTTGAATGTCTCTGTTTCTTCTCTCATAGTCGTCTACATTGACTCCTTCAAAACCTTCCTTACGCCGTGACGTGGCTTCCCCGCGTCTCAAAGCCACGCACGCGCTTCCACTTGTGCCAGAGCCAGAGAGGCAGAGACGCCTCCTACGGTTTGCTTATACAATAACATAAAATTTCAACTCTTTCTTATGCGATACGTAAAACAACGACCTTTCGTTTTGTTATTTTCACTAAAAACATCCATTGATTTACTTATTAATTTTTAGAATGTTTTTAAAAAAATTAAAAAAATTCCTGATGTATTTATGACAAATTGTTGCCCAAGGCGTTGTAAAATAAACTATATTTTCTAATCGTAAAAAATATATAAAGTTTTGCTGGTGAATGCCAACATGCTTACAAGTTACAACTGCAACTGTATTTTATTTCGTTATATTAGCATCTATCTAATTAATTACCACATGACATCTTATATAAATTGAATGGTAGATGTATGAGAGAGACAAACTGACTTTTTGGGGAAGACGACTTCAATGACTGTCTATATATTATGCCCACAGGTTAAATCCAACTTGTAAACCACCAACTCTTGAATAATGTTTTTGAGTTTTTGACTTTAGCAATTGGTCCATCACATTAAAACCACTTGTTTCAGATTTTGAAATAATTATTTGGTATTATATACATAAGGGAATAAAAATATAGTTGCCCCCCTTGTATACCATGTTGGGTTGGGATGATGATGTCTTGTTACAACTCACACACACATAGTTACACACTCCAGAGTCATTACTAGTACTTAAACTTGGTGGTATATGCAAAATCATTGATCGTTTAGTACCATACAAATCATTATACCCACTCCGCCTCCTTTGCTAGTATCTAGAATTTACCATAAATAGAGTGAACTTATGAATAGAGTTATAACAAGAATGCTAATTAGACTTTTCCAAGATTCAGTCCACACAAGTAGTACTTTCTTTACTACCCAATATTGTACGATACTACACTTTTTGAGTGGTCATGGACTCATGGTTATCTTCAAGTTAATGTCACAAACATTGGCCTCTAAAGATTAAGCATACACTTCGTACCATATGATCTCGCTGTCAAAACACTCTCTGCCGTGTTTATTGCTGTTTAAAGTTTAATGAACCATCAAAGGAGCAAAAAAGAATTTTGAACGCCGTCTGTGGGGATCGAACCCACGGCCACGTGGTTAAAAGCCACGCGCTCTACCACTGAGCTAAGACGGCTATTGAGCAATTGCTTCTACTTATTTTATAAGACCTAAATATTGCACGAACTAACAAAACCGACGCAAGAGTAGAGCAAGTGCTGTGGCATCTTCCAACTCTGGGGAGCCGATGGAAGGAACCTCTGGTAGTCTGAATCCGACGACAGACACTTCGGGAATCATGCCGGAGTTTGATCCGAAGACTATGCGTTCCTCAAAACCTGGCTTGAAGCGTCTCTTCATCACCACCTCTGTGCTTTTTTCATTCCTTTTAGGTATTAGTTTTGGTCTTCTTCTTCTTCCCTTGAGCTCCGACTATTAGATCTTGCTTCCTTTGCTTTACCTCTTTCCAATTTCGGAGGTTTCAGGTGTGCCATTTCTTTGGAAGTCAGTGGAAATATATCGTTCTCCGTTACCGTTTCACGATATAGACTCGCTCTCCGATCAAATTGAGTCGACGCCATTGCGATTCCCCTGCAATTTCCACGCCGTATTCGTCGGTTTCCGATCGACGGATGCGGATAACTTACGATCTCAGATACAAGATGGTATTAATCAGTTGACCCATCTTAGTCCACAATGTGGTTCTTGCAGTTTTTCCCTCTCTGTCACCATTCAAAACCCAGCTGAGCAGTGTTCAGAAACACTTGGGCACAATCCTTCCTCCTGCTCTTATAGATGCGGAATGATCAAAAGTAATGATTTTGGTGTTGGATTGGACGATACTGTGGATGAATCACTGAATGATGTGTTCAGTGGTTGCTCTGCGAACAGTAGGAAAATGTACAGTGTGGTCGTGGTGAACAAAGAAAATGCCAATGGTGAAGATGAGGTCAAAGCTGTGGTGGGCAAGCGAAGGCATGCGTGGATTGTGGGAAGTGGATTAGAAGAGAGAAATGATGACATGGTGTCCAGAGTTTCTGAGATTTTCGTTAAAATGTTTATGAATGGTGGAAGAGACGAAGACTCAATTCATGGGGAATTTATGCCTGTAGGATCAGATGGGAGGATTGTTCTTTCCTTCAGTCTGTTAAATTCTAATCCACGTGATTGGGTCTACGATTGGTAATGATTACAGTGTTATCCCATCTCACCATTTTTTTGGATTTGTATACACCTGAAGCATATTTCGAAAATTTGCATTGCCACTATACCATTTGTTTAAGCCTTAGCGTTTAGTGTTTACTGTTTCTTTTGTGTTGTTTTTGCTTTACTTTGTACGTTGACAGGGACTTTCAGAGGATAGACGATGCTTTGTTGGCTCCGGTGACTAAGGCCTTGGCACCTATAGCTAATATAAGTGTCGAAAGTCAGGTAGCGCTTAACCCCCAGACCCAAATCTTTGGCATCTTTGTTATTCTCCCGAGCTATTGTTTTATGTATTTTTCTGTCTATAGGTTTTGTATCATACACCGAAGTCTTCATTTTCATCTTGGGATGAACAACTTCAGAGCTACATCTTTAGGACCAGTGATCTTCCTTTTTTTGTACGTACCCTTTCTCACAATCTCCATGACTAGTTAACTGATTGTTGATAAGATCATCTTAAATGGTTTCATGCCAGGTGAATTCGAACGAATGGCACTTGGATACTTCTGCTGGAGCCAGTGGACGGTCCAAAATACTGCAATTTGTGGTGTATATTATTCTACTCTGCCCATCCTTGCTTATTATGCTGCTTGATACTGTGACTATACTACACTTTTAATTGATAAGTTAGCAGAAATGTTTGCACATAAATATTTCAACTCTATTATCTTTCCTCCTATTGTCAGATATATTCCATCCGGATCAGAGTGTCCTCTTCTTTTGCAGTTGCCAAATGGGGAGATATCTAAAACAAATGGCTTCATATCTCCTGTAAGTTCCCACACATCGAAATTTTGTTTCCTTCTCCTAATCTGTTGGTATACCTTCTTTGTGAAAACAATGGCATCTTGTCTTGTCATTTTGTTCTATAGATGTGGGGCGGTGTGATTGTGTGGAACCCGGGAAATTGTGATAAGGACTCTGAAAGCCCAATTAGGAACACGATATCGCCTCAGGTCCGGTTCACTTTTAATAGTCATATTATGCTTTATACCAATTATATGTTGGTTGCTATTTTCATTCTCACTTGTCAGTTTTCGTAGTAACTTTTCACTTTTCATTGAATATTTGCGGAGCCTTGGAAGATCACTGAAGTATCATAATTGATTTCTGCACTTTCTGTAACAGGATATTGAGCAAATAGTTGAAATTTTCTTGGGACAATTTCGACAACTATTTGGCTTTAAGTCCGAAGCCATTTATACCAGTGTATTGGGCACTTACAAGATTTTACCTAGTGAAAGAGGCTTTACAGAGTGGTAAGAAATAATAAAACCTAAAATTTATGTGAGCTTATGGATCGACAAGGTTTCAAAGTAAAGCACTGGATGCTAATGCGAAATGGACATTGATAGGTGTTGTGTTTACTGGTGTACCATTTGCAGGGAATTGGATGTCTTGTCACGGAAGCACACATGCTTCAATCTCCATTCTTGTTCCACAACCCTCAGTTCTCTCTCTAAATTGGTGTGTTAATCTCTACATGCCTAGTTATAGCACGCTCTGCTGCATCGTGGTGTTTCCATTTCAATTTTTTATTTTCTTAATCAATTGGCACTTGCAGGTTCGGTCACTCCCCAGGATGATTATCAAGGATGAAATTGGAGAACAAGTATGTATCTCAACAGAACCCCTTTCTATTTTTCTAGGAACCTGTTTCTGTTATGTTCATTTCATTATGTTCCTCCAAACCAGGTAAAATATTCTCTAAAAGCAGCAAAGTTGGCTCAGTCTAATGCTTCTTTGGGAGGATACAGTTCTTCAGCCAGTATGTTACGCTTGACCTATTCTCAAAATACTCTTTGTTCTAACTTGGTGTTTGTGAATCTAACAATAAATTGCGGTTTTGTGTGCCATAAAGGTTCTTCAAGAGAAGCTAGGTCCCTAGCCGAGAATGCGTTCTTCCATCCATCCATCATGTCCGTCAGCTACTTCTCTTATGAACATTGCTTTGCAGTGTACTCGGTGAGATACTTTGTCTCATTACTGTTAGCATCTTCTTGTTTCTCCGAGTCTCTCATGTGATTATGCTTTCTTGGACAGCCATTTTTCCTGCCTGTGGTAGCACACGTTGTCCTTGCAGCACTACGAGAATGGAAGAGATATAGACAAGAGAAGGCAAAGTACTTGACATGGCTAACCAGAAAGAAGACGGCCTAGGATTCTTTAGCATACTACAGATCTCTGTAACTTTTAACTTTTGGGTGCTTGACTACAAAATTGTGATAACATATTGCATTGTGTCACTGTGTTTATCTTAAGGCTTCTCTCACATCAAAAGTGGTGCAATCAAATAGTGTATGTTTCACCATGTTTAAGATTACAGATGTCTAACCCGAAATTCTAAGCTCTTAAAATGGACAAAATACAATTAAGAAAAAGAGAGCCAAATCCGGAATCACTTCTCCTTAACTCCAGGAGACCATTCAGCTAAGCTTCAAACCGTCATGTAGAAGTCACTAAGCTCTTAGCGTTTAGATCCCAAAGCAAGAAGTATCTTCTTCCTCGGACCCTGCGAAGAAAACACAGCTTGTGAAAAGAGAGCATAAAAGGTTCCTCAGAATTTTTTTCGTGTTCCAGA